GCTCTGTCACAGACAGAGGTTTGTGGACTTGAACAAACTCTGAGGGAATACGATTTTACGCACAAGCAGCTCATCATCCCATCACAGTCTTCTATCCTGTTTTTTTAAGAGGTAGAAAACAGAATGAGCAGTGTGTATACCTAGCCTTACAGCTCAGTCCTAACCGAGATGACTTCAAAATAATTCCTCTTGATTTTGTTGGGATTTATACCCAACCTCAGGTTCCCTTAAAACATCGTGAAGACTTTCAGTAGTAATGATACTATTGAGTAAACAAGAATAAGAGCACTAAACTTGCCTGTGATTCAACAGGGACTAAACCATTGCAAAAGGAGGAGGAAGAAACAATAACTAGTAGCCTATGGAATTATTTGTGGCACATAGAGGGCACTCTAGCCATTGTTATCAATGAATAGGGCTACGAAATAAAAGATTTAGTCCACAGCCTGTAGAAATTCCACTTGAGCGACTGTTGATTTGTATTTATATTGTACATAGTGTATTAAATATACTGCAGGAGTCAAGGGGAACTCTGTAGAAGTCTGTGTCTTGGCAACAACATAGCCACCCAAAGCAGATACTTTATGGTAGTATAATAAATAAACTGGTATTGGTGAATTAAATAAAATAAAAATAAAACTTATCAGACGCCACCAGTATAAGTCAGATGAAGAATTATAATTGTCTGAAATCTTTCACAAACTCAGTTACCTATGGTATCTTTTTAATCAGCACTGTTATGAAATAATGGATCTGAGGTTAAAGCCCAAGAAAGAGGCTGATAGTTTGCCAGCCTCTGAAGTTAGGCAGAATACCAGAAGATCAGAGGAAGAGGTTTAGGCCACACAGCATTAAACAGGCATTGGGGTAAGTGTTGTAGCCCTTAAACCTTAACTTCTATGCACACATGGTAATTTGAAGTTTATGATGGGGTGCTAGTTGTATTTAGTTTCTTCACGTCAGAGGATACAAACCTATAAATTTCAATTTTCTTGGTCTTTTGCCTAGACATTTTGGCAGCGCTTGCCTCCCCGGCCACAATGATATCATTATTCTCAGTAACCACACCAGTGCATACGCATCCCAAGCCTTCTCCATATTTCGGAGAGGAAATGAAGTACGTCTTTTGTGTAACAGGAGCATAACAGAAACTGGCATCGCCGTAGTTGCCGTGTCTTGATCTGATGCCCTGCGAGTTATTGCCAATGCAAAGCAGAAGGGTAGTGGTCTCCATGCCATAGCGAAGGGTGAGAGAAGGTTGGTTGGTTTTCTTGATAGTTTCTAATGCTCTCTCGATCATCTCACTACACAGTGTATTACTGAGAAGCACCGTGTTTCTTTTCCGGGCTTCAACTAGGAACGAAGGGCTTACAAGCGCTAGCCTGACTTGCTTCAGGAGCTCAGAGAGGTGATCTGCTCGCAATTTCCTGCTGTGGTTAACCCATCTGAGGACTAAATCCAAGACGCTCTCTTCCCTGGACACATTCAGGTCATCTGATCTTATCAGGTTTAGCAACTGCTGCATTTCAACCTCCAGTATTTCTTCATGCAGGCTCACCTCTGCAAAGTGCAGGTACAAATACCTCCTGGCTTGATCGGACAGCTCTTCGGCCCCAATGTGCTTGGCAAAGTAATGGATTCCCACGCAGTTGGAAGCATCCATGTGCTCCATCATGTATGCCTGACACATGCTGGAAACGTCATCCATCTGCATGAAAAAGGCAGTGGTGGCCACACCCTGTACATTGGAATTAGTGAGGTGCAACTCAGCCGTGTACATGTACTGGAGAAGTATGGACACACTCTCTGCTGACATGTCATGCAGCTCTACTTCTTTCTGTGTGCATTCAATCAGGCCGCAGGTAAACATTGCTTTGAAGTAGGGGCTGAAAGCAGACAGCATCAGTTTGTGGCAAGGGAACTTTTCACCTTCAGCCACCAAAACCACATCAATCATTTCCGATAAATCTTTCATACTTTTTATTTGATCCAGTAAATTCAAGCTATGCCGCTGCTTCCTTTTACCCTCGGACTTGTAATCCATGCTAAACATTTGGGTGTTGTTAAGATCTTCTCTTGTACTTGCTTGAGGTTTGAAAGATATGCTATTGGCATATCTAATAGCTTTGAAAGTGAAGTTCCTTCAATATGATGTTCCTGGAAGGGAGAAGGAGAAACATGTAATTTTCTTATGTGAACAAATCTTCAAATTGTCTGACAATCAAGTTTTACTGTTACAGCCTTAAGGCAGTAAATATTTTGAGAAGATGGATTATAAATTTGCAATATATAATTATTATTAATTTTTTGCAAATTTAGGATTTTCAATTTCTAGTTGAACAACAACAAAAACCCAGTGTTTTTCCACTCCAGATTTTGAGGATTGAACAATTTGCACCAGGAGCTGGTTTCATTTATGTCCTTTGTCAGTGACAAGATCCTGAATAATGCATTACTATAGCAATATTTGAACAAATATGCAGAATATTCATAGTGCGAATGTAAAGAATTCATGAGAATGTTGAGACCCAGTATATAAATCTGGATTCTAATGGATAAATTCTGCAGTCTCCATCCATCAAAACCCATGCATTTTTGTAAACCATTCACTAATTCATACATCTACGCCTACTTAAAAACATTATTTAGTTTCCAAATCCATTGCAGATTCCGGCAAGGAAACATTGGTGCAGAAACCTTGACTGGGCATTAACTGATAACTGCAACTTTGCTCTGACATCCAGTGTCCAATATAAATTGTTGTGGGCGAAAACTCAGCTAATGGAAGTGTTTTCATTCTGCAGCCTATGGGAAGCAATGCACAAGCTCTTTGCTATAATCACAAGTAAAGGCTGAGTGCTTCTATACTCACAAGTCCAAATCCTTGTATTGGGCTGGGGTGGAGAATCTGTCCGGCAACTCCAATAATCACTGAGCATTAATTGTACCATGTTTTTAGGTTTCTTAATGTTTAAAAATGCCTTTAGATGTTTTTGTTTTTGTTAATTAAATGAGATCTTATTTTGAATATTTTTATCACTTCGGTGTTTGCTGTCCCACACATCTTTGGGAGGAAGGTTAGGACATATATTTAATTGTTGTTGTTACTGTATTAATGTAAGGTTACCGGATTTTTTTTCAAAGAATCCGGGGACACTTTTTTAACAAAAAAAGAGGATTTTTTTAAAAAGTTATTTTTTAAAAAATTAAGAAGCAATATCTTCTCTTTTGTGGTCTCCTCTGTCGTGCAGTCTTCCTCTGGGCTCTTGGAGCATTAGCCGCCGTGGAGTAGGCTCAGGTCAGGCCTGGGTTCGGCCACGTGTCCTTGCCCTCCTGGTGCTCTCCTACTTCTCATTCTCAGTGGCGCAGCAAGGTCGGAGTTCCCCTCTTTTTTCCCCTTCCTCTTTCTCTCTTTTCCTTCTCCTCCTCTCCTCCTTCTCCCTGCGTCGGCCCTAGAGCGTCGCTGGGCTCTCGCTCCCAGCATGATTTGAGTCCCGGGGGGGGCGGGCAGCGGTTCCCCCAGTTGATGCGGCAGGTGTCCCCAGTTCCCCCTCAGCAGTGGCGGCGGCAGCAGCAGTCTCAGCAGCCCACAGCCAGCCTGGTAGCGCAGTTGGCTCTGGCTGGCTTCAGGAGCTGCTCGCTGCCATGGCATCCACCATTTTGCCTCGCCAGAAGTCCCCATATGATGTGTCGTGTGCCGTTGAACCAATCACGCAACATTCATTCCCTACTAACAAATCTACAACACTTAAAATATAAATCCAGGGACATTAAATGAAATCCAGGGACATTCTGGGGACGTATTTTGTCCAGGGACAGATTTGTACATCCGGGGACTGTCCCCAGGAAACGGGGACGTCTGGTAACCATATATTAATGATACTGATGTTTGCTGGGGCTGATGGAAATTCAGCACATTCTGGAGGAACACAGCTTCCCAAAAGAAAGCGCCTTGCTCTAGTTTAGCTCTCTTCTTCAATAATGAAAGAGGAGGGTGGCTAGATTTTGTTCAAAGAACAGTTCCTGGAGACAAATTGCCAAAGAGCTATTAATACATGAAAATAAGACTCCCACTGAAGTAACATTTTGATAATATTTTGCATTAGACATCCTGGATTGAGGGAGCTTCCTAGGTAGAGCTGAGAATTCAACAGCTCATAGGGGGGAATGAAGAGAAGGGAAGACAGGAAAGAACAATTTTTTCTTCATCATCTGATGGTTATGGACTAATATAACAGCACATCTAATAATGAGGAGAGAATTATGAGGCTGGATTGGGGACCTATAAACCATACTATTTTGGACATGAAGGTTGCCATGGGAGACAAAATGCTGGCAAAGATGTAAGATCACGGTCCTGAGCAAAACCTAATTCTCTCACATAATGAGAAAAGCACAGTTGTCACTTTTTCATACATGCATCCCAAAATGCTCTTGGTTAACTTGCCAAGAGGAAATGGCCCACCCTGTTCAGTCAGACTAATTCCCAAATGGGTGTGCATATAGTTGTTGAAGCCATAAGAGGATAGCATGCTTCTCCCAGGTGTGTGATTTCTATATTCTCATGTAATTAGATTTCTCTCTCTTTTTGATCTTGGTTACATAAGATAGAAAGCATTTTGGGAGGGATAGGAAGAACCATGCTAGCCCCATATCGGTGAAAGGACATGCTGGAAAAAGGAACTGAGAAAGAAAGCTAGGAATGGGACCTGTAGAAAACAGCTTACCCTCTTCCTTCTGAATGCTCACCTTGCAATCAAACCCCTTTAAAGCACATGGTCTCCCTCAAAGAATCATGGGAACTGTAGTTTGTTAAGGGTGCTGTGAACTCTGAGGGGGTTAAAGTAACCTGTTGCCAGGATTCTTTCGGGGAAGCCAGGACTGTTAAATGGTTAAAGATGTGCTTTAAACGTATGGTGTGGGTATGGCTCCTGAGAAAGAAGTTCAATTTCTGAAAGTTTGGTTCAGACCCCGAGATCTGTTAACTCTAGCTATAAACCACAAATATGGAAGACTTATAAGAATGTAGCTCATAAAATTAAGTCATGAAACTTAAATTTTATGAGATAACAGGGATCAAGCATAATTTTGAGGAGGCCAGTTCAAAGTTGTGACTCGAGCCTGCTCCCACAAATACCTGCAGGCTTCTCTCTATCTATGGCCCTGAGTGGAGGAGAATTTATCCAAGGAAGTGTGGAATAGCAAGAAACAGTTATGATTTGTTCTTCTTCAAAACTATATTACAAACATGTGCCTAGACTTGGGGTTTATTAGGACCCTCAAATCTCAGTCCAATATATTCTGCTCCTCAAATACTGCTCCCCCACAACTAGGGCGCGAACACACACAGGCTGGGAGCTTCAATGGTGCCCCTCTGGAGGCTTCACCCAGGGCAGAAAACCTAGCTAGCCCTCTGAAGCTACAGCGCTGCCCTCACCACAAGAAGATCCCAACTGATCTGATTTCCTAGAATATATCTTGAGCATAGATTGGGGGTGGGGGTGGGGTTCTAAGCAGTGCATTCTCAGTGGACCCTAATACAGTGGTACCTCTGGTTAGGAATTTAACTCGTTCCGGAGGTCCGTTCTTAACCTGAAACTGTTCTTAACCTGAGGTAAAGGTAAAGGGACCCCTGACCATTAGGTCCAGTCGTGGACGACTCTGGGGTTGCGACGCTCATCTCGCTTTATTGGCTGAGGGAGCCGGCGTACAGCTTCCGGGTCATGTGGCCAGCATAACTAAGCTGTTTCTGGCAAACCAGAGCAGCGCACGGAAACGCCGTTTACCTTTCCGCCAGAGTGGTACCTATTTATCTACTTGCACTTTGATGTGCTTTCGAACTGCTAGGTGGGCAGGAGCAGGGACCAAGCAACAGGAGCTCACCCCGTCGCAGGGATTCGAACCGCCAACCTTCTGATTGGCAAGCCCTAGTCTCTGTGGTTTAGACCACAGCGCCACCCTAAGCTCAAGGTACCACTTTAGCTAATGGGGCCTCCTGCTGCCGCTGTTCTCATCCTGAAGTAAAGTTCTTAACCTGAGGTACTACTTCCAGGTTAGTGGAGTCTGTAACCTGAAGCGTTTGTAACCCGAGGTACCACTGTAGGTGCAGCAGGGTTGTGCTGTTTGTAACAACCCAGGAGGTACCGGTATTTCCTGTGAGTTTGCTGCAGCTAAGGAGTGGAGGAAAATGCTTCACTATCTGCAAATACGTTGGTTCTCTGGGTTTGCATTAAATTTGCTCCAGATTTATTTATTTTTAAATCAATACAGGGGTAGTTTCTTTATGTACTGATGCAGTTTGGTACCTGAATGAAATATAGAAATCCTTCTCTGTGTCTAATGAACAGCACAATACAATAATGAACTGTAAAATATAATATGGTATGGCTTTCAGTTTTAACTCCCTGCTTCGTTGTAACACCATCATTTCCCTAATATGCTAATTGCTAAGGCTTGAAAGGCTTAAAAAACCTTGCTTTACTGTGTATAATACAAACACTTGAAATACCACATTTAAAGAAAAGAAAGAAAGAAGGCTACATTCTCCCTTTTTATTACTTTTATTGGTTACCCTTTGTGTCCTGACAATGTTAATTTCGTTTTCCTTCTAGTAAATCTGCTTTAATTTTAGTAATTATTAGGGTAGTTAGCACAGCATGCTTCCCCATTCTTTAACAAAACCTCTAGCAGTTGTGCTTTGGCAACACTCTGTACATCTGCTCTCCAGGACTACTGTTATGAAATACCCCCAAACATTGTGCAGAAATAGAGCATTAAGGCGGCAATACAGGTGACTCTCAACTTATGCGGGGGTGACATTCTGGGGATAGTGTGTAAAGCCGAAATTGTGTATAGTCAAAACAAATTGGGGTCAATGGCAAGTGGGATTTTCTTCCCCAGACACCTGCCCTGTTTCTGTCTCCTTTCTGCCCTCTTTAATTCCCCACCCCCTTTCTTGCCAAGCACGTAAGCTGAATGCACACGTGTTAAATGCATATATAAGTTGCGAGTTATCTGTATTATATCTGTATTATTACTTGGGAGTGGGTTCCATTGAATTCAATGGGGCTTACTCGGTGCTTTTTTTCTGGGGGTACTTGGGGGTACACAGTACCTACACCTCCCTCCCAAGTTAAGGGCCATAGCTGTGGACTCAAAGAGGATGTCTGGCTCTGTGATCTCCGCTCCAGACAAGACTAGTTCCTCGTCTGTTGTCCACCTCACACTCTGATGGCATAACCTCCAACTAGGGAAGGAGAAGTGGTCTGTCTCCTTTTAGAAGCATCACTAACTAGTAGTTTCTGTGGCGATGAGTCATATGGACTCTAGTTCTGCACAGTGGTACTTAACAGTCTTCGCTAGGGCCATTAACTTAACGAAGAGACTATTTTGACCACTTTAGTAGGCCCCCTCTCATCTTGCAGATATAAAACCACAGGTTTGGAGGAGATCGAAAGATGACACCCAGACTACCTCATGCTACAACAAAACATTTTGGTCATCTCTAGTATAAATAACAAGTTGATTCACAGCATAAAGACATCTGACATTTCCAGTGTCCCTGTTAGCTAAGGGACTCACAAGTCATATGTGGCAAATGTATGTTCCATCATACAACGTATAGTGAAACGCTGGCACTACACAACTTTTGTCACTGGTTCCTGTGAAGGAGCAGTTTTTCAGCCTCTTAATTTCCTCCAGTGGTATGAAAACTCTTATTTACTCGGCTGTGTACACACAATAGATTTAAAGCACTTTATCCCCCCCCCCCCCCAAATAAGTCAGAGAACTGTGGTTCACAGAGCTGCAATACCCTTAATAAACTAGTCCCCAGGATTTTGAAGGTAATGTGTATTAAATGTGTACACATTAAATTAATGTGTATTATATGTGCATGGTGTGTATGCAGTCTTACTTTGCATTCCCTTCTCGCTGGCAGTGTTTGACCAATATGTGTAACCTTAAGCAATTCTGTCAGACTCAGGTACTCTACACCCAAATTAGAACTCCCATATGAGCAATAGAGCAATTATGCATCTAAGTTTGTATTGTGATCTCACAGGGCACAATAATATACTCAATCTGAGTCTGTAACTCCATGGCTGTAGCTGATAAATCATCTGCAAATATTTTCTGTAAAAGTATTTCTCTAGAAATTGGTGTTGATTTCAGTTTCTAGTTTGCCTTGTTTGATGTCTGTAGCCCTGGAACCTAATAGTTTAATGCTCCTTCAGTCTCATTCAGGCACAGATATTCTAATCTTGACTTCAGTTTCAGGCAGTCTCATGCAATCTCAATGGCAGTTCTGTATAATTTATCATGCATTTGATGTACAATATGGCTTCATATTGAAGTACTGCAAAGAAACCTTCTTGAATGGCTGCCATTGTCTGCCATGCTAGATTCAAAGTGTTCCCATATGCTGGCACCCTCATCTCTGTAGAACGCAGTTAAATTTTTCTTTTTGTTTCTCAAGGCCTAGTTTAGGCCCGTATTCCCATCACAAATATAACCCCATCACTTCCCTGCCACCTAAAGCTCAGCCTTGCTACCGCATTTGTATCCATTTCCAAAAGAGGCATATTTACCTTTTTCTCTCGGCATTTCTGTAATTTCTGTTACTTCTGGGTCTTTTCTGCTTTGGGGGACCAGGATGGGAGGAGTAGAGAGGTACAGACGGAGAGGAGGAAAAGCAATCCTCCTTTTGCCTGGTGCATATACCAGAGTCACATGTGGATGGAATGAAAGCCAGAAGATATAAATAGGCTTGGCTCAATATTATTTGACTTGGCACTTTGAGAGAGCTGTATTAATGTCACATCGCGGGGGCACATTGGGACTTGGTGAGACAACTCACCACCTGGCATTTGTGCTTCCCGTGTATAAATTGACATGTAGCTATAAAAATAAAATGGTGAACCAATTTTAAGAGAACTGGGACTTGGAGCTGGACATTATTAACTGGGGCAAGTCAGCCTTGCTTTTACTGTACTGGTGGGGAAGGACTGTGGTGGCCATGTGCTCAACTTTACAGAGGACAATCATCTATTTATGCTCATGCCCCACTCTCTTCACATTGGCCTAGTTTGCATGTCAAAGCATGGCTCAGCGTGAACATGCAGGTTCCCAGAGAGGAGCTAAGCCATTGTCTGGTTTAGCATATTGTCCAAATCCAGACCCATGGTTTAGCTCTCTGCAGGCTAACCATGAGCTGTCCTTAAGGCACAGCAACAAAAATAACTGGGGAGGAGCAAAGGAACCTGAACACATTCACACAAAGATATGGTTTGATTTAGCATGATATAGAAACCAGTCCATACACAAAGTGTGCCACCTCCAAGAATGCTGGGAATTGCAGTTTGTTAAGGGGGATAGGAATTGTAGCTGTGAGGCATAAACTGCAATTCCCAGCATTCTTGCGGGGGGGGGTGTGTGCTTTAAATATTTTTGAATGTATGGTGTGTAGGAGAAACTGTGCTATAACATTAAGAACTCTGCCAGGGAGTTGCATAAAGCTTTGTTTAATAAACCTGTTGTTACTAACTTCAGTGAGGAGCCTTAGTAAAGGTTCCACAGACAATGGCAGCTTCCCTCTCAGCTGCTTTGCTTATGTAACTTTGTACTGACCACAGTACAAAGTGGTGTCTTGAGAATAAGAAAATGTTGGCATGGGGATCAATTTATGACTGAAGATTAAAGAGCTATTCTTAACTGAAGATTAAGCTTTAAAGATCAGCTCTGAGTAAGAAGGAAAACTGAAAAGTTCTTTAGACTTGTGGAATTAGCTATGCAGACATGAAATTTAATTTTTCTCCCTTGGTTCTCAGAGGTTCAGATCAAGAAGACATCCAATGAGATTAAGGAACCAAATGCATGAAGAGGTTTTAATTTACACCATCCAGATCACTTTTGTTGTACCACTGAAAAGGACTTTCCATATCTAAATTTTGACCTATTTTTAACTAGCAATTTAAAAAATAATATAGAATGAGGTACCTACACTTTTTCTTTAAAAGGATAAGCAATTCTCATAATATTGAAACATATACTTTTCTTCCTTTTAACATTGATTCACCGTAAACATTTCTCAGAACTGAAATCTGTTTTTTTATCAAGATTTACCATTCTAACTAGGCTTGTTATCTTAACGGACTCTCAATAACTCTTCAGTTGTTTTAGCTCACTGTGTGTCTTGTGTTTTCCTTTTACACAAACAGAAATGAGGGAACGAAAAGGAAAAGAGAAAATATTTGCAGATTTGTCTTTCCCCATGCCAAATTTATATGTCTTCTTTCATTTTTTAAAATACCTGTATTTTTAAAGTAAATAAATAAAAATTAAAGGTAAGTACCTTTTTTCTTGCAAGAAATTGGATTTATTTATTTATTTATTTGCTAGAAACTAGAAACAACCAAGACCGGGAAATTTAGAGTACTGGTGTTTAAAGAAGTATTTTTGGCACACTCAATGGCTTGTGCCAGGCTTCCTCTGTTAATGTTAACTGTTAATGAACCAGTGCTTACATTCTTACTTTACTCAATATATTTGCTTAATCATGCTTCCTTTGGATGTGAGATGTATTTGGAGATGCTCTTGGAAAGTCTGGGATCATGCTCAGGCATGCTGAGACTTGGTAGTTGGTTAGACCCTAAATTTTCAGATCCAACACTTGACTCATTTCGGATACAACATATGTTCCATTAAAAGTTCTCTTTGAAAAGATACAGGATCACCTTCAGGCATTTTGGGAGCTAATGGATGGACCCTGAGTTTTCACATCCAATTTTGGCAATGCTTCAGAAGCAATTTGCAATATAACACTGTCTCAAAACAAATGTAACTGATCTGTAGAAAACACAACCTGAAGAAAGAGACAATGCACATATTTTTGTAAACAAAGAAAATGTTTAATAAAAATTATTTTAAAAAACTTCTGGAAAACAGCCTAGACTCAGAAACTGGGAACTGTAGCTTGTTAAGGGGGCTGGGAACTACAGTTGTTCAGATTCTTTGGGGGAAGTAAACTGCTTTACAAATATGGTGATTACATAGCCACAAAAATGTATATTGTGCTGCTACTACTCTTGCTAAGTGTGAAGAAAGCTTCAAATTTCCACAGTAATATTCTTAAAGTCTGCAACCATTCTTAACTCAGTTCTCTCCAGTGCTAGTCACTTCTTACCAGGACAGTATTCCTAGGGACTTCAAAGATTTGAGACCTGTAAGCATGTAGTAGCATAAAATTTGCAAATGGTAACCAATGAAGTTGCAGGCCCACGTTACTCCCTTTGGAAATCAGCTATGCACCTCTCAACATTTACAAACTATGCAATATGGGCAGGTTTCAGCCACATTTTCACCATTGTTGAGGGTTTGTCATCTTTATATTATGCAGATGTTGCCTTAGCAGACGAAAAGTCCCGCTTCCTGGCTGGGAGAAACAGAAGGGACATAATTATGTTATGATGAGCTGGAAAAGAACGCATAGAAAAATTGGAATGCAAAGCATGATGGATGGTGCTTTTGTCAATTGGGAAGGCAGTGTGAGAGAGCCAGGCTGCACAATAATAAAACTTCCTCCACAATTCTGTCCACTTTGGCTGCTGAAATGCGGCAACGTGCCATCCAGCAAAGAATTACAGTTTCTTTCTCTCTCTCTCTTTTGTTATATTAGTTATGTGGGGCTTATAAAGTAGGTTATGTTGACATCATCACCAGTAATAAAAAATAAGACGAAGCATTAAAAAGGCACTTTTATGAAAGGCTGGGCTATAAATACTTGAGAGAATTTATATTTATCCATATGAATTTGATATTACAAAGATAATCTGCTTCCTTTGTGGACAAGTGAATAGTATGCTATCCCTGGAGTCTAGGGGGTTTAATTCGAGATCTTCCTTGGTGGCATAACAGCCCTTGCTCCCTTGACAAAGCTACTGCCATTTTCAAGTTCCCAGGCTCCATTTTGGGAGACCACAGATAACGCACAGTTAGTTAATTAGTCCTGCTTATGTATTTGGCTTGTTAACCCATCTTTAGAACATACAGAAATTATGGGCGCATTTTAATGTGTAATGCTAATTGATATCACAAAGTTATATTAGAATATTATCAGAAATTAGAAACAAAACACTGAAATTATTGCATAACTGCGGCATGCAACAAAATTATCATTTTTGGTTGGCCCCTGGAGCTTGTTGACTCTCATGCACTGCACACCCTATATAGCTGCCACAGGGTCTTGCGTAGGAGACACTTAGCCAGGGTATTGCTGCCGTAGCATATGAAGGGCTCAGAAGCCATGCAGTCAGTGCCATACTGATATGCCTTGAAAGAATTACTAGAGAAGATGTATGTGTGGAGCCCTGGTGGGAAATTACACCCAAGCTAAGCAATGAATACATGTATGGGGAAGTGGTCGAGTATCTGCTTTGCATGCCAAAACTCTCAGATTCAATTCCCAGCATCTCAAGTTGTGGCTCAGAGAGACTTCCTGCCTCAAACTTTGGACAGACACTGCCAGTCAGTTTAGACAATACTGAGCTAGATAAACCAACAATTTGACTTAGTATATGGTTGCTTCCTATGTTGCTATATTTCCTGTGTCGCTATCACAAATAATAATTGGTTTTGCTACTTTTTATACTACACTTTTTCTGTTGTTGTTGTTTAGTCGTTTAGTCGTGTCCGACTCTTCGTGACCCCATGGACCAGAGCACGCCAGGCACTTCTGTCCTCCACTGCCTCCCGCAGTTTGATCAAACTCATGCTGGTAGCTTCAAGAACACCATCCAACCATCTCATCCTCTGTCATCCCCTTCTCCTTGTGGCCTCCATCTTTCCCAACATCAGGGTCTTTTCCAGGGAGTCTTCTCTTCTCATGAGGTGGCCAAAGTATTGGAGCCTCAGCTTCACGATCTGTCCTTCCAGTGAGTACTCAGGGCTGGTTTCCTTAAGAATGGATACATTTGATCTTCTTGCAGTCCATGGGACTCTCAAGAGTCTCCTCCAGCACAATAATTCAAAAGCATCAGTTCTTCGGCAATCAGCCTTCTTTATGGTCCAGCTCTCACTTCCATACATCACTACTGGGAAAACCATAGCTTTTTCTACCCCACCCCAATAAGATGTTATTCATTTATTTATGTGCTATCATCAGTTACTACCTACCCGCCCTTCACCATAATGGCCCAGGGCAAGTTACAACAATGTAGGAACACAATATAAAAATTGGTTTGAACAATTTTCAATCAGAAGTCAAGCAGCTGGGTCTTTCAAAATAGGTGCCAATGGACAAGGCAAAGAGGTGCATTTTCAGCATACTCTTACGTAGTTGGCGCAGTATTGTGCCTAAATATTCTATTTATTCATTGCCATTTTCATCTCACCCTTGCTCAAAAGGTGCTCTGCGTAAAGTATGCATTTTACTTTCGTTTCAACCTGTAAGGTAGGCTAGACTTCGCAAAATCACCGAGTAGGAGATGGCCGAGGGGAGATATAACCCAACCTCCACATAAGCTTTGTGCAAGTAGATCAGGGTGACTGTTGAATAAACAGGTTGTCTGGAGGGGTCATTACTCTGGAGCAGCCCTCCAGCACTCTTTAGCTTATTCACTAAATTGCCCATAGGCTTCAGAATGTAGAATGAAAATCTGGTGACATATTGCAGCTTCTCCTGCAGGGGAAAAAGCCTTTAAAATCCCCAAAGTTTCCCTCCCACAACTATCTCAACAGCAGGGAAGGCTGGGGCAGCCTGAAGGGGGGGGGGAGGGAGCTGGACCCTTCCCTTCTCAACTCAACAGAGCAGGAATAGCTCTTTGCTGGAGAGAAGGAGTTGTGCCATTGTCTCACTGCTCCCCCCACCCCCCCAATCTTCCGGTGTTTATCTGGGGAGGATTAGCTGCCGGAAGATGGAAAGAAAGCTCAGCCAGAAGGAAGACAATGGCTTGGCTTTTTCTATGAAACTAGCACGGATGTTCAACAAAACTCTTGTGGGCCTGCCATGCTGCCAATGGCTGGGTCCTTTCAGCTCAAAACACACACAAAATTCAGTGTTGTTTTATCTGCTTATGGAATTAGACGGATCGATGTTCTTGCCAGTCCTGGAACTACGTAGTGCAGGCCAGGTTACAAATGTAAATGAACAGAAATATGTTTTGAAAAACCGCTGTGGCTAATGAAATGATTGACAGCCTCTCCAGTATTCACAGGGCTCCCACCATGGCAACTGGGGAAATGTCATCAAAGAACAGATCTGTTGAACATGTTGTCTGTATCCACAATGAGGAGATTAAGATCTCCCTCCAGGCACTTCATTTAAGTCCTCCTCTGCTCCAGGAAACGGGTGCTGCTCCCTCTCACAGCAGTTGTGACAGCGGGGCAGAGAGGACTGTGACAGTGACATCAGAGGCGAGTCAAAACCCGTTGATGGCGAAGGAAACAATAAAAGGCACATGACAGAGGAGGTTTCTAAGAAGCAAAGGTTGTTCAAAGGTGTCAGTGGATACCCTTGGCAAATGAAGTCATTATTACTCTGCCCTCTAGTGCTCAAAACGACAGTAAGTATTTGCCTTGTTTCCCTATGCTGTACTAAATGCTCTGTAGTGCGTCTATATTCTTTTGAAAGTGGTACATACAGGATTTCCATGCAAATTCAGTTGGGGGCAGGAGGAAATGCAAAGCATATTACCGTATTTTTACGTGTATAAGACTCCCCCATGTATAAGACACCCCCTATTTTTTTTAACCCGAAATTAGAAATTAAGTTGTTTAGCTTTTTGGGGTGGGTGGGTCACTTCCACCAATCGCTCACCTGCCTGCCCACCACACACCTTGCCGGAGCCGCCAGTTGTCTGCCCGCTTGCCGCCACAAACAGCCCACCCGTCTACTTGCCGCAGCCGCCAATCACCTGCCCAGTTGCCACAGCCAATTGCCAGCAGGCCTTGCCGCAGCCACCAATCACCCGCCCAATTTCCGCTGCCAATCTCCTGCTTGCTGCTGCCATTAATCGCATGTCCCCCCCCCCCCTGCATTCACTATCTGCATTCACTAGACGACACCCAATTTGGGGCTTTTTTTTTTTTTTAAGCAAAAAGCAAAAGCATAGTCTTATACACAGAAAAATACGGTGTATCTTCTTGCCCCAGTGTGGTTCCGGCTTCTATAATTTTTATATATATATATATATATATATTTATAAAGGTAAAGGTAAAGGTACCCCTGCCCATACAGGCCAGTTGTGTCCGACTCTAGGGTTGCGTGCTCATCTCTCTCTAGAGGCCGTGAGCCGGCGCCGTCTGAAGACACTTCCAGGTCACGTGGCCAGCGTGACGAAGCTGCAACTGGCAAGCCAGCACCAGCGCAGCACACGGAAACGCCGTTTACCTTCCCGCTATAAAGCGGTACCTATTTATCTACTTGCACTTAAGAGTGCTTTCGAACTGCTAGGTGGGCAGGAGCTGGGACCGAACGACGGGAGCTCACCCCGCCGCGGGGATTCAAACTGCCGACCATACGATCGGCAAGTCCTAGGCACTGAGGTTTTACCCACAGCGCCACCCGCGTCCCTATATATTTATATATGAACATATTTATTTATATTAGAACATTTAGAATGTAATATCAAAGATTCTTCAGAAGTTTACTTTGAATACAACCGACCAAGAAGTCCTCCCATACAACCCTCATGGAAAGGAGTGGAAGCTACATAAAAGCGCATGCTCAACACTGCATAGTTCCTATTATTATTATTATTATTATTATTAACCAACCTTCATCTGAAAATCACAGGGCGGTTCCCCTCATAAAAATACAAAATGAGAACACAAAATACATAATAAAGCAAATACAAACTAAGAACCCTCCCCCCCTTTGACACATTTAAAGACCGTATAATGTTAATCAGCCAAAAGTCTGGTTATAGAGAAATGCCTAAATATATGCAATGAGGGTGGCAGGTGAGCCTCCCGGGTGAGCTTATTTCACAAGTAGGGAGCCACTGAAGAAAAGGCCCATTCTTGTGTTTCCACCCCCTGGATCTCTTGTGTAGGAGGCACACAAAAATGGGCCTTAGATGATGGGTCCAGGGCTGTTCATATGGAGACTGGTGGTCCTTGTGGTATTGTGGTCCTGAATTGGGATTACGCAATTAAATGGGGATTATGCAAGCAAATTTGGCAGTTAGAGCCACTCCCATTCATTTCGATGAAGCATGCACACAAGGCCTTTCCAGCGGATGGTGTCCTTTAATACAACAAAATATAATATTGGATGGGGGAGATATGAGAGACCATTGGCAAAGCTTTAACAGGAAGGAAAAAAGGGAATCTATTTATTACAACATATCAATGCTAAAAATAAAAAGAAAGAAAGAATTAGGAAGCTGTGATAATGCCTTGTGAGCATAGTTTGTTTGTTTTTAATGCTCACACGAAGGGTTCCATTGTGGCATACTGGCATGAGGCATGGAAAGGGCTTGACTGTGTGTTCCATGCAGTGTATTTGGACAGTGATGTCAATATTTTGTCTCTTATTCCCCTTCTGTTCCTGGCAGTCACAGTGCAAAAAGGAATTGGTTAGATATCAGTACTGGCCACCCAATCTGCACAACCAACTTTCTGATTTCACAGGGGATGGAAATTATGTCTGCTTTGGAGGAGATGCTTTCCATGTGTTCCCCTTGCTTCTGGTTTAGTGCCATAATGATAGTGTGGAACACAGCCATGTAGACATGTCATTAGACCCCCAGTAAGAGCTTTACCATTAGCTTTATTGTCTTTAGGGTCAGCTACGCCCTGGTAGAGATTCCCTGCTACATGTGTTTCTTGCTTAAGGATAAGGCTTCGCTTATTCACTGTATGCTGTAGCCAAGGACCACCCAGCATCTGTTTAAGATAAATGTCACATTCACCTTTGTCAAGGACCACCCAACTATCGATAAATGCTGCCTATGCTCATGATTCTTAAAGTGTTAACTAGCTTAACTTATGAGGTGCAAGTAGACTTTTTTAAGGCCAGATGCTTTTCAAGGATGCTCTGTCTAGGCCAAGCACTTGAGTGCCTGTTTTGCTCTGCAGCCATTCATATGTGTTGATTTATAGTAATGATAGGATCCGAGAGTAGCTCCTATTTCTCTATATTGTTTTCTTCTCTAGGAATTTATAGTAAAGGTAAAGGGACCCGTGACCGACTCTGGGGTTGCGATGCTCATCTCGCTTTTTTGGCCAAGGGAGCTGGCGTACAGCTTCCGGGTCATGTGGCCAGCATGACTAAGCCCCTTCTGGCAAACCAGAGCAGCGCACGGAAACACCGTTTACCTTCCTGCTAGAGCAGTACCTATTTATCTACTTGCACTTTGATGTGCTTTCAAACTGCTAGGTTGGCAGGAGCAGGGACTGAGCAACGGGAGCTCACCCTGTCGCAGGGATTCAAACCACCGACCTTCTGGTCGGCAAGTCCTAGGCTCAGTGGTTTAACCCACAGCGCCACCCGCATCCCTCCCTAGGAATTTATAATATAATATAATATAATATAATATAATATAATATAATATAATATAACATAATATAATATCCTAGAGACCTTTCTAGAATCCAGAGCATCTCATGGACCTTCATGGATTCCAGACATTTGTGTAGCCTTGGGTCTTGAACAAGAGTGAGAGGTGGCAAGAGTGAGAGGTAGCAATGACACAAAGAGTCCCTCCAGACACCCTTTTTATTGTGCATTCCCAATGATTTGTGATTACGATGGTAGTGGGGCAGTTATATGTGATCCCACCATCAATGCTGTTTATGCCTGCAAATGTTTTGCAGCAATCATACTACTTCATTTCCAATCAGTGCATTTAAGTTCCTGTTTACATCTTGCATGTTTTTATACTACAAATGATCCAGATTATTTTTTTGACTAGTTTTTGTTGTGTTGTAGTGCAAGAGTGTCCTTCCAGATGGCACTAATGTGGTAACATTGGCGAATCATTGCAGAACTAATAAAGCCAAATGATGTGTCCATTATAAACCCACCACTAATGCACTGTCATTGCACTGTTGATATGTTGCAGAATATACAGTAACCACAAAAAACACCAGTCTAGTGTGGCCCAAAATCCAACACAGTGGTTTTCAGTTCTTTTTGACATTATCTTCTGGGGCCAAAGCATCTGATGCACACACAAAAATGTATTTGTGAATCTGCAGGGTAGGCTAAATGTTGATATTTTTCCAGCCTGTACCCATGCTTTGTGCTACATCCTTTGTGTACAGTACTTTGTGCTGGCATCCATCCTTGGGTATCAAGAATCATATCTCTTCCAGTAACCTGGTCCTCTCCTTAATGTCCCATCTCTCCCAGGAGACTGGTTAATGACTTCTCTGCCATTTATAAGCAGGTCACTTGGATCATGTGAGCATTTTGGATGTCCCTTTCTCAAGCCACTTTGCATGTTATTGGAGCACTCTGTGTGTGGGATTTCCCCCACACATGCAAATTCCTCTTGTTCATGCTTCATATCCCCTTGTTTCCTTTGTCTGCTGCTCTTCCTAGCAGTTTCCTGATATCTTAACTTAGAGACATGGCTCGTTCTTAATGTTTCTTTGTCCTATCCATATTTCCCAGATTTGACATTAATACTGCTTCTTGCATAATTTTTTTCCTACACATTGCCATTGTCATCATCAGTGAAGTAGATCTTCATGCGCCTATTCAGCAGAATTGCAAATGGCTTGGCACATGCATCTGATTAAATCTTCTTCACAAATCAAATTACCCTTCTGCAATTAAAGAGGTTGCTGCAGTGAAGTGGAGCAGAAGGATCTTATAAATTCTATTTACCTGTGGATGCCAAAATGAAGTAATCCTTTGCAAATCCTGCTGTGAATGTGTAGCGACAGGCACAACACTGTCTTCTCACCCCCTCTTTATGACCTTTCTCTCTCTCATCAGTCTGTACTTCCCCCACTCATTTCTACTTCTTTCCTCCATTGTTCTCACAACACCTACTTTATACCCTGCTCTAATTATATGCAGTTGATTTCTTTCCTCTATTAAAAGGAAACCACCCCCACCCACCCCAAACACCCCTGGCATCATTTACCCTCTTAACAACATACCAGCTTGGGTTCATTGCATTCATGCAAATATAGTGGGAGTGAGATGTGCCGTTTGTACGCATGAGGGGTTTGATTCTACACGATGCAGCGCAGCCAGTAGTTTCTTCCAGCAAAGCACTTAAGCACCTGCCTAACACACACAGAAGACACAAGTGGTCCCATTTGCATTATACATGCCTTTTAAGTAAATGGCAATGTTGGGTACTTAGCTGGGTTAGGCAGGAGTTCTCTCATATTCAAGTAAGATCACGCTCACAGCAAACCAAGCTCCTTTGATACACACATTACTTTTTCTACAGTTACTCTCTGAATTTGAGAAGGCAGCCACCAAGCCTGATGTAGACAGAATCGTACTCTGCCTTCCCCTGTTTTTGCTTCTGGTTAATCCAAATAAATAGCATCTCCAAGTTCCAAGCTCACAATCGCTAAAAGCATTTATAATCAGACAGCAGTAATGTGCATTTTATGTGATTGATTGGTTTTTATTTTTAGCTCATCTTTCCTGCAAGGAACAACTTGGGATGGTGGGCATGGTCTCCTCCCCCTGGGTTGTTATGGGGATTAAATGAGGAAGAAGAAGAAGAAGAAGAAGAAGAAGAAGAAGAAGAAGAAGAAGAAGAAGAGGAGTTTGGATTTGATATCCCGCCTTTCACTCCCCTTCAGGAGTCTCAAAGCGGCTAACATTCTCCTTTCCCTTCCTCCCCCACAACAAACACTCTGTGAGGTGAGTGGGGCTGAGAGACTTCAAAGAAGTGTGACTGGCCCAAGGTCACCCAGCAGCTGCATGTGGAGGAGCAGAGACGCGAACCCAGTTCCCCAGATTATGTGACTACCGCTCTTAACCACTACACCACACTGGCTCTCTAGAACCATATATTCCACCATAGGCTCCTTGGAGAAAAGGGTGGTAGATAAATGCAGTGAAACAAGCAAACAAGCAAGCAAATGTTATATTCACAACAATCCTGTGTGGTAGGTTAGGCTGAGAGAGAGTGACTGACCCCAAACTACCCAGGCAGCTTGCATTGAGAAAATAGAAAGAGTTGGGAGTACTGTTTCCCCGTTCTAGATGTCACATATTAAGGATTTTGACAAACTGGAGCAAGTCCATGTTAGATATTCGTCATAAAATCATAGAATCATAGAGTTGGAAGGTACCATGAGGGTCATCTAGTTTAGCCCTTTGCAATGCAGGAATTTTGCGCAACGTGGGGCTCAAACCCACGATCCTGAGATTAATAGTCTCATACTTTACCAATTGACATATTCCTTACACAAACTTGAAAATAAATCTTTACTTGTCAGGTTGGCAGCAGTTGAACAACAAATATTCTCATATATTCTCATATATGAATACAATGCGTTTCTCTTCCCTGAGTCCAAGAGAGGGTTTAGTCCTTTTGTTTTCAAAACTCCTTCATAGCAGTGCGTAAGTTATTTATCCACAACGTGGCTGTCCTCACAAACTCCTGCAGAAAGCATCTGCTTGAAGTCACCACGCTCCCACATTCTCAAAGAATGAACTAATGGAATAACCAGCCAACTGCCACCTCCTTTCCCCAGTAGCATTTATTCTTTGTGAAATACATTTACAATGCAAATACAATACAGCTACTAACAGTCCAGAGGAAGGTAGCCAGGATAATGGCCAACCAGAAAAACAACTAAACAATTGCATCATAAGGTAAACAAGCAAAATTACAACATGAATTACGCACAAGTAATCGTCTTTAGCTAGGATAGAGGTGACTAGCCTTTGGGGGGCCAAGGGTCACATTGACTCATGGTGGACCCTCTGGGAGTTGCACATCAACATGGGTTTTTGAAAGCGCACATTTTTGGGGGTGGGAAGAAAAAGCTTTTGGAATAACAGACTCGCAACAAGGGATCTGTGGGAGTAGACAGTTATTTTAAAGGATAACTTTCGGGAGCCCTTCAGGGACCTCCCAAAATACTTTTAGTATCACAGTGGGGTTACTGTGGGGGCACTCAGGAAAGAAAGAAAAATGGACAAAGGGCTTGGAGAGCCACAAATATACCTTTTGGCATCACGGGGGGTGGGGCATGTAAACAGTCATTTTTTTCTTAGCTTCATTAGAAAACAACAAATTTGAGGGTGTCTTGGGAACCATAAAAACTTTGGGGGCAAACGTGGGCCATGGCTTAGCCACCCTTGTGCTAGGGCTTCAAAGATGGAGAGATGAATATACCTAATGTTGGTTGCCAACTCATCTTTTCAATATGAATATTAAGGGCTATCACACCTGAAGTAGTTTTGAGCAGGCATCCTGTGATGTACCATTAGAAAATATCTGCAATACCCAAATATAGCAGTTTATCCCATAGACAGAAATGGAGGGGATTCAAAGTGGGGGAAAGAAAGGGCTCCAACTCTTCATTACATGACAGGGAAATGAGAAGTTCTTGTAATTGTCTCATGAGTAAGCCTGCGAGTGGCATGTGTCCAGGAAATAGGCAAAAAGTATTTATTCCTTGTACATATCTCAGAGGCCACTGTGTCTACTTTTATTTCTTACTTCCTGTTTTGTGGAAGATGATGAGAAAGAGAAGGTAATTTTATTCGCCTAGCAAGTATAGCCATCCCCCCTCGTTCCCCGGTGTAATGTAACAATGCCAGAAAGGGGAATGACATTTCCATTATGACTCAATGGAAACTGTCATGTGGTGAACTCCCTTTGGGGAACCAAACCTTTATGTATACCAACAAGCAAACATGACCCTGCTAGAACAATTATATGTAAACATGCCATTTGTTCAAGGCTGCAATTGAAAATGTTGCTGGCTTTAGTGTGTGTGCTTCCGCAAAGTCCTTAGTGAGATGCAGCAACAGGGTCACCTGCCTCTGGCTGTTCCCATACAGGCAGAACTGCTTGGAATTCTCAGCAAGCAGCCACGGCTGACCGGGACATCTATATTTTGACATGACCTTGCACAGTTGGGATCCCTTTCTCCTTCACTATGGAATTTCCTCAGGTGGCCATTCTTATTTCAGGATCTAAACCAGGATGAACAGCAGGCCGCCAGCCAGCTGCTGCTCATTAATTTCTCCTATGGTTGTGTCAGAGTACAAGAGGTGTGTCTGCAATGGCATTAATCCAAAATATGCAGAGGGTGATTCTGCATTCCTTGCATACCCAGGGCTATCGAGGAAGAAATGGGAAATAGGTATCATAGAATTGTAGAGTTGGAAGGGCACCTGAGGATCATCTGGTGCAACCCCCTGCAATTCAGGAATATGCAAGTGGCACGTAAGGGAATCAAACCCGAGACCTTGGCATTTTATTAGAACATGGGCTAACCTAGGGTGTAGGAAGCTGCCATTGTTCCATTTAGTTCAGCCTTGTCTGCAGTAACTGGCAGTGGATTGCCAGGGTTTCAGGCAGATTTTTCCTAGCCTTACCTGGAGACCCCAAGGAATGAACCTGGGACTGTCTGCATGCAAAGCATGGGTTCTGCTACTGAGCTATGGCCCTTTATCCTACCATGGGAGGGTTTTTGTACATATTGGCATGCATTACATTTTCATTTTAGCACCGCAGGTACTTTATCCATCCGAAACATACAGTAAGCAAGTAACAACTTCTGTTTAAATGTAAGTCTCGTTCAGGGCAATCTCCACTTCTATTGGTGAGCTGTCTTTTTACTTCCTGCATTTTTCAGCCACGAAGCTGATCACATGGCAGCTTTGAACAGGGATGCTGGTGCATGTGGCACATTCTTTACAGCCTGTATTGTACTGCACACAGCAGACCCACACCTCTTTATACCACTGCTGGTTGCAATCCGGGCTAAACAGGGTTATGCACACAGCCGGAGTCATGGTATAATTCTGGGGCGAAAAGGACACCTGCTTTTGCAAGGTATCTGCTGTGGTTGCTTCTCGTGATGCTGGTTTAGTGCCCCAACTACTGAATTGAAGAGTCTGGCATCTGCATTCATGTGCCATTGAACTTTACTGCCCATTTGCTCAGGATCCAGACTTTGCCTTCTATAGATGGATATAAAGGCTCCTTCCCTGTTCTTCCCTGTTCTGGTGCTCCAGCACCACCTCCCACACTATTCAGGTAGGTTCCCTGATCCTCTGGAACTGTGTGAGAGGGCACTAGATGGCCGGTGGAGGCTCCAATGAGAGGAGGGGATTGGCAAAAGCGCTGGCAAGAGCATCCTGGGAGCAGAACTCTGCTCAGGTGATGCTCAGTGGCAGGAATGAAGTCTGAAACCAACCCCTAGCTTGGCGAGATCCCTTTAGAGCTCTCTGCAATCTCATTTCTGTTTTTACCACCCTGAATTTGCTTTCACAGGAACTACTGATTAACACACATTGTAACCCAAAAGTTCATTGCACGTTTTACATAAATCCGAAAGGTGATTTGACACTTCCTGAATCTTTTAAATAGCACATCACGCAATTACAGCTGGTTGACAAATAAGTCATTTTAATTTATTAGTTTTATTAAAGACATTTTATACTCAAAAGTTTAAAAGGCTCTTTCCCCCATTGCCCCATTGTTTGGAGGCCTCCATTCTCCTTATTGAAGAAATTCATGGACTCCGAAGATGTTACAATATGTGGAAGTCTGTAATTTTGCTTTTTACTATTTGAAGTTTTAATAAAATCCTTTTATGTGATTTCATATAAGCTATAAAAGGAGGAAAATCTGCTTTGGATTTCTTTTTTATTATTAATGTGGTTTGAGAGTACTTTTTCAATTTGTTATTGTTGTTGGCATTTTCATTTCCTCTCCTTGGCTTTTGTTCCATATTTGAAATTTACCTGGGCACAATGCCTAGTTTTTCAGATACTGTTTACTGTAATTCTTAAGGTGCTAGAGGCTATTGGACATTGATAGGCATTTGAAAGAAAGAAAAATATATAATTGGCTGCATTATGAGGCTGAAAAGGTTTGACTACCCATTTTCCCAGTAGGTTGCATAGAATGTGCTCAAAATAAAATATTCAGAGGAAAGTATGAAACATAATAAAACATTGTACCTGATTTTATTTTATTTTATAGCTCATGATTGCACTACTTCAACAAGCATCAGGGCATCTTTGGAGGTGCCAGTCCCATCCTATATTTAATCCAGAGACATGCCTGTGTGATTGCCCTCCCATGGTTACTTCAGCATCAGAGTAGCTTCAGTTAATCTTGACCTTGGCAGTTGTGTATTCCAGAAGTTCATAAATGGAACCAAACCAAAACCTCCTTACATAATTTTCGGGATGTTCAGAAGGGGTTGGCTTTTACAATTACTTTGGAAGGATCTCCAAAGAAGAATGCCCCCAATGAAAGGTGATGGAATGTTACTCTGTTGATGTTTCATCTGTATGGAAAGTTATACTAAACAGAATGTAATTGAACTGTGTTTAGACAGCGTGTCTTGGCAGAATCATATAAGAAAAAGCAAAGGCTTGCTGAATGCGTGCCAATAAACTACAGTTGAATCATGACAAGATGGTGGTGCTGTGGGCATGTCCTGGTTATGTCCAGGGAGATGGTGCTCAGCCTATTTTATATGAGGCTGCACTGCCCTGACATAGCAAGCTAACAGTTTAGAAGTGCTCCTGAATCCTCATTTTAATGATGCACATCAGCCTGAAGAATTCTTTACAGCCCAGCAGCTTGCTTCTATCATTTCCTTGCTTGTTTTGTGTGAATAATGCTATCCATCTCCTTTGCTTTATATATATTTCTTCTGCAGAACCAATACATAATAAGGCTCTGATCAGCTTTGCTAGTATATCCCTTTGTTTTGAAAATGTGCGCAGCGACATTTTGTATTTGTGAAGCATCCTTGAAAACAGACAAGACATTCTGTGGCATCTCAAGGCATTGATTAGCTTTCTGGATTACAGGATATGGCATAATATGAAGGCAACATTTCAAAATCCCAACAGAGTCTGTTGGGATTAGGAAAATCTGGCACATGCTCTGAAAGATTCACTTGTTTGACTTGTTTGTTACCATGCCATTAGATCTTCAGTCACTTGAGAGAATGTAGATTTCATGAGCCAGAAGTGTTCAGATCCAGCTGGAGCCTTAGGATTTTAGCAGTTCAAAAATCACTGAAATAATGCAGCAGTTCTGAAGCAAAGAGAGAGCCCATCTAGGCCTCATAAGAAGTAGAAGGCAGTAGACTATTTTAAGGGCACAATCTAACAGAAACTGAGCCCTTTATATACCAGTTTTTCATGGGAGAGTTTTAAACATTTACATGAAGTCCTCATTAAATCAAGAAGTAACTTTCGCTCTTAAGTCAAAGTTAATTGCCATAAATAACTTTTCACTCAATTTGTTCGTAACAAAGTTGGCCTACATTTTTATTATAGTTATCTGACCACAAGTACAACTCATAAAGCTCACTGTATTCTACAAGGACTTCACTTTTTAGGATGAAAAGCAATCCTTTAGAGAAAATGGCATCTCCCATTGCATCTGTTATTCTAGGCCAGACTTTGCCAACCTGGTGCCCTCCAGGTATTCTGGATTAAAACTCCCATAAGCCCCAGCTAGCCAGATGGTTGGGGCTGGTGGGAGCTGTAGTTCCAAACATCTATATCTAGATAAATATATGAGATTATATGTTCTGATGTTGAAGTTTGTGATTTGAATGTATATTTATTTATTAATGACATTTGTGTGCCACCATATAACATTAAAATTTCTGAGCGACTCTCTGTGCTTTTTAATTTTTTAGTGGACTCAGGAGACCATTAATAGTAGCAGCATATATGAGCAGCCTTTGTATAGTGTATTCTACATAGATAAACTCAATAATTCTGAATGGTATATCAGAACAAGCATATGAAGCTACTTTTATGTAGCTGGATATTTGGTCCTTTAACTACCTATGACAACTGGCTGCTGTTTGTCTTTTTGTATGCCATGCGTAACATTATTATTATTATTATTATTATTATTATTATACACATTAGAGCCGTGGGGCTGAGGTTACCTAATGAGTTTATCGCTGAGGCAGCATTTGAACAGGAGACTTTCCAAAGCTTACACTCATACTCCATACAATTCTGACTGTATCCTCCACAGTCAGGCCCATGTATTCAGAATGCAAAACAAAATCCCTATTATTATTTATGCTTGGCACTATTAATAGTAACACTCATAACTGCAATTCACAATAAATTACAGCTGTGTACCTAAGGTCCAGGAGCTACTCTCAGATTTAGTGCTCAAAATTACAGAGATTGTTGGTGGTGGAGGATTAATAAACCATAAACCGCAAACAATCTACTACCAATTTTACTCAAACCACACACCTTCAAAAATCAGCGGCTGAGAGAGGGTGCCACAAAATGTATTGGGGGGGCTCTGTAAATCAGTGCTGGTGCTCCTTCCCCTTGTTTAGAATAACTAGTCAGGGATGCATCTAGACCAGGGGTCTGCAACCTTTAAGACAAAAAGAGCCACTTGGACCCGTTTCCAAAGAAAAAAAAACTGGGAGCCGCAAAACTCGTCATTATAAAAATAACTTTTTTGTCACTTTTTATTATTTCTTTGTTTGACCCCTCAGAATTACTCCTCCTCATAGAAATAAACGTTAAATTAACAAGTTACCTTTTTGTGTGTGTGTTCTTCACTCCCCTTCAAAACAGTGACCAGCGTACATGCCCCCTTTCAATGCAGTGACCAGCGTACATGCCCCTTACAATGTAGCGGGCGCGCGGGAAGGCGACGTCGGGACGGTGCGTGACTAACGCACGCACCGCCCCCATGCGACGTCACAGCCAGTACAGCGCCCGCCACAGTGGGGAGTGTCGGGGCGCACAATGCGCCTCCTCCCCTCACTAGTATCCGCCCCGGAGCCGCCACATGCGGCTCCGGAGCCGCGGGTTGCAGACCCCTGATCTAGGCTATGGGTAGGCAACCTAAGACCCCGGGGCCGGATCTGGCCCAATCGCCTTCTAAATCAGGCCCACAGACGTTCCGGGAATCAGAGTGTTTTTACATGAGTAGAATGTGTGCTTTTATTTAAAATGCATCTCTGGATTATTTGTGGGGCATAGGAATCCGTTCATTTCCCCCCCCCTTCAAAATATAGTCCGGCCCCCCACAAGGTCTGAGGAACAGTGGACTGGCCCCCTGCTGAAAAAGTTTGCTGACCCCTGATCTAGGCAATTTTAAACTTTGATCTTATGACCACCACCCCACACCCCTTTTCAATAGCAGTATTATGTGGTGCCTCAATGCCATGAGCCAAGTGTGCTGTATTCCTGGCCCTCACCTTCTCATTCCCCTAAATGGGGCCAGATCTATTATGAAACTAATGAAGCTTAAATCTCCAGGGTCCCTAATCCTGGAGGGATGAATAAAGAAGCGACTTTATTCCCGCACGTATATAACATTTCCCTAATTTTCATCTTCCTCATAACTTGAAAACTATAAAGGCATTGGGGGTGGGGGGAACTCACACGTGACTTTTTCATGTGAACCAACCCAGTGCAGCAATTTTAATCAAAATCTGAAATGTAGTAGTAAAGTTGTTTTTTAAAAACAAAACAAAACACACACGTGGTGCTCTGTCGTGGAGCAACCCCCGTGAAGATGATAACAATGGTTACCCGGGCCTTCTTGCTGGTTGCGAAGAGGCCCCCCTAACAGTTCAAGCTGCAGTCCCCCCCAAAAGCCTCAGGGTCCGCCACTGAGCGGGGCCCAGGCCTTCTGCCCTCAAAACCCCCGCCAAGTGGCACCACCTGTCCACTGGCAGCTTTCCCCCTCGGGCGGAGGTGCTTGTTAGGTATGCGGCGGTGGAGGCCTGCTTAGTTCCTCCTCGAGAGGCGCCACCAAGGAGGAATAGCACCGCGCTGCCCTCCTTGACGCCCAACAAGGCGATGCCCTAAGATTCTGGGTTCGGCGCGGGGGAGGAGGAGGAAGGGCTCCGCCCAGGCGCCCCAGGGGAGTCACCCGGCCCCAGGCGTGGCCAGCAAGCCAGGTCTCCGCGCGCGGCCACCAGTGGGAAGATCTCTCGCAGCAAGGCGCGGGGGAGGTGGGGAAGAGCTCCTTCTGCCGCCGCCGCCGCCGCTCCTCCTCCTCCTCCTCTGCGCCCGCCTGCCCTACCAGAAAGGGAAGGCGTTTATTTCCTCGGCCTTAGAATAAACCCCTCGGGCGCCTCGGCCGCTTTGTAAGGTCTACCTGCCTGCGAACGGAGCGAGCGGCTCCGCGCCTGGCACCACCCCCGGCAAGCAGCCCGGCGAGCGTGGCGCGTCTCGGCACCTGGGAACGAAGCCCTCTCCTCTCGCCCGCCCGCCCGCCACAATCCCCGCCTCCACCGCCGCCGCCGGGAAAGGCAACGCGCGCGCCTCGGCGGAGTTGCGGATCGCGTCCTCTCGCGGCGGGCGCCTGCTTGGATCCGAATCTGCTCCTTGCTCGCTGCTGCCGCTCCGCAACACAGGCTTATTTAGAAAGCGGGTCTCCCCGTTGCCTTTCCTGAAGCCCTAAAACACACAAGCAGAGGGCGTGCGGTCGGGGGGAAGGTTGCTTGCTTTTCAAATGCAGTAACCCGGTGGCTTTAATACCCGGGTTGTTTGGAGGCAGATCTTGCGGAAAGGAATAGGCAGGAAGGACCCCAGGTATTTTCCAGCCGGGGTCGCAGCAGTAAAGACATCTCTCTCCTCCCCCTTCCATCTCTTCCCTTGACCTCGTATTGGCAGCAAAGTTTGAAAGCAACCTGCAGCCGGCTCCGCCTGGGAACTTTCAGTTTAACCGGTCCATGGCTGAATGTTCAAGGTGCCTTTGATGTTTGTGTACGAGCGCGTTGCGAGCAGAGAGAGAGAGCAGCTTCTGGGAAGCGGACTGTTGCTTGCTTGCTTGCTTGCTTCCTCCCCCCACCCCGGCTACACTTTATCACCCACCTTCTTCCTCCCACCAGCCCACACGCGCGATTTGCTTAAGAAGAACGGCGCGGGGTGGGGGAGTGTTGAAATTAGCAAGAAGTGGTAAATTGATTAAGACCAGTTTCCTCCTGCGAGAGAGCGCGCGCGAGAGCACTTGCAAAGAGGAGCGCGGGAGGGGGAAGAGCTAGAGCGAGAACCGATCGCAGGCAGCCCAGCCCCTGTAGAGCACAGGAGCTTGCAAAGGAGGGGTGGGAAGTGAGCATTGCTGCTGGTAGCGGCTCAGTTAGCTGCCGTTCGCAACGGTGGAGAATTGATCTAGCCACTAGCGGGGTGCTGGGTGTTAGGCGGGGTGTTCCTGCGGCTCCTCGGCGACGTGCAAAGCGCTCTCCTTGATTGCATTTGACTTGCAATGCCGGCAAACCGTGCACAGGATGAAATCAGGTTTGTTACGACGTTCTGTATGGGGTTTTCTTTTACCCTCCCTTCCCTCACATGTCAGAAAGGATCATAGCAACAAGGCAGTGTCAGTCACCTCATTACAGTGTCTCTTGTGCCGTTCTTTGGAGATATGTGTGTTGTTTTTTTTTAAAAAGAGAGATGATGAATCTTTTATGCAGCTGGCTTCTTGTATCCATACAGGAGCTTCACAATTTGCACTTGATTGCAGCTAAAATCTTTTTTGTGTGTGTAAGATCCGCTTCCCTAAACTGATGGAAAATAAACACAGATGGGAGATGAGGAGTGGGGGGGACTACAAGCCATAATGAGGCAGTGTGGTTGGGTGCTCTTTCTCCTTTCTACCCTTTGAGCATTTTCTTCCTGCAAAAAGAAAATGTGATCCTTCAATCTTCAGAGCAGTTGCATGGAGCAGAAGAAATCCAGCCTAGGTTTGTGCATCTTTGGAAAGTGGAAGAGGTTTACTTGGATAGTGCAAGTTGATCTGTGGATTACTCTCTTCCCTGTATGCACGGATTCCTTTGCATGCCGACTCTTTCCAGCAATTATGCTTAAAAGTGTGTATTTCCTCTTTCCACACCTTGTAGGTCACTCTTCTAGAATGCCAGAGGAAAGTTCCCCACGGAAGACTCCCCAGAATGTCCCATATCGGGACCTTCCTCATCTGGTCAACGCTGATGGGCAGTACCTTTTCTGCAGATACTGGAAGCCATCCACCCCACCAAGGTGAGCACTGCAAAGGGGAGCATTTCTTGTGTGTAAATAAATAAGACACCTTTCATTCAGCTTCACTCCTGTTTGTTCTTGCTGTACAGAGAGTAGCACAAAGAATTGTGTTCTTTGTCAAACAGATCCTTGCCCCAAGCAACTTCACTTTAAAGGCTGTAACACCCTTGATCCTTCAGTATTTGTGATGGAGTAATGTTGCATGTTGAAATATTGCACTAATATAACTATTGGTAAGCCCATCTTGAGTAAGGCATTGCATGCTGTTGCGGTAAGAGAGGAGCTGTCTATTAATCATTCATCCTCCTACTCATTAGAATAGGCCTTAAAAGCAACTCACATGAGTAAGGCTTGGAAGATTGGGACAGTTCTGTTTCTTAACCCAGTGAAACCAAATGCTGTGAGAAAAATCAACATGTAAATAAATATGTTAATCAAATACTGTTGCGTTTCAGAGCTGTGTGAAGCTTCAGGTTGCACAGTCCTTACCATTATTTTAGGGCAAGTAAGTAAAAACTTCAGAGCCAAGTTAAAATGGTTATACATCTCAGTTCAATGGCAAGGGTGCCCACATGTTGCATGATTATTTACTTTTTCTAATAGTATCTGTGTACTGAGATGACTCTTTAGCTTGGCCATAGGGTTCTACTGGAACTCAAGAGCCCTGAAGATAAGTTAAAATAGCAGTCAAAATTACCAAATAATCAATCATTTAGATAATCCCCTTTTCATAATCCCCTGCAGAATAATGACTTCTTGGATATGGTTCTTCAGGAAGCATGAATATTGCACTCTAGATGGACTTATGTGGATTTTCCTCATTTTTTGTTATTTCTCTCCTTTTTCTCTACTGAAGCTGGCTTGTTGAATATAAATGCCAGCTCTAGCAATGGAGGAGAGTTACATATAGAAGAGTGAAACTATTGTTCTGCTCTTTGTCTTTTCTGCAGGCGAACAGGATAAACTCTGTTTATTTTTACATTGCAAGGCAAGAAATCTTATTTGGAAAATGGTTACCCAAGGAACAGTAGGGAATTCAGCTTTCCTGTCTCGGTGGATTCTGTAGCTACCCAACTACAGTAGTTAAGCTTTACATGATGCGACACCTGGCTGAAGACAGGAACATAAAACTTCCATTATTGTGTGAGAGCAATGATCCATTCTAGACTATGAACTTGTCTCCAGCAGCACTTCTAGAAAGAGCAGCAATGGGGCAAGCACAAAGTAATTGATCTAGGTGATCTTTCCCATTAGCTTTTGAAGCTATGAAGATCATTGGCTAGTGTTTTCCTGTGAGCCTAAGAGAGAGAGGTTACAAGGCTCAGTGGACTATTGATCTGACTGTGGACGTTTTATGTTCCTCCTGCCTTCAGTTATTTAGCATATAAAACTTGTGAACTGCTGAAGTTTGGGGATACTAAAGCAGTTCTTTGAATAAAAAGGACTCTCCTGATTCTTCTTATAAGCTGCTGTCTTTAGCGCATTGTGTCCCATATCATTCATGAAAAGCTTCCATTAGCGTAATTTTGTCATCATTCAAGGCCTACCTTAAGCTTTCAACCTTTCACCTAGAAACAAAACCTGTAGAATCCTTGTGCTTTGTTGTTTACAGCATACAGAAGCCATCCTCCGAAATGGTACTTCTGTATCATTTCAAATGAATTGCTTCAGCAGCTTGCACCTGGGTTTGTTTTGCTTTTGTTTTTGCAACTTGTAAGTCAAGGATGTGTTCATTTTAGAGGCTCTATCCTAAGAGTCCTCCCAGGGTCAGTGGACAAACCTTACAAGATTTGGAGTTGTCTGTAATGCATCTACCTTGGCCAGACTTTAACTACATGATCCATGTGGCAGCTCTGCCAAACCTGAGGGTAACTTACTGGCACTGCTTGCCACAGGAGTTCTGGCATCATCCTTAAAGATTTCCTCTACTGAACAAATTCAGAATCAAAACAAGCTGCTTCTGTGAAACCAGCCTGTCACGTATTATAATGCTAATTAATCATTAACTGCCCACAGTGTTCTTCAGTGAGTTGCAGAATTGCGTTCCCCTTTCATGTTTAATTTCTTAGCAAATTAGTGGTGCTCACATGAGTCTTTGATCAAGAAATGAAAGGATGGCAAAGCAGTGAAAGTTAGAACTTGGCATTTCGTTCCTCCTGGTAGCTTGGTGTCTGCACACACCAAGTGGTTAATTGAGAGCAAGATTGCCCTAGTTTTGTGACAACAAAGTAAACAGGATCAGGGCTGCTCACTTACAAGTGGCTCTTAAGTGTGTGGAGCCGTTTATTTTTAGCCTCTGATGTATTGTGAGTTATGTGTGAGAGAGGGGGAAATTGTGGGTTGCTGAATAATAATTTATCAGCTGCATCCGACATTCATGGGACAATCTTGAAATACTAGGATACTTGGAGAAAACTCATTCCTGGACACTTTCCAAAGCATCCTTTAATTCCCTGCTTCTTCTTTAGAAGTACTAGGGCTTTTGTCTAATTATTAATGATAAACTATAATAATAGTTTAGGGCTTGCCGATCGCATGGTAGGCGGTTCGAATCCCCGTGGCGGGGTGAGCTCCCGTCTTTCGGTCCCAGCTCCTGCCCACCTAGCAGTTCGAAAGCACCCCTAAGTGCAAGTAGATAAATAGGTACCGCTTTATAGTGGGAAGGTAAACAGCGTTTCCGTGTGCTGCGCTGGTGCTGGCTTGCCAGAGCAGCTTCGTCACGCTGGCCACGTGACCCGGAAGTGTCTCTGGACAGCGCTGGCCCCCGGCCTCTTAAGTGAGATGGGCGCACAACCCTAGAGTCTGTCAAGACTGGCCCGTACGGGCAGGGGTACCTTTACCTTTTATAATAATACTGAGGAAGACAGTTATATTTTGTGACTCTTTTTTGTTTTGTTTTGTTTTGTTTTACCTTGATCCTATTGAGTATAGGGTTGGACTAAGTGTTCATAAGAAAAAATTCTAGAACTTGCTAGGTAGGTTTCAGGCATTTTTCTGTGACATAGCAACTTTTGAATCTTTAAAGCGGCAATTGCTTCACACATACATATCCCCTTGTGAATATAAAAAGAGAAAGCCACCACATGTAAACTTCCCCAACTTGACACACATGCATAGAAACATTAAGTCTCATGAAGTTTAGGATAGAATTCCATGTAGTGTTACGGCAAGTGTTCCATTGGTGCAAGGATTTTGCACGCTCTCCCTCTTTCCCCTCTTGCCTTCCTCAAATCTGCTTCTGGGGGTTCCCCAAACCTCTGGAGCAAAGGGAAGAAAGGAGAGGAAGGGAAGTGATACACTGGTGCAAGTGAATAATGTCTGAATCTGTGTGGAATTGTGTTTCATCCAGTTGGTCCACATGCCTGTGGCCTGTCTTGAGTGAAATGCTGACTTACCTGTATCTCCCCATCTCCCACTATATTCAATATACAAACCCAGGAGCCAACAATCACAGTGAAAAATACAATTTTGCTTTGAAGGTGGTGATCACCAGGCTGTAAGGTAGACTAGAAGTTTTCACTTCGGATGTGGGGTGGTTTTTTGCTTTCATTGCTCAGGTATCTCAACAGGGCGATGCAGATGTGTCTTTCCAAATGCAGAAGCTGTTCAACTTGTTGAACTTGATCTGTGGGAAAATATGTCAAAATCCATTTGAAATGTTATGTTGCAGTCTGTTTGGTGTGTAATCTGGGTTGGGTTAATTTAGTCTTGTTTCATTTCTAATAATGAGAGAAACACTGTTTGTTTTAATTAAAGCAGCACACAAATCGCTCGCAGGAAAGTAGGTACAATTACCCAATATAATTGAAGCTATAGCTACACAGTGAAAGAACAAGTTCGAGGTAGTTCAGCATTGTTTGGAAGTTCAGGTAATCATTAATGCAGGAAAATTGTAAACTCTTCCTAGGGGCGGCTGGGTTGAGGGGAGAAAAAGCACATTCCCCTACTATAGGTTTTCAATATTAGTTAAGCCAAGTCTTTCCAATAAAGGCTAGAAAACCCCTGCTTGCCACATGTAGAGAATATACACCTCACATTACAATAAAATACCCTCTGCTCCCCTCCCTCGTTCATCTTGTTGCATTTGGTTTTCTGGTCTTCCAGAAAATCAGTCAAATCAGTTAAACACTTCATAAATAGCTACATTTTTTGGTGACTGTTTATGACTGCATAAACCATCTGAGTCTCCTGAGTTAAAAATTATGCTTACTTTTTTTTGAGAATATGGGCCAGCCACTTTTTTTTTTGTTTTTTTAAAATGTCTTTGGAAATGGTTTTCCCTTTGAACACAAGCACACACCATTTAAGGTAGAGGCCTGCTCTGGGCCTTTGGCTCTTAGCTTCAGGTGTAGTAGTAGAGCAACTGAGCAACTTTCAACTTCTTCTGTCAAACATGGAAACCAACCAGCAGGCATTGGAGAGAATCATTGTGTAAGGGCTCATTTGGTCATTCTAAAGAAGCAAAGGCCAATATCTTTTTTTGTCCTAAGCTTTTGAAGGATTGTACTTGACAGCTATTGATATTTGGAAGCATTCCCTTTTTTGCCATTATTTCCATTGTTTACTTGTTCACCCTGAACCTTTAATTCTTCTAAGTGGGTTAGGCTTCTTTTACTATTTATTATTGCCTATTCAAGTTTCTAGCCCCTAAGTGTTAGTTATGTAGGTTTAGGGAGAGCACTGTTTAATCCTCCTGTGTTGTGATGTTGCTGTCTTACACTGTTTTGCTTGCTGAGTAATAAGAATAATAATTTCATTATTTATATGCCAACACTAGGTTGCCCCAGCCACTCTGGGTGGCTCCCAACAAAATATTAAAAACACAATAAAACATCAAATTGATATACAGCATTTTATTGTACGTGTGTGTGTGTGTTTCATAGAATCATTTGTTTGCGTTTGCATATGTGTTTAAATTCTTTGGGGGACACTTTGGTTTAAAAAGCAGTATATAAATTAATGGTAATAACAACATAATCATTCCGTACTCGGAGAAGGAGGAGTGTGCTATTGATACTTTGAAGGCCGTGCATTGCACTTAGGGCAGTGCCTGAACTCACCTGGTGAATTGTCCATCAAGAGAGCCTACCCCTTTCTTATGTAACTTGCTTATGTTATTAGAGAAAGGGGTCTTTTTAAACATACAATCTTTGAATAAACTACTGTCTGCCTGACGTCTCTGCGGGTAAAGGAGCAATTTCTGGTTCACCTACAAATCTCTTGTAAAGATAACTATCTTTCCTTCAGACCTAAAGCCAGGGGTGGTGGCAGCATTTAGGAGAGTAGGATTGGCTCCTGGCCCAACACGTCCCAATGAGTTCAATGGGACTTGCTCCCTATTAAGTGTAGATAGGGTTGCTATCCGAGTGTCCCTTGTCTCCTACCATCTATTAATTGAAGATGAGATAATGATGCTTGTGTTGGATCAATGCCAGTGTTAGTGAAGCCTTGAAAGTAGGGGGATACAAAAGGTTTTTAGCATCTGGAAAGACCAAGGTGTTTACGAATGCTGTTATTTATTATTCAGTCCAGCTAGATTGCTTCCTAATGTGTTTAATCTGAAATAGTATACTATGTAAATTGTTGTGTTAGGCCTGCTGAAGATATTGCAGAGAAGTAGTTATGTGTTTTAGGAGTAGTACATAATTGCAGGCAGGAGGAGACTTAGCACTGGCAAATCAGCACCCCATCCCATCTATATCTCAATGTCATGAGTAGCTTTCAGTCTTTCTTCTTTCCCAGGGAGTCATCTTATCTATTCAGTTCCTCTTAGTGTTACTTCATTCCTCTGCACCATGGCGACTGCCTTGTTAATTTTCAGTGGGACACCCTTTATGATTTTTTTTCTCGACTCAACGATGGAAAAAACCCAGCTTCAAAATAAGAAGATATTTTTTAAAAAATACAGAAGTCCTGCTTCGCATCTCGCTGTTGATGCTCAAACAGGCCTCATTAGTGCGATAATTTTTTTCCAGTTGCCACAAGAATGCTCCATAAAAACAAATCTGTCTTTGTTTTGCAGTGGGAAAACCCATGAAAGAAGGCAAACAAGCTGGTTCATGAATCATGGTTAATGACACCATGAAGATGACTTGGAACACAGGTCTCTAGCATGACAGACACTGGGAGGTGGGGGAATCCTTGCAGGCAGTCTCTACTTACGGGTGCTTCTGCAGCGGCTGTCTTCATGATCACAGAAATCTCCCCATGACCAAACAGTCAGTCATATTATAATTGTTTTGTCTAGAACCACGTTCAGATGGTAGCAGTTTCGTTTTTAAAATTATCTTCCCCATCTCCCCCCCAAAATGCCCCTGCAGATGGCATTATGTAATGATATGGCATCATTCACATTGGGCCCTTGTAAGGAAGAAAATAATGCTAATGAGTTGCTGACTGAAGCAGTGGCAATTTTGTTGTTGTTGTTAAGGAAAGAATAGAAAAGTGATACTAGACTAGAATCTTCTTCCTCCTTCTTTTCTAATGCTAACCAACCACCACCTAATAATAATAATAATAATAATAATAATAGCAGAAGGCACTTGCATGGTCAGTTCACATCAAGTCCAAAGAAATGAGAGATTCCATGCAGTATATATATCCTCCAGGCACCCTCTCCCCCCTTCCCCAGGAATCCAGCCACGTAAGCTTATACATGTAAGTTGACATCACAGATGTTCCTGCTCCTGGTGGAGATGCCGGGGATAATAATAATAGTCAAATTTCTATACCACCCTTCGCCTGAGGATCACAGAGCAGTTTACAATAATAAACAACAACAGCAAAGCTGCTTATGCAAGCTGCTACCATTCAGTGTAGACAGTACTGAGCTGGCTGGACCAATGGACTGACTCAGTACAAGGCAGCGTCCTAGGTTCCTAATGGAAAACTGGTTAGAAACAAAAAAAGATGCAGCCCTTTTTTGCTCTACCTTCCACTCTGCAAGAATGCCAAACAAGCATCTGGTGGAAATTTTGACCTGGTGCCAGCTTATTTGCTTTATTCGTTTATTATTTGCTTGCAGTATTTATAGGTTGCCCTGTAACAAAGCTGTCACAGTGGCTAGCAAGAAATAAAACATTTTAAAATTAATCAGCAATGAAACTGGTGTAAAGCTTGGTCCTCCCCACTCTATATGCCAGGTATTCGTTACAATAAAATAAAACTAAAGGCTTGCAGAACATCATGCTTAGTGTGGCCCTTAGATTTGTGTCCCCATGGAGAACGCTGGCAAAGGGACCTCATACAAGTGGAGGGACAAAGGGCTGGGAACAGGTCCGACTTTCTCCTGCCTTTTCTGTATCCACCCACTGTGAGTGTTTGTAGTTCTCAGCTTGTCTCTTTACTAATAAGGAAAGCAGCAATCCTTTGTGGGCACAGTGTTACAGGGGTTGAACAGGGAAGATGGAGGTGACTATATATAGTGTAGATTTTCAGACGCACATATCTTTTCCTTTTTTTAAAGGGCCAAATCCCAAATAAAAGATACAAGCTAGCCGCTGATTTCCCAGCAAGGGGAAAACGAACAGCCCACATACAAAAAGAGCTGAACTTCAGTAAATTTTCCTCTAGGAAGGTTTTCTGCCAGGTGACTCTAAATGTTACTTCCACTTTTCAGCTGGAAATTACTGCATGATGATACTGATCAAGTAATGGAAGGAAATGTACCACATTTTAAGTATAGGCCAAGAGCTCACTCTTGCTTTGGGTTTGTCCTAATACTTGTAGTAAATCCATTTGTAGAAAGATTTTGCACTCTGTTAATGCGTATAGATGGTGACGGCCAGATAAGGAGAAGGTGCCAGATGAAAACAAATTGCATGGTTTAAAGATAAGAATGATTAGTAACCTCTTTTAAAGAAAGTCCCTGATCTAGCGAAATACAGAGGTGAGTACTATATATATCTTAAGTCCCCCCCGCCCCGGGTTAGGAGGCTCCAAGGGTGCAAAATATGGTCCTTTCTAAAAATGGAGAGCAAATGTAATTTTCTGGTCTGTCAGTGCTTTTAGCCAGTTTGTGGGCTGCAAGGGAATATTTTAATAACGTTTCCTCCATTGTTATTCAGTGCAAGGTTTTAGACTTGTCTGTCAAACATGCGCAGAGACATAGTTTCTTTGTTGTGCCAGGCCAGAGGGAGAAAAAGGTATTGGGGAAGCGGTAAGTAATTAAACTTTAGAGAGATCAGTATCTCACTGACCTAGTGGTACATACGGAATAGTTAAACTTCAAATTAAGAATTCTGCTTCATGCTGTCCATTTATAAACAATAGATGACAGGTCAGCATCAAATTTAGTAGGGCCATGCACTCTGGCGAGACAGTCTGTGGGCACGTAGGGTCTCAGCCTGCATACCAGGTGGAGCTGATAAACAGGTGCCCTGGACACAGATTTGACCTGTGCCTCCATGGACAGCTGTGAGTCCAGAATGACTCCCAGGCTGCGCACCTGGTCCTTCGGGGCACAGTTACTCCATTCAGGACCAGGGAGTTCTCCCCACCCGCCCGCCTCCTGTCCCCCAAAAACAGTACTTCTGTCTTGTCAGGATTCAACCTCAGTCTGTTAGCCGCCATCCATCCTCCAACCGCCTCCAGACACTCACACAGGACCTTCACTGGTTCTGATTTGAAAGAGAGGTAGAGCTGGGTATCATCCGCATACTGATGAACACCCAGCCCAAACCCCCTGATGATCTCTCCCAGCGGCTGCCTTTAGATGTTGAAAAGCATGGGGGAGAGGACAGAACCCTGAGGCACCCCACAAGTGAGAGCTCAGGGGTCTGAACACTCATCCCGCCCCCCACTTTCTGAACACGGCCCAGGAGGAAGGAGCGGAACCACTGTATAACAGTGCCCCCAGCTCCCAGCCCCTCTAGACGGTCCAGAAGGATGTTATGGTCGATGGTGTCAAAAGCCACTGAGAGATCTAGCAGAATTAGGAAACAGCTCTCACCTTTGTCCCTAGCCCGCCAGAGATCATCGACCAGTGCGACCAAGGCAGTTTCAGTCCCATGATGAGGCCTGAATCCCAACTGGAAGGGATCCAAATGGTCCGCTTCTTCCAGGCGTGCCTGGAGTTGTTCAGCAATCACTCGCTCAATCACCTTGCCCAAGAATGGAAGATTCAAGACTGGGCGATAGTTGGCCATATTGGCAGCATCTTAAGATGGTTTTTTAAGAAGCGGTTTGATAACCGCCTCTTTCAGTGGATCTGGGAAGGTTTCCTCACAGAGAGAAGCATTCACCACCCCACGAAGCCCATCACCCAGCCCTTCCCGGCTAGCTTTTATAAGCCAGGATGGGCAAGAATCAAGGAGACAGGTGGTTGGTTTCACTTGTCCAAGCAGCCTGTCCACATCCAGGGAGGTAACAGATTGGAATTGATCCCACACAACTTGACTAGACAGGACTCTAGCACTCTCCCGCCCCTGTCCTGCTCCCATGGTGAAGTCTACCTCTTCCCGAATCTGAGCGGCTTTATCTGCAAAAAACTTTGCAAAATCATTGCAGGAGATCATGTGGCCCATACATCAATCCTTAAAAACTTCCCTAAACAGGGCTTAAAAACTTCCCTAAACAGGGCTGCCTTCAGATGTCTTCTAAAATTTGGATAGTTGTTCATTTCCTTGACATCTGAAGGGAGGGCGTTCCACAGGGAGAGTGCTTCTACCGAGAAGGCCCTCTGCCTGGTTCCCTGTAACCTCAATTCTCGCATTGAGGGAACCGCCAGAAGGCCCTTGGCGCTGGACCTCAGTGTCAGGGCTGGACGATGGGGAGCAAGACGCTCCCTTAAGTATACTGGACCGAGGCCATTTAGGGATTTAAATGTCAGCACTAACACTTTGAATTGTGCTCGGAAACGCACTGAGAGCCAATGAAGATCCTTTAGGACCGGTGTTACATGGTCCCGGTGTCCACTCCCAGTCACCAGGCTAGCTGCTGCATTCTGGATTAGTTGTAGTTTCTGGGTCACTTTCAATGGTAGCCCCACGTAAAGCACATTGCAGTAGTCCAAGTGGGAGATAACCAGAGCATACACCACTCTGGCGAGACAGTCTGCAGACAGGTAGGGTCTCAACCTGCGTACCAGATGGAGCTGGTAGACAGCTGCCCTGGACACAGAACTGACCTGCGCCTCCATGGACAGCTGCGAGTCCAAAATGACTCGGAGGCTGCACACATGGTCCTTCAGGGGCACAGTTACCCTGTTCAGAACCAGGGAGTCCCCCACATCTGCCCACCTCATCCCCCCAAAACAGTACTTCTGTCTTGTCAGGATTCAATCTCAGTCTGTTTTATGACTTCATTATGAAAATGTTGCCCTCAAATGTGAAAAATAGTTATACACAGCGGTGCCAATTCAGTGCCTAAATGTCATTTTAAAGTGGAGCTGTGTGACCCAGTCCTTTTCATATCTACTCTGAAGCAGGCTCCACTATAGTTAGTAGAACTTACTCTCAAGTAAGTGTATATAACAGTGTGGTGTTCTGCACTTCAGCAGTGTGATTAATATCCCAGCCCTGAAATCCCATTGATGTGGATGAAGCTCTGTCCGTTGTGGGAGCTCTGATTTTCAGTCATATTCCTCCAATCACAAGATGCAGAATTCTACTTGAGAAAAAGAAAGAAGACAGCAGCTGAGATTTTTAGAATATAACCTAGCCCTGACCTTCATAATATGCCATGGCGACAGCATATAGCCTGGGATATTAGAATGAAATCTTAGTAGATTAAAGGGGTTTTAGCTGATGAGTTGGGCAGCTTCACCTGATTAATCAATCAGTTACCCAACTGTAAATAATTATCTGTACATCTGGGGGCAGAGAAGAACAGCACATAAGAGTCTTGATTTTTGCTGCTGTTATTAACCCAGATAGAATTCTCATACCTATTGGAGAGTAATAAAACAATATTAGAAACAAGAGAGACAAAAAAATATTATCTAGTTCAAAACCCTGAAACCAGGCAGAACCATCCCTTCTCAGATCAGCGTGTTCAATCCACAGTATGCCACAGGCTTCTTCCAGAGCATGTGGCTGCAGAATACTCAACTAGTGAGCCCAGTCAGGTACAAGTAAAATCCCCCTCCCAACATTTTGCTGTACCTTATTATTATTATTATTATTATTCTCCCACTTCAGCTTCTGCCATTTCCTGCACACACTTCCTTCTCTGTTGTCCTTCCTTGTGTTTAAGGGAGACCCTAGAAAGCCTAAGAACAACAGTCTTGGATCAGACTGAGGACGCATCTAGTGCATCCTGGCTGTAAGCCAATCCCTGGTGGCATCACATCGTTCTTTAGCCTTGGTGGGACTAGTAAAAACAAACAGAAATTATACCATGATTGCAGATGGAGAGCTGTACATGCATGGACAAAGGCCATGCAGTAGGAAGGTTTTGAGAAGGGCAGTAGCTCAGTGGTGGAGCTCAGGCTTTGCGTGCAAAGTTTCCTGGGATCAGTCCCTTGCATCTCCAAGCTGGACTGCTGAAGAGCAGCTCACAGAACTGAACTATTTAGACCAATGCTCTGACCAGGTATAAGGTAGTTTTCCACATCTACACTGTATGATGGGTGTGGGGACCCCTTGGCCCTCCACATGTTGCAGAACTACAACTCCCATCAGCCCCAGCAAGCATGGCCACTCACCAGGGATGATGGAGGCTGTAGTTCAGCAACATCTGGAGGGCCGAAGGTTCGCTGCTGTACAACAGACATGGCATAAGTATAACGGCTACAGTCCACATAGCAGAAGCAGGGAACCTGGTGCTCTACAGATGTCGTTGGACTACTGTCCCATCATCTCTGACTGCTCTGCCGACTGTGGCTTGGGAGAATTGGAGTCCAACAACACCTGGAGGTCCCCATCCACAGTACCTGTCATAGAATTATAGAATTGTAGCGTTGGAAGGAACCACGTGGGTCATATAGTCCAACCCCCTGTCATGTAGGGTTAGGCTGTGAGCATGTACTTTTAATTTATGTCAGTAAGATGTACACGAGGGACGCGGGTGGCGCTGTGGGTTAAACCACTGAGCCTAGGACTTGCCGATCAGAAGGTCGGCGTTTCGAATCCCCGCGACGGGGTGAGCTCCCGTTGCTCGGTCCCAGCTCCTCCCAACCTAGCAGTTCGAAAGCACGTCAAAGTACAAGTAGATAAATAGGTACCGCTCCGGCGGGAAGGTAAACGGCGTTTCCGTGTGCTGCTCTGGTTTGCCAGAAGTGGCTTAGTCATGCTGGCCACATGACCCGGAAGCTGTACGCCGGCTCCCTCGGCCAATAAAGCGAGATGAGCGCCGCAACCCCAGAGTTGGTCACGGCTGGATCTAATGGTCAGGGTTCCCTTTACCTTAAGATGTAACAACTAAGTGTGTTTCCCCCCTGAAATTTTAATGACGCTGTGTGCGCATCCTTGCACGTATTTCCCATTTTAAATTACTGGGATATATATGCATATAACTGCGGTAGTATAATCATTTCTATTACTTACATAATTACTATCATTTTCACCATTTGCATCCCCAGTGTAAGGAAGCTGTAGGATACAGCACAGGCAGGGTTAAAATTAGAGGAGTTCATAGGATGTTGAGGCTTCTGCGCAGTGCCTTTTTAAATGTGCTATAATTTTTCTGCCTTCGATGAAAGAGAACCCCATAAAGCACAGCTCTCCTATAAATGAATAACAGCTTGAGGCTTATGCGAGAGTCATTATTTTGGCATTGTTGTAGGTGTGCATGTATGTTTTGGTTCAGCAGTTGCCAGCTATGCTACAAATGAGGATTGATTTCCTTTTCTGTTTTCAGTTTGGGTACAGAAATGAATTCCAATGTTCCCTGATTTTTGATCCCATATTTGGGGACTTCTCCCATCTCACTGGCTGCTTGGTCTAGCTTAGTTCTATCCATCTACTGGATACTCTTAGTGCTCTTAGTTTCCCCCCCTAGAATAATGAACATAGGGTAAAAGGTTACAGGATTGTTTGTGTAACCTCAGTGCAGTGCTCCATGTCAAGAACCAGTTTAAGATAATACAGTATTCATCTGTTTGTTTGTTCAATTTGCATTCCTCCCTTTTCAAGTAGATCCTTATATCTTATCCAAACATTAAACAATGCTTTCCTGACAATATGGTTTTTAAATGCTTTATGTGCTTTGACCTTATCATACCACAAGTATGCATGCCACCCAAATACATTGTTAAAACCTTCTAAGTCCAAAATGTCTGCGTTTTCCAGAAGCAGCCATTCTTTCAACCAGCAAAAAGCTGCTGATTCATAATAAAGTTTAAGGTCTGGCAGGGCAAATCCACCTCTTTCCTTTGCATCTGTTAGTATTTTAAATTTTATTCTAGGCTTCTTGCCCTGCCAGACAAATCTAGAAATATCTCTCTGCCACTTCTTGAAACAGTCCATTTTGTCCACAATTTGCAATGTTTGAAACAAAAACAACATTCTAGGCAATGCATTCATTTTTATCGCAGCAATACGACCCAGCAGTGAAAGCTTCAAATTTGACCAAATTTCTAAATCTTTTTCACTTCGGCCCAGCATTTTTCATAGTTGTCTTTAAATAAATTCCCATTTTTTGCTGTCATGTTAATCCCCAGGTATTTCACTTTCTTAACCACTGTTAAGCCTGTCTCATTCTGAAACCTCTCTCTCTCAATCGGTGTTAAATTTTTCTCTAAAACCTTGGTTTTTAACTTATTCAGTTTGAATCCTGCAACCTGACCAAATTCTTGAATCAGTTCTAAAACCCTTTTGGTACTAGATTCTGGCTCCTGTAACGTCAATACTAAGTCATCTGCAAATGCTCTCAATTTGTACTGTTTGGCTCCGACTTGTATACCTTTAACCAACTGGTTCCTTCTAATCATATTCAGCAAAACCTCCAGGACCGATATAAAAAGCAATGGGGAGATTGGGCAACCTTGTCGTGTCCCTTTTTCTATCTTAAATTCTTCCGTCACCACATTATTTACAATTAGTTTAGCCTTTTGTTCTGAATAAATTGCACTTATACCGTTTTCAAAGCCTTGGCCTACCCCCATCCCCTGTAGGTTCTTCTTCATAAAGCTCCAGGAAATATTGTCAAAAGCTTTCTCCGCGTCCACAAATATCAAAACTGCTTTAGTATTTATGTTCACTTGTAATTTTTCTAAGATGTTAATTATGTTTCTCACATTATCCGATAAGTGTCTACCCGGGAGAAAGCCTGCTTGGTCTTTATGAATCTCTTCCACTAACACTTTTTTTAGTCTTTTAGCCAGAATGTCTGCAAAAATTTTATAATCCACATTAAGCAATGAGATGGGACGGTAGTTCTTAAGTTGTGTCTTTTCGGTCTCTGTTTTCGGTACAAGTGTAATATACACTTCTTTCCACGACTCTGGTGCCCTTTTCCCATCCATTATTTCGTTACAAACTTCCTTCAAAGTTTGTACCAACCATTCTTTTAAGGATCTGTAATATTTAGAGGTCAGTCCATCCGGTCCCGGAGATTTACCTAGTTGCATATTCTGAATGGCACCTTCTATCTCCTGTTCAGTTATTTTATAGTTCAACATTGATTTACTTTCCTGAGAGATTTTTTGTAATCCATTTGTTTTCAAAAATCGATCTAGATCAATTTCTTTCTGTGGTCCTTGTGTATATAGTTGTTTGAAGTACCTCTGGAAACAATTTCTAATCTCGGCTGGGTTCTGTATATTCCTTCCTTCCACTTCTAAATTTGTAAAAAAGGAACATGCTTTTAAGACCCCAGGCTTATGTTTCTCTCTGACACTAAAACAGCAGAGTATTTCCTCATGTCATACCCCCTTTCTCAGCAGAGTCACAGAATGCAGCTGGGCAGTCAGTGCTGAAATATAGGTTTTTCATACACTGTCGTGCTTATTCTTTATGCAGTTTAAAAATGCACAACTGCCTTTCTCTTTGGAAAGAAATCAATACTTGAAATTTGATTCTTGTCACATAGGACTTCAAGATTGTGATTCGGCTGTATGCAATACCACTGTGGGAAACATTCAGTATTTATGGCCACATACATTGCTAGTTTATGTAGTGGTAAAACTGTTTTATGGCCCCAGATACCACTAGTTCAAATTTCCTAAGCTGTTCATACTGCTTTAAGTTAGCTCTGGAAAACTCAAGACTTGGAGAAACACGAATGCAGAGGTAGGAAAAAAAATGATCTTGGGTAGTCCCATACTCAAGAGATATTTTGAACCTTGCACTCTGCTATGGACAATTGAACCTCTTAATTCAATAAGATTTAGCTTAAGCTGTAGCTAGGTAGAGGATGGCTGCCTGAATATGCCATGTCTTAATTGGAAGCATTCCACTTTTTCCAGGCGCAAGTAATTTTGAAGCCTGCACCACATCCCTTTACCAGTTTTTCAGAATCTCAGATGTTTATGCCTCTGTCCTTCTGCACTCTCTCACTCCAGGTAGACAGATAGTGCTTTATTGACTGTATGGTGCCTTTCACAGGGAGCAGAGTTTGAAATGCATAGTCCAGCTATTTGGAGCTATGCAGCTCTCTGATGTGGGCAATCAGGAATGCTGAATAGCATCATATCACTCATTTTCTTTAACAAATCATTACTGGGAAATTTAGGTTTGTGGCTATTGTTTAGGATAGCTTGTAATTTGAGCCGAGCTCCAATTCAGATGTTGACATAGTAATCTGGTTGGTGCTGCAGAACTGTTCCTCTGTAGCTGGTTCCCACATAACATAAGAATGTGTAGATACTTCCCACAACAGTGTCACCCCTCCATCCTTGCTGATGTAGAAGGTGCTCACATGACTCAGTGGGACAATGTGATCAAACTATGCATTTATTGGCTTGGGAGCCAATAGGAAGTGAGCATCTGTGTGCTCACAATCTTGCCTTAAAGATAAATTTATGAATCGAGCCCAGATTGGCTTCTGCAGAGAACCCACACTCTCGCAAGTTAAAATGTGAGTTTGCTTCAGAATCAATCCCCAGTTTCTATTAGCTGATTTCCACACACCCCCAACATCATCTTTCTGCAGGGATTTAAATTTCAAGTGTTCACTCTGCGTATGTCAGCAATGCTATTTTAGAACTGGTCTAGTTATTGCGCTGAAACCTTTCAAGTAAAAGAGGTTCTGTAATTTTCCTCACACACCCTAACATATTCATAAGCTTAAATGATAAACGCTCTGGCCTAGCACGCCCCCCTCCCACCAACAGACTAGCTCATTAACATCCCTGTTCTGGGCATGGATTGTGTACATATATTAAGGATTGTTAGAAAGGGATCAAAAGGAAAGCAATAATTATTATAATGCATGCATGTCAGTCTATGCTGTGGCTGGAGGATAGTTGCTATTAGCTATGAAATTTAAATGAAACCTCCAGAAACAGAGGCAGTATATCTTTGTATACCAGTTCCTGGGGGCAAACATTTGGTGAGTGGCAAGGAAAGAGACTGTTGCCTTCATGTCCTACTTTTAAGCTTCTCAGAGGAATTTGACAAGCCACTGTTGGAAACTGGAGTCTTGGCTGCAACAATGGTTGACCACTGTATTTTGTAGTATTTTCCTGTGCCAGGAATGTACAGCACTGGTGTGGATATTCTTTGTGCAGTGGGACCAGTCCATGCTGTAAACTGCTTCTACATCTACACATTACAGCAGCCGTGTGTGGAGATGTGTTTTCAGCACCCTCTACGTAGTTGTTAACCAGCCCTCATTTCGAAATGAAAGGAGGCACTGAATTCCATCCTGCATTCATCGCAATTAGTGCTGTTTCTGTTCTGCTACAGTTCGGCTCTTTCTAAAACCTATACTGTTCATCTCTCTGTCTGCTGTGGCCGAAACTAGCATAAGTAATTATGTAATTAATTTTATTGGTGTGGGAGGGGGAAATGAAGGGGGGGGAAGGAGAACTATTTCTGTAACGTTTATGGACTAAAAAAATGATAGCAAATCCTGCTTTGTATTTGCTTGTGTTGTTTCCATTCCTGACTTCAGGTGAAAGTGCAAATGGTGGCACTTTCGCTTCCCATTGGAATACTTCAGCATGCATACTCTTATCTTAGGAAGAGTAATTAAGGTGAATTAAGCATCCTTATTATTTCTTCTGGAGAATATTTGAATTATCTCTGATAAATAGGGTGGTATATAAATTCAAATAATAATGATGATGATGATGATAATATAGTTTCTACACAATCCAGTTCTTCCTACAGAATCCTGTGGGCGACAGTGATGAAAAGGGTGAATGCTATGTTCGGGATCATTAGGAAATGGACTGCCGGTAAATCTGCCAATATCATAATGCAGTTTTGCAAATCTCTGGTGTGACTGCATTTAGAATACTGTGCATAGTTCTGATTGCCTTAGCTCGGAAAGGATATTGTAGAATAAGAAAAGGCTCAGAAAAGCGCAATCAAATTGATCAAGAGAGAGGCAGCAACTCTCCTGTGAGGAAGTATTGCAGCATTTGGAGGTTTTTTAGTTTAGAGAAAAGGCAACTAAGAAGGGGACATGATAGAGGTGTATAAAATCATATGTGGTGTGGTAAAAGGGCATTGAGAAAAGCTTTTCTTCCACTCAGAATCCTTGAATGTTGGAATATTCAGGACAAACAAAATAAATTACTTCTTCACACAGTGGATAGTTAAACTATGAAATTTGCTACCACAAGGGATAGTGATGGTCACCAAGGTTTTAAATGAGGATTCGAGAAATTCATGGAGGATAGAGCTGTCAATGACTGCAAGCCATAATGACTATGTTCTACCTCCATGGTCAAAGGCAGCATGTTGCTGAATGCCAGTTGCTGGGGATGCAGGTGCATAGAGTGCTGTTGCACTCACATCCTTTTTTCAGACTCTCCATAGGAACCTGCTTGGCCACTGTGAGAACAGGATGTTGGACTAGGTGGGCTTTAGGCCTGATCCAGCAAGGCTGTTCTTATGTAACTCACTTAGGTTTGTGTAAGTTCACCACCTAACTAAGGATCCGTGTTAATATTTTGGATAGCCTGATAGAATTTTTAAAACCTGCTCTCTTTCAGTTTAGGAACTTTTCTGCCTGGTTCCCTCTGTGAAATTGTTAATTCTCATAGGAAAGTGGCAAGTTACAAGCCAAGTATAAGTGCACTTGGCAAACCTTTAAGACAGCCAATTTTTTTATTGCTCCCTTCTCCTTGGCCTGTAGCAGTGGGTTGAGCTGCCAACCATCTCTCTTAGTGCTGTGGGGAGGAAAATACCTGTTGATTTTGCCAGATCTGTTGCAAGAGGGCCAAGAACAAGCCCAGCCGGCTCCCTACCCACCTCCAGTGATTTGGCAATCTGAAAATTGCACCACAAGGTGACTCTCCCTTCTTTCACCTCATTAGTATTACAGAAAATCCTCGAGGTAGAGTATTATTAGTGGTGGTGATGGGGAGAGATAGAAAACTCACAATTATACCATTGTGGGGATCCTTTCTCACATTAAGCCAAGCACCACTTAATTGCATTGCTTATTGGAAATTCTGACAACCGCTGCTAATACTACAGCCATGGTGTGTTATATAAAACACCTGTGCGATGTTAGTCACGTTGCTAGGTTCAGCAAAACGCCGTCCTACTCACTTGCTCAAACTTAAGCATGTTTTTGGCATATCAGTCATAAATCCATTTACTCCATTGGATTCAATGGAATTTGTTTCCAAGCCAGCATGCTTAAAACTGCAGTCTTTAGGATTTGCTGACTCCTGGCCACGTTTGTTGTTTTAATCCAGTTTATAGAAATTGCAGGTCATTCATGCAGAGCCAGTTTTCAGGCTGTGCAGAGAGCTATTTTGGCTCTGTTACTTATATGAGGGTTTTTTTTAAAAAAAGAAAGATGTGCAAGAGAAGCCTTTCATGCTGCCTGTGCTGGTTTCTTCTTGGAACGTGTCAATTTCAGAGTTTCTTGCTAACAGAATTGTAGCATCTGGAGATGAAAATAACTGCAAAAGAAGCACTGTGGTTAGTGGGGTCTTGCAGTGTCCAAAAGATGGATGTGTTTCTTTGGCCGTTCTGTAGGCCTGAGCCATCACGGTGAACACAGCCCAGCAGTGGCCTGAGAGGGGCTTAGCAACTGCCTGTTGTTGTTTTTTAAAGTCTCAGGCATGCCTAGCAAAAAACTCAGGAGCCACCAAATGTGGCTAGTGGTCTGCATTCAGTTTGGTGGGTAACAAACTGTGCAGGCCTGCTTTATAGTGTTTACATTTTTCCAGATGTTTTGAATGGATGGAATGCTACTGTACTGCAGCTACCAGTGAAAAGAGAAAATTCAGTTTGTGATCAGTCAGCTCTCATGAGTCATGAAGCAGTTGTGTGGCTACTCAGGGAGATTTTAACATAAGGTTACCAGATTTTTTTCAATGAATCTGGGGACGCTTTTCAACTTCAATGGATTTTGTATAGGGACTGATTTGTAAATCCGGGGACTGTCCCTGGGAAATGGCGACATCTGGTAGCCTTATTTTAACAACCATTACCAATACACTAATATCCCCTGTGGGGGCAAGATACCCAAGAGGGTGGTACTTTTGAATACTTTGGGGTGAAACAGATTTCTTAGATCCACTTCGATCTGGATTCAGGCCCGAGTGTGGCACTAAAGCTGCTGTGGTTGCACCAGTGGGTTAACTCCGTTGGGAGAAAGATGGGAGAACACAACCCTGTTGATTCTCCTTGTCCTCTCAGCGGCTTTTGATTCTGTGAACCATGGTATTTTGCTTGTCCTCTTAGCAATTTTTTGATAACAGTGTCCACGGTATCATCTGGCTAACATGGGCATGGTAGCAGAGTGATTCTGTTCCTACCTGTGGGGTTGGTTTCAGAAAGAAGCAGCATGGTTCTGTCTTACCTACCATCTACCACTTCGTGCTTTTTAATGAAGCAGTTTTTGGCAGACCATCAGAGGGTTTGGAGTGAGGTGTCATCGGCATACTGAGCTCAGTGTACATTCAGCTCTGTTTCTCTGTCATTGGAGGCAAGTGAGGCTGGACAAGTGCTGAACCAATGTTCAGTAGTTGGCTGGATGAGGGCCAATAAACCTGAGGGGCTGCACTTAAAAGGCTATGGGCAGGATTCAGGTAATGAATCCTGTCAGCGGAAGCCTATGCAAATACTTCTTGTGCAATAGGACGTCCCCCTCTTTCCCCAGGTGATCCTCAAACACCTAGAAATTGACTCAGAGTGGGTCAGGAGAACCCCTGGAACAGCATGTTGGGGGAGCTGAGGGGGATCTTTCCATCCAACAAACAGAAATGTAATAACAGAACGATCAGCTTAGTTCCATTCCATCCTATTTCTCCAGTTATCACATGCCATGTTATCAGTTGCATTTATATTATGTATAATTTTCATTTGTAAACTGCCTTGAGATGGATTGTAATAGTTAGTATTAATATTTTTATAAATGAATAAATAAATAAATAAATCAGGAGGCAGGAGGGGAGCCCCTGATTATGATCTCAGTAAATGGATGGGCTGGTATAGAAGAAGGCAGTCTGGTAAATATCTGGGTCCCAGGGCTTTAAATGCTTCAAAACAGCATTTGTAAATAACAATACTGAAGCTTTTAAATCTTGCTCTTTTAAACACAGCTTGTTTGCTTTTATATTCCCTGGTTTCTAAATTGACACATTCTACTTTGATGCTCCATTTAGGGGCCTGGTGTTCGTTGCTCACGGTGCTGGAGAACACTGCTGTCGCTATGATGACTTGGCCCAGATGTTGACGGGAATCAACTTTTTTGTATTTGCCCATGACCATGGTGAGTGCCATTGAAAGAACAGTGCGTGGCTGAGATAGCAAAAGGGATGAAGTCAAATGCTCTTCGGTGTTTAGAAACAGAGACCGTGAATTAATTCTAAGCAATGGTAAGACAGCTGATGTGGCTCCACCTATCTGCATTATTTTGTCTGAGTGCCAAATGAATGTGTAATGCAGTTGCTTACATCCAAAATGTTGAGATAATCAAATATGAGGATTGATTGGAATGCTGTTTACATTGCAACCTGTACTTGAGATTGTGTGTGTGGGAGGGATGGTGAAATACGGAAAACATTTTCTAGTAACATTGGTGCTCTAGGAATGTGGTCCCAGAGTATGAAGGCGCATGAGGTGACTGAAACTAGGGAGGTCTGGGTCTGGTCAGTGCCTGACCAGGTAACCAACTGGGAACCACATGAACTGTGCCTTGGGTTCCATGACAGAAGAAAGATGAGATATAAACACACAAAAAAAGTTTTGGTGTATGACACACTTGGGTTCTTTAGCTTAGATATGAAGGTTTCAGTTTTTGTTGCATTTGCCCTTCATTCTGGTTGCCCCTACTGTACCATAATTCTAACTATTCTGGGAATTATGGGGACATCTGTGGAAGGAAAATGTTTATGTTTTTGTCATAAGGACATGCGAAAAGCCATGCTGGGTCATACCGAAGTTCCACCTAATCCTGCATCCTGTTTTTCATAGCCAGCTATCAGAGTCATCTTCTGGAAATCTCACAAGCAGGGCATCTCCCTGGTTATTGCTCTCCAGTAACTACAGTTCAGAGGCATATTGCTTCTGGACCTTGGAGATTCCATAGCATTGTCATGGCTAATAACCATTGATAGAACTATCCTTGCTTGGATCTATCCTCCATGAAATAGACCTATCCTTGTCCTAAAAATGCATTGTAGCCCTCAGTTTCATAAAAGCCTTTCTGACTAGCTTAGCTGGGGTGGGAAGGGAACTTTGAAGAAACAGAAGGATCTGTCTCCCGAGAGGAAGTGGGCCTTCTTCAGGCCTACTTTGTTTTTATTAGAACCCCAAGATCTACCTATAAGAGTCAGGGTAAAGCACAGGGTGTCTGTCTTCACACATTTTGAGCCTAAAATTTTCTTTTCAGTACAGAAATGAGATAATCCTGTCACACACAAGTCCACATCTGGTTGGCTTTCTTCATTTCAGCAGTGCAGTTTAGGCGGTGGTGGAGAACAACTTCATTGTTTCCATTGTTAAACAGTTTAGAGTCAAAGACCTTTGCCAATCTATACTCAGATCTGCTTTCCTGTCTGTCCCCACTTGCTATGAAGCCATATTGTCTTCAAGAAAACAAAACAAAACTTTATATAACTTTTAGATGTTTCTCTCCTTCTTCCCACCCCATCCCAAATGACAATATTATTAAGGATTTTCTTCTACACACCCAAATTTTGCTTCCTTCCAAAGGCAGAGCAAAGTTCTTCCATTTGACTTGTTAATTAGAACAGGCAATTGAGGACAAGTGGGTTGGAGCCAACATCTGTAGTGTGCTCTCCCATTTTAAATTCACACAAGAAGAGTGACCCTACTTCACTTTGCTCCATTCTCTCCACCCTCCCACTGCTTGATTTTTTCCTGACAGATCCCACTGTTTTCTGGGAAAATTCTCATCTGTTTCTGCAGGTTTAAGGAAGGCACATGGATTGCCATGTCCCCATGTTTGTCTTCCCAAGAAACCCCAATTATTTCATTAGGCAGCCTTATGCTGAAGCCATGCAGCTTGAGCAATTAAGTTCATAATTCCCCCTAATGACCATCTGGGAGTGTGCACTTGAGCTGCATCCAGGGTTGAATATATCTCTTCTCCCCCCCCCCCCCAACCCATGTTAATGACACTTAATGGTGGCTATTATGCTTTGAAAGGTACACACATTCTGTTTCCTGATCCATCAGGAACCTACAGGGAGAAGTGCCTTGCGAAGCATTTGTTTGGGCTCTGCTACTCTTTTGTCTCTCACTAGAAGAAGAGCAAGGCGTGAGGGCTACATTGTAGGGTTTTGCTGCGGCATATATTGCCCATTCATCTCTTCAGTCATGAGGACTTGAAACTTGCTTGGTTTTGTTTTTATTCTCTGGTATTTGCAAGACTCTGACGATATTCAGTCAATCATACAAAGAGATTTTTTGAAGCCCCAGAGCTCTTCATGGAGACCAGAAATGGACAGTGACTTGAGGGCCAAAGTCAAAAACGCACACAGAGAGATTAATGTGGCCCAGCTACAACCCCCAAGAAAACTGCAAACAAGCTAGGAAATGAAATGTTTTTAAAAGGAACTTCTCAGCTGTTGCACAACTGAATATATAACATTTTAATGCCACAAAAAAATAAAAAATAAGTACCTTCTTGTGGAACCAAATGGAGGGGAGGGGCAATGGCACACACCTGGCCTCCTGTGCCTTTTCAGCAAGGAGGGGTGGTGGAGAGGTTGGCATTGTGCGAATACACTGGCAGCTAATCTGGTGAGCCCCCTGGTGTGTCCACAGTGCTGATCTCCCCATTTACTCGCCCCTCTTCCTTCTGGTATGCTGCAGTGATGCTGCTGCTGGAAGGCGAAGTGTGTACCTCCTGCCCCGCTGGCTGCCTGCCTTGATACATGAAGCATTGACAAATAGGTATGCTAATGTATGACAATCACCAATGTATAACAAATACTAGTTAATCTATAACAAATACCAAACATGTTTTGACCAAGCATATAAGCATTTCTCTCTTTGTCCATTGTTCATATATCAAGGTGTGTACATGTTTGCGTTATAAAGCTTAATATACCAGTATTTAGTTGCACGGTATTTGAGAAGTTCTTTTTTACACAGTTGGTTTCCCAACTTGAGGGCCAAACTCCACATTATGCTGAAAACTAACATGGTTAGAAAAGACTCAGCCATGGGGGTGAATTGAGACCATGGCATAGCTGGGAGAGAGCTCGGCTCTTTTCCTTACAGTTTTCCTGTCAAAAGTCACTCCCCCCCCAAAGGTGTAACACCTGTGGGAACAAATAGGAGCTTTGGGGTGTGATTTCCAGCCCAGGAAAAACAGCAACATGAAAACCCTCTGCACCATGTTGTTGTTGTAAAGAAAGTAATGTGGCCAGTTTTATGATATACCGTATTGGCCTGAATATAAGCCGCACTTTCCCCCCAAATTCTGACCATGAAAGGTTAAGGTGCGGCTTATATTTACGACCTTACAGTACGCAGCCAGGAGCACAGGGCAAGCAGCGCCAGGAGCGCAGCGAAGCAGTGCCTGCTCCACGCGTAATTCCCTATCCCCTCCCCCAAGGTTGGGAAGAGAGAGAGCAAGGAAGGGGAAAGGCCAACGGCAACACAATGCTTCTCCCCCCCCCCGCTCCCCCCCCCAAAGTATGCAGCCAGGAGCAGCGAGGAAGGGAGTGGCTTATATTTGGGTATTTTTTTCTTTTTCCCCACCAATTTTAAAGCTGCGGCTTATATTTGGGTGCGGTTTATATTCGGGCCATTAAGGTGCAAAGGACTGTAAATCAGCTTTTATGTTATTGTACTGGAAGTTCTGTATTTTTGTTTGTGTGTGTCCATCCTTTTCATTGGCTGTATTTTTTAGATTCATTTCAAAAAGAATTACACAAAATGTATTATTTGGCCCTGGACTTGTTCAGTCTATTAATGGAGACAACTCCTGTAAATAATAATAATAGTAATAATAGTAATAGTAATAATATCATCTTGAATTGGATCTCAGAGAAACTGATGCTGAGTTATTTGGCCTAGTTTGTCAGGAGCTGGCAACAGCCACCTGTCAAAACTCCTTGTTTCACTGTGCACTAACTCATTGTATGCCCATGCTAACATCATACATTGTTCAGCTGTTCACATCATGCCCAATAGGTTATCAGAAGGTGAAGAAAGATTTTATAATGAGAGATCCAAAATCTATTCTTGGAATATAGTCCTTGGTAGGCCTTTTGTGATGTTAGATAAAAGGGCACTTGTATGGACGGACTTCCAATTTTTTCTCACCTGCACCATTGATAATATTTGTAGCTGGAAAGAAGAGCTGCTGAGTTGCTTGTCAGGCCAAGTGCGCCTTTAGAGGAAGGGCTGTAAGTCAGTGGCAGAACATATACTTTGTACTCAAAATACCCCATGTTCAATCCCAGCATCTCCAGGAATGACTGGGAGGAGATGCAACAACTGGAGGATGTGGGACCAGTTGTTCTGTGTCTTTGTGAAGGTGTTGAAATATGTCTGCATACCAGTATTCTGGGCTGGGACCATAACAGTTGTAAGTGTCTTACCATGTTGACTGGGCCTGTTGGGCATATCACTACATGATTGGCTGCATCCACATAGGTTACAAATCTTTTGGCTCCTGTGGAGTTCTGCTGTGTGAAACCAATTTCATGCCTTCTAAATGGGAACTGTAGACATGCTTGCACCCAGGCCATTTGTTTGAGTGCCAGGTCTTCAGAAGCCTTCATCCTTTGAGTTTGGGGCTGCAGTTAGTACTTGTGAAGCCTCTACATTTTATGCTTTTGGTTCTTCATCATCTTCAGTTTGAGACACATACATCTCCAGGATGTATAGTATATGTTTAAACCCCAAAGAGATGAGTGCGTCAGAGGAAATACTTCAGAGGAAATGGCACATCTGGAAACTGGGGAGGGTGGAAAATAGAAGTAAAGAGGCTTCTGTGGCACTGCATGCTGAGGGCTGTGCTCCCTCCGTATCCCTTGAATGTCTTTTATGCTGGAGAATAATGAATAGCTTTTTTAGCCACAGATGCTTTAAAAACACACACTCAAAAATCCCTTTGAGTTTCCAAAATAATCCATTAACAGTTTGCACCTGGTAAAGCTATTCCATTCAGTTAGTTTATGTGAGTCAGAACACATTATCAAGGCATTAGAGTCTTGGAGATGTTTTTGGATGTGTCACCAAAGCCTTCTGTGTAGTAACATCCCCCCCCCCCCCCGCAATTGAAAAGTCATGCAGAGGAAAGTGGATCAAGATTGCTTCATTTTGTCACGTATGTGCTTCACAGTATTTTTAGATTTATTTTAAAACACATGGCTACAACTAGGAGGCACCACTTTTTTCTTCACTTATGCAGTATTTTATAATGTGCTTTCCCAATATCTGGGTTTCTTTCGAGGTTCACTGCAGTCGGCAAAGTTAATGTTGCATGCATGACATTGTTCCTCACTTCCATATGTTCAAATATTTGGATTTATTTGAAGTTGAGCCTTAAGTCTGAATTTATTCATTGTTTCTTTTCTACATTCTTGCAGTCCTTACATCACTGATCCTAGTCTCTTAATGTTCTTTCACAGTTTAAGGGCTAGTTTTATAAAAAGGTGTGTAAGTGGTGCATTTCATGAGAGGCAACAAGAGGAAGGGGGGAGTAGGGGCCATTTTGAGTTAGAGGTCGGAGGGACAAGGGTTAAGCTGTTCATCTCAAGCTCAAGGCCTCCTGAGACTGCTTTTGGTCTGATTATTAATCACTCTGAATGATATGGTTGATTTGGGAGGAACCTCAAATGCTTTGATTGAGGCTGTTTTCTGCTGTATACTCATGGGGGTGGTAGAGGGTTGATGAAGGACCCGGGTGAGAGATAGGAAAATGCTGGTGTCCTAGGGTGAGAGGTTGGGAGGAGAAAGGAAAGATATCAGGTGAGAGCTGGGAGGAGCTACTCTCTTCTGTGGGAGGTAAGGGCTAAAAATTCCTTTTAAGAGAGGACTCCATATTCTGCTTATTTTATTTGTATTTTTAGCCACTATTTTATTGTATTATGAAAAACTTTAATAGGAATCTCATTACGAAACAACAAGATGTATATGCCCAGGGAACAATACATATTAACTATGTGTCCTTTCTTGTTTGTCCACTTTGGGCAGTGCTTATCAATTTTGACCAGATAATTGATTTCAGTAACCTTGTAGCCTGCTTCACAACTTTGAAAACTTCCAAATTGGCAACAAGCGTTTTAAAAACAAATAATGTGGTTTTCTCTCAGCTATCGGCAGCTGCTCCTTGATGACAGCCACACGGAATTTAGCGTTGTGAAAGGCCCAGCATCTGTTTGGCTCTTAATAATAGCAAGTAATCAATAATGAAACATAACCAGATGCTTCTTAGCTACTTCCCATGAAGGGGCCTGGCCATGGAGTGTTAAAATGCCAGAAGTTTCCATCAAGCGGGAAGATGCTGTCGTATGTCTCCATCCCTAACAGCTCCCTTTAGAGCAGGGGTGAGGGAACTCCTTAGACCAAGAGACCAAATGTGGCCTTCCAGGCCTCTTTTTTTCCTGGCCTTTGGGATTCTCCTCATGTTTCACCTCTTCCCCAGACCACAACCCTCACTGGCCCTTCTTTGCTCCCTCCTTGATAATTTTTGCCTAATGACTCCTGGCTGAAGGAGAGAAAGGGCTTTGTGAGAGTGTGTGTAGAAACTAGCCTACTGTACAAAGTGCAAATTTTACATTTGCGTGGACAGGCGGAGTCCCCAGATCCCGCGCGGTCCCCCCGTCATGTGGAATAACGACTCATGACAACGTGCTATGGGATTAAATTGGCCACAACTTTATTAAATTTCAAATGTGGGTAGACCTTGGCTCAGGCATTGGGCGTTCTCCCTCCCCAGTCCCCAGCCGGGGACCTAGAGAGCATCAGGGTTATCCAGTGTGGGGGGGGGGATGGGCTGGCTCTGGAGAACATATGTTCAAGCAGAGATAGCCGCCCCTGTTACGCCGCCGCCGCAGGGGAGAGCAATGACGACCTTTCGGCGTACGGTCAAAGCCTCCCTTCAGAAACCCCTTTAACGGGGAACCCTGGTATCGCCGCCGCAAAGAGGAAGATGGACTAAAGGATTCCGCCCAAGGCCTGATACCGCCAAAGTTGTGACGTTTTGCTACGGGAAAGGCGAAACCTGCCAATGCAGGGAAATTCCTTTCCGGCCCTTTAACAGCGACCTTAATGTAGCAGCGCCCGCATACCTGCGAAGAAAAGTTAACCTGCAAAACCTGTGAAGGAAAGTTAACCTGCGAAATAAGACATTAACTGAGGGTGGGTAGGGTGGGAGAAGCTCTGGAGCCAAGTGAGGATTCCTAGGTAAGATCCTCCCTCTATTGTGTGGGCAGGTAATCCCTCCCCTACCTGGCCTGGTCTCCTTGGCAACGCTTCCCAGGTGGGATTGGACAACTGACTGAGGTAGGCGGAGACCTCCAGGTATCCCACCTGAGGGAAGGCAAACCAAGCCTATGCTGTTGGAGCCGCTCCAGATCTAGGGGCTGCGCACGTCCACGCAAAGGGCGCCCCCCGTTTTAAGCGGGGAGCGGTCATTGTTGTTCTGCCCGCTTTTGCCTCTGGCCTCACCTGCCACTGCCATGTGGCCCCTCAAAGGTTGCCCAAGGGAATGGGGTCCTTGGGCTGAAAAAGATTCCTCATCCTTGGTTTAGAAGTTGATCCTGAGGTGCTTCATCTATTCAAGGCTGAGCAAAAAAGTAGATGGGGCAGGCTGGGCTTTGCAGCATTGCATATTCCTTTACGATACTGAGGACCAAAAGATAAATGTTGTTTTCCATTCACTTGGAAGGTCAGATCAAAGGAAAAAGGAAAGGCTGTTTCTTTCCTATTATTCAGAAGTCTTTTAAGATGTTTGCGACTGAAGTGCACATTTCTTTCCTCCAGAGAGTCCCCATTCTAACCATGGCATTTTGCATTCCCCAGGAAAGAGCCCTGTCATTAACAAAGGCTTTACTGTTCCGTTCTGTTTCATGAAAAGCAGGAGCAGTAGGAATTGTACATTTTAAAATATTTGGGATTCTTCTGTAGGGGCAGGGTTTTGATCTCAAAGCCTTTCAAGGTCCATTGTTTCAGAAAGCAGAGAAACCTTTTAGTGGTGTGTGCTGGTGTGCAGCATTTGAAAGGGATGATTTACAAGAAGAAGTTGAAATGGAGTATGTTTGTTCTTGTTGGGGGTGAGGGGAAGGAAAGAAGTATGGCTAGATATGCAGTTACTGAAGAGTTTTTGGAGAGATTTGTTTCTGGTATGGTGAGGTTGGTTTGTGGCAAAAAAAAGGGAAGGAAAGCGCGGGAAAGAAGATAATTGTGTCCAAAAATATTATAGGAAAGACATTGTCTAGTACAGGCATCCCCAACCTGCGGCCCTCCAGATGTTTTGGCCTACAACTCCCATCATCCCTAGCTAACAGGACCAGTAGTCAGGGATAATGGGAATTGTAGCCCAAAACATCTGGAGGGCCAAAGGTTGGAGATGCATGGTCTGGTAGTTTCCCAGTAGAGTTGGTTCCCCGCTGTCCAGAACTCATTCATCCAAGTAGGCATTCATTAAAGCACACTGGGGTTTTTTTAATCCAGGAGTAATTCATCCAAAATAAACATTTTCCTCTGGTTTTCTTTGTACATGCTAAGTGTGAGGTGCTCTACCTGCCTCAAGTTCCTTGAGAATTGTAATGGTGGGCGAGGAATGAGCACATTGGGCAACTGTGCCATTGAATGAAGGCAACCTCTTAGCATTAAAATCAAATAAACAGAGTACAACAGAATGAACATTGTGGTCAATAGCTTTGTGCCCCAGTTGGCTCCTTGCATCTTTATGGACAAACCCTTTCAGCTAAATCCCCCATGCAAACAGAAGTGTAGTAAGGCATGAATCGTTCTAGAGGTCTAGTTAGCATAGCTGTGTTGCTTGTACATAATAAAATATATAGAATACATTGGGATGCTGTCTATTCCTTCCATTGTTGACCACAGAAATCCATGTGCTCATTCCGTCATTGCAGCCCTACTACTTATGTGAACTTAAGAAGTTCACATAACTTCTTAACAGACTGAAGACCTGTCTAGTGCACCATTTTGTTCCCACAGTGGCCAACTTTTGGAAAGCCCACAAGCAAGATACAAGTACAATAGTCCTCTCTTGCTGTGGTATCTCTCTTGATTCTGGAGGTAACCATCATGACTAGTAACTACTGATAGGTTCATCTTCCATGAATGTATCTAATCCTCTTTCAGAGCTGCCCAATTTGGGGTCAGTCAGCACAAAGTGACTTTGTGAATTCCATAGTTTAACTATGTGTTGTGTAAAGAAGTACTTCCATTTGCCTGTCCTAAATCCTAAATCCAAAATTTTCAGTTTTATTGAGCAGTAGTTTTAATTCTTGGCTTAGCTCAGGAAAATCTGAGCATCTCCAGCTTCATAGACCTTGCTTGGTTTTGTATATACTACCGGCAGCAGCTGCTGTTCTTATATCCTGCAAGCTCCAATTGAATTGCATTGCACAGAACCCATTAAGGAAACCAGACCTTTGGTCCTTTGGATTAGATCTTGCAAACACCATCAGAAAAAGGTGAAGATACAAAATTACCATTCAAATTAGATGTGCTCTGACCTTCCTCTACATCTTTTTACGATCTTTGGGGCTAGATGGGGATGCTAAAACATGACTAAAGCCTTGTTTCATGCCCTGCATCACAGCAGGATGGATTAATGAAGTACTGTAATAATGTTATCCTCAGTTCCTATAGCTATTAGGAATTCAGAACAGGGAGCTCCTAAACCTAAGCTGTAGTAATTAGAATATTTTACCAGCAAAGAAAGCTTTTAGATAGGTAATTTCACAAGCATCTTGGTTGTTTTATGGGAGCTCTGGAAGCTGTGATGACCTATTGGGAATTCTCACCCGCATCTCATCTACCTTCATGAAGAAGCAGGGGGTATGAGGAGAAGCAATTATAAACATTCCCCTTCTTCTGAGGCAGATGACAGAGCAGGGGATCAGAAATAATTTCAGCCACCAATCTACTATATCACCGGGGGGGACATAATCCCCATCCCCACCCTAATCAATCTTCTTTTAACTTCTGAAATGGGATAGGGCCATTAAACTGCCAATGATTATGTTTTTTCCTCCCCACCCCAACCCTTTTAAAGTCTTCATTTTCACCTTCCAGCCAAAGCATTTCAAAGGACACGTCTTTATGTTGCACTGCACTGTATAATACATTTCCTGCCAAGAAGAGCTAGAGACAGAAGGTCCCTCTACAATAACCAGGAACAAAATCCCATGAAAGGCTAGCAGATGACTCTACAGATTGCGCATAACTTGGTTGTGGTTTTCCAAACAGTTTCACAAATTCAAGCACTCAGGTTATGATCACTCAGCAAAGCTCTGATACCTACTCGAGCTTGGGTGTTAAATCTAAAGAGAGAGCGGTATTCAGCTGCCACAGAAATTCCCACTTATGCAGCTGGACTTTACCCCCTCTCCTCCCACCACACCACTCCCAAATCTGCTCTAGGCAGTTGTGGGAACCCCTAGAACAGATTTAGCAGGTAAAGGGGGCAGGGTCCATTATGGAAGCAGAAATCCTTGCGACAGGCAAAATGCCTGGTTTCATGCCCAGCTTTTGCACCCCAGTTGGAGGTAACTCTTGTTACAGTAGTTCCACTCCTACATGCAGGGTTGCTTCCAGAAAGTAGTACAGTACTTCAAGATTGCTGCTTGACTTCTTGGCTTTGTTGGGTTCCACAAAGCTCCATTCTGCCCCCAAGCTATTTAACATCTATATGAAACTATTGAGCACTCCCATCTGGGGATTTGGAGCATGGCACCATCAGTTCTACCCAGTGCTTTTTTTTTCTAAAAAAATGTTTCGGGGTACTCTCATTTTGACTCAAGAAAATCAGCATTTTTTAGTTCAAATCGGGAAAAATAAATACGGTAAATAGACAAAAGTACAAAGGTTCACAAAATGTTTAGAGGTATGCGTCCCCCTAGAAAAGAAAGCACTGGTTCTACCTCTCCATTTCATCAGAATCCAGAGAGGCTTTGAAGATGTTGGACAGGTGTCTGGAGGCTGTGATGGATTGGATGGGGCACAAAATTAAACCGAGGCCAAATCCTGATAAGACGGAAGCACTGTGGTTGATTGGTTTCCGGATCTGGGAAATAGATGCACAACCTGTTCTGGGAGGGGGTGCACTTCCCCTGAAGGAACAGCTTCATAGTTTGGGAGTATTCCTGGAATCCAATTTGTCACTGGAGTATCAAATAGCTTCTTTGACTAGGAGTGCCTATGCCCACCTTAGGTGGATTCTCCAGCTATGGCCATTCCTGGGATCAGACTAACCTGGCCTCAGTTGTCCATGTTCTGGTGACCTCCTGTTTGGATTCCTGTAATACACTGTATGTGATGCAGCCCTTGAAGATGATCTGGAGGCTGCAGCTAGTGCAAGATACAGCTGCGAGGTTGGTAATGGGGCAGCCCAATGGGACCATGTGTCACGAGCCCTGAAAGCACTGCACTGGCTGCTAGTGAGCCTTAATTCAAGGTGTTAGTACTAGCACACAAAGCCCTAAATGGCTTGGGACCCAAATACCTAAAAAGGCCCCTTCCCCAGTATCAACCATCCTAGATCCTGCAGTCAGCAGGTGAGGTGTACTTGGTGGTGCCACCACTGATGTGGACCTGTGACAGGGGCTTTTCAGTGGTGGTTCCTCGTTTGTTAATGTCTTCCCTGATGAGGTGAGCCTACCTCCCTCAGTATTAACTTTCAGGAAGAGCTTGAAAACACTGCTGTTTACCCAGGCATTTGATGTCTGAAGGACACTGTTCCTGGCAACCCTGAGATCACTGCATGAGACAATGTTTTGACTGTAACTGTTTTACACTTTCCAGCTGTAACTGTTTTTAAGAGTGCTTTTTAAAAGTTGCTTCATTGAGAGGGTGTGATATTTATTAATTAATTAGTTAATTAATTAATTAATTAAGACTACATTGAATACAACCCAGAGTGTAAGGGAAGGGACAGCTAAATTGGCCTCACTTCGTCCAGCCCAATGCAGAATAGATTTGTGGACCCATTGACACAATAAAACTGCAGGTAATACAAAATAAGAACTTCTAACGACGTCCCTGTGTCCTTTTAAACATTAAGTGCCTTGATTTCAGAATTCAGTCTGCTGCTCAAAAGGCAGCCAGCAGGAAGAGCGTGGGGTGGCTGAGGGCCAAACTACACCTGACTTTAGTTATGCAGGTCTCCTTTTAAGTGCATGACTCTTGGTTTATTTACATGAATTGCCAGCACAATGACCCTGATCTGTTTTGGGACCCTAGCATGGAAGTCCTTTGTCCTTCTATGGACTTAGTCCAGGTTGGGCCTCCCACAGTTTTGATTTGCATAGAGAAATTGAGGTCCCCCCCTTAAGTGCAAATTGCAGGTGCAAAGGGCCTGTTCAGGATCAGTTCCACAAAGGAGGTAAAGAGTTAAAGCCCACCCACCCCATCCAGGTGTACCAGTCTGGATCAGGACCCCCCACTCTGGTAATTTTTGTGAAAGTAAAATAAACCCCCTGCGCTTAAAAAGCAGCTACATAGCTCAGGTGATACGGAGTTATGGTCCTGAATTTGCTACAGAGGCCGAAATGAAGAGGCCAATTGGTATGGAATGCAGTTGGAACGATTTTTCTCGGTCAACATGGATGGGAGCAGCCTTCAAATGTAAGGCTAGGGGAGAGCCAGCATGAGATGTATTTTGATCAAGATACAACATTTAAACGAAGAAGACTTTGTTGGCAGTTTGTCAAGAGCCCCAGGCTGTACCTCACAAACTTCAAAAGGAGACCCTTTTGGGCTTTTCCTTTGGAGAATGTCAAGCAGATGACAGCCACCCTTGTCTTTGGAGTGCCTCTTTGTGATTCCACAGTGGTGTGCCTCTGTCCTGACTCTGGGTATTTTCCCATCCCATTTTTTTTCAGTTACAGGGAAGTTGAATGTTGTTGGTTCTTCACTTTGCCCAGCGAAAGAAGCTGCATTAGTCTTGGAGGCAAAATCACCTGCAGTTTCTTCCGCTCTGAAACCTGCATCCTACACAGACAAGTGTGCCTTTTTCTCACTGTGTGTAATGCTCCCAGGAGGCTCAACGGAGCAACATTGTCAAGCCAAGAAACAGCTGGACCACACAGAACTAAAAATAAAAAGACAATGAAGCTGCACATACAGCCTGTGCAGCTGACTGTGGAATGAATTCTCCAAAGACATTGAAGCTAGGAGTATTGACTTACTCGGCATGTCTTAGCTCCCCTCCATTATTTTTGGCACCAAGCTGAGTATTTAGTCCAAGTTCCCAGCTGTAACTACTGGATCAAGCAAGCTTTTTTATCCTCTCACCTAACTTAGAGAATGTATGGATTTCTGACATACTCCCACCTACCATTTGACATTTCAGAGATAAAAATAGGAATAATCCTAGAACATGTAAAAGATGGATGCAGAAGACTGATGGCCTAGGAAGAAAGAGTCAGTATTTGGATGTCATTCATTCCACATTTTCAAATGGACTAACATAGTTCACAGTTACAAAAGGTCTGGAAGAAAATTCATAATCAGATTGTGCACCTTGAATTTGTATGCTAGTTTTTTGATTTATTTAAAAAGGGGGGGGGTTGCGGAGAAAAGCACACAAAATGCATATGTTAAGGAGGAAATGCATGCAAAAAAATCTAAAGCAAAGTGCATGCAGATCCTGCTAACCACATGCTTGCTATCCATAAATTCAGTCATCTGCAGGTAAAGAATTATGCCGGAACCTTGTTAAACACTCTGCAGATTTAGATATCCAAACCACCAACCTCCATAATTCCTTGTTTGTTTGTGCTTCACTGGTCAGTGACATCCATTTTTAGGGAAAAACCACAGAGAGAGGAAGTGGGGAGCAAGTCCCACATTAGAAATATTTCCATAGGAAATAATGGAAATCGTGGGCTCGTTATATGAACAATTTCCAGTGAACACCTTGTGTTTAGTAAGCGGGACCTGTGTGTGCTAACAAAAACTCCTACATTTAAAATTCACCTCCTCCCCATGGTTAAAAAAAACACCAAAGAAAATGGGATGGAATGGATTTAGGATTGAAGGCATATGGAGCTGAAATAGGCTGATCCATCCATCCTCGGTTCTGAGCACATCTATCAGTGTGCCTTCATGCTTGGACTAATTCTTCTCCCTAAAAGGAGTCCTATTGAGCAATTCTGGTTTGGAAGTGATATATGGGCAATATTCCAAAATGAGAAAAGAGCTCCTGTAATACTTCTTGCTTTCAAAATAAATGTAATCAAATAGAATGGCACATCTATCATTCAAAGCAAATACATTTTGATCAGCACAAACACTTTATTATGCCAGCAGGGTAAAAAAAGGAGCAAGCACCTCAAGAAATTCAAGAACAACAAGATGGAAAACTATCTAATTTATTCTGTTGTTATAAAATAATTGAAACAATAACATTGGCTATCCCCAGGATGCCTATAAGGAAATCATTGCTGACATGAGCAAATGGGGTCTGTTGGAATGGATGTGTCCACATTAAAGTTAGGTCCAAAGCTTCTTTTTATTGCTGCAACTGCTATATACTGGGAAACGTCTGGAAAGGTTGTTTCAAACTCAGGTCCTGCAGATTAGATTTTTGCTGAGGGTTGCAGTCTGTTTCAGATTGGTGCCATCCCTCTCTTCCTGCATTTTGGAATACACAAAGAAGGAACTGTAGTTTGGGCATGGTGGGCTTCTTAACACAGAAGCGCCCAAGATTGCTAAATCAGGGTTCATAAACAGGTGTGCAACTTTTTGGTTTGAATTTATTGTTTGGGTAGATGGAATCCCAGTGTGCCTTGAACTTGCACCCTTGCTTCTTATTTCAAGTCACCATGTGCTTGCTGTTAATTTTGCTTACTGCTGCATTGTTGGCACAATCAGGTATCTCAAAGTGAGAAAGAAATGTGTCCAGAGTGCCCTAATTAATCTGGGAATTTTTTTTTTTTTTTTTTGGCAATTGACTCACATCAGTCTTTGGTTAAACTCCTGGAATGTGTTAAGAAAACAAGTTAGTACATTAGTTAATATCATCAGTTTCCCCCTGAAATAATAGTGTAGGTAAGCCCACTGTGATTTGTCTTAATTTAGGTTATATCGTGGAAGTATCATTCAAATTATCTTTAGGTGCATGCCATGTTTGTATGTGTATGGGGGGGGTGCGCGCGCAAGCAAGGCATTTAAGTCCTTGGGCTGTATTCCCCATAGGAGCAGGCTGGCCTTTTTGTTCTCCAAAGACTTGCAGAAAAATTTACCCCATTCCATATAAACTCTCATTTGTGTAAAATGCTCAGAGCATTTCAAGTTGAGATATAATGGGGCTGCCATACATATCCAGGATCATCCATCAGAAATAGTGCATGGGTGGAATTTCTGAAAATCGCAAAATTGTCTGAGATGTTGTATGTCGGAAGTGTTTATTAATTGGCAAATTTCCTTTAAAAAATGGCAAAAAAGCTCAATAACTTATGTGTCTGGGTTTTCAATTTTTGAAATATGGTAACCCTAGATCTGATCAACCCATGTGTTTATTAGATTGGTAACATTTTTCATTGACCATACATTAATCCACACATGCTCATCGGTTACTTCTCCGGCCACATCTGTAAGATCAGTACTCAGGTTTCCAGGTAAAGTTTCTTTAAAAAGGAGTTATCCCAAACTGGGAGGGAGGCACATAAAATGTACTGGCCTGTTCCTTCGCAATCTCCGATCATGTGACCAAGTTGAAGTTACAGTGCAGTGTTCAAGTTCTGATCCCATAGTAACACACATGCAAGTCTTCGCATGACCATCAAGTGTGTGAAGTGTCCCTTCACTCACAATAGTATTCAAATTTTGCCTCAAGAGTAATAGAGCAGTGATTGAAATAACTCTGTAAACACGCCCAAGCAAAAGGGAAAGTAGGTTTACTGGCCATCGTTCACTAATTTTTTCTGACCCTGCTCTTGCCCTTATTTTTAGAGGTGAAGGGATTAAAAAACAACAACTAAGGAAGGAGAAGGATTACAGGGGCTCCTGCTGAAGCCTTTAAGATGCCAAAGAGAGAAGCTTTGTTTTTCTTTTTGACACTCAGTCCTGACAAGTCCCAGTCAATGCCTACTCTGGGAGAAAGGATCTCCGTAGGGACAGCTCACCTCCCACATTAAGACCTGCTGCTTCACCAAGAGCCCCAAGGGATACACTTGCCTCAAGGAATTTTTATTCTTTTCTCTCTTTTTGCTGTTCTTTTAATTCAGTTTCCAGTCACTTCTGTTTCACAGAGCAGCCAAGAGTGGGTCTGCTGTGAAGCTGGCCTGCTTCAACCACAGCAGTAGAGGAAACAAATGACAGGTTGTTAGTCCTGGCTAGGCTCCTAGTGTATTTTATAATTATTCTGCAGGCATGCGTATAGGGGGAAGTGGATTATTCTATGAGGTAAACTCATCATCAGCTGTTCTGTTGGCTCTTGCATTACAGCACCCTGAAGGTGTTGTTTCAGACACCAGTAAATCTGGAGTGGAAACAAAAATGAGGCGGGATGGGGAGGTTTTGGAAGGCATAAAGCTTTTCTGCGGCTGTTCTGTGAGCGTAGTTCCCTAGCTGCCAGTGTCAAAGTCAAGAGGGATACATAGGGATGTAAGAGACTGCTGATGGTAACAGAAATGAACCCTCCCCTTTTTATCCTCACAGCAACTCTGTGAGGTAGGTTAGGCTGAGAGTGAGTGGCTGGCCCCAGGATAGCAAGTGTGCTTTGTGACTGAATGGGTATTTGAACCCTGGTCTCCCAGGTCTTAGTGTAATACTCTAAACAATACATCACACTCACTCTCTACCTAATTTGTACTTCCTTAACCGAAGCCAAATTGCGGCTAGACTTAGAAATTCGCACTTCTCCAAATCTCGTGAAGTGGTTTTCCGCACAAAAATGCACTTATTGGGGGGGGGGGATGTACAAAACATAATATATTAGGGGAAATTGCTTGCTGAAATGCATATATTAGGAAAAAATGCATACATAAAGACATGTATTAGGAGAAATCAGCACAAAAAATGCATATGGCTTTGTGTGACTTTTTAAAGGGAAAAAAAATCAATTTGATGCAGAAAGGGGGCTAAGTAAGTTGGAAAAATTGGGAAACCGAAAGAAACTGAAATCAACCCATTTAGCCATCCCTTCTCTGGATATACACCTTTGACAGTGCAATCCTACCTTCTGGTTGTGGCAGTCTGGTGAAAGCAACCTGAGACATAGCAACCATGTTCTGCTCCTGGGGGTGAGGCCTCTCCCACTTTGCAGACTGGTGGGTGTGGGATTTTTAAGAGTAAAAATAAGTTGATGTTTTAATGTGCATGATGTGGGTTGGTGTGACACCATGCTGTAGATTTGGAACATTTTTGTAAAAAACCTAACCAAAACACACCTGCTGTGTGTAAGTAGCATGCATATTTTCTTCAGTACTGGCTTGCTAACCAAATCCCTGATTATAGGGATGATCTGCCTATCTCCTGACTTTGCGTTTATTCTAGTTGGTTTCACCTTTGCTTGACTGTATCAAACAATGTTATTGTAATCAAGGCTTTCCCAGAGTTGTGTTTGTCAAATCCTAATAAAACATTGCAACCTAGCATAGTTCTTTGGAAAATGATCAGCACTTTGTAAAATGCTTGCAAAGGAGGTCAGCTATCTTGCACAGTATGTGAATTGCAAATTACTATGGTTACGATCCAGAAAGTTAAGCAGTTTTGCATTCTGTTTCAGTGGATTTATTTTACATCCATAGGCTTGAAAAAGTGCTTAACTGTGGATGAATTGCACCCTAGGCAGCCACTGCCATCATTACTGCTGCTTACTGCCCTGGGAATCTGTTGAAGGGTAGGCTACAATCTTGTAAACAAATATACTGATTTTAAACATTTCTATTCCACCTTTGGAGATTTATATATATCTATTATAGCCAAGGCAGCTCACACACAAATGCTTTGCTTAGATCCAGTGAGAGTCATTCAAGGTCCTTAGTAAATGTTTTCTAGAATTTGAACAGCTAATATCAAGACTCCTTATCAGTTGAATCCTTTGCCTCTCTACTCAAAAGTAACTGCCATTGAGTTCAATGGGCTCACTCACAGGTAAGTGTGTATAGAATTGCAGCCTTTATCTGTTTGTAGAACATTTATATACCTTTCTTAATGCATATCCTAGGGTGGTTCACAATAAAAAAAAGACACTGTATTTTATTTTAATTGTGAAACTACCACTGCATATGTACGAAGCAAAATACAAAAGACATGAAAAGCACTTAAAAATGACAAAGTGAACTACACAACAGCTTTAAAAAAATATTAAAAACATTTAAAGCCCGGGGAAATAGAAAATCTTTTTGCCTGGCACCTAAAATATAATGGAAAAGGCGCCAGCCATGTTTCTTTATAACCAGGTTACCACAGTTTAAAATGCCTTCTCCTTGGTTAACGCCGTAACACTTCCACAATGAACAGGTATGGTTGTGAGATCTTCATTGCTTTGAGGAGGGAAGCAGAGGAACTCTCCCTTTCTTTCACTTGGGGGGCATTTGTTACTATAGTGCTGGGGGATCAAAGGAGCTCCCCAAATAAGTGCCCACAGATCCTTGTGGCTACTGGCTTTAAGATCAGTGTCTCTTGAATGCTTGCTGCCATGTTCCTCAGAAATGAACCACGCACGTTCACCGATCAGTTGCCTTTCCTTCTTGTATGTGGCATAGGTAAGCTGATAGCTTTTGTTTGGCAACAGAAGTAGGTCAAGTTAAAGTTTCACTTTACTGGCTGCATAGCTCATTCTTTGACACCTAAGCAACGGTGCTTTCCTGCACCTTCTGTAGGTGAAGCACGATCTTCTCGATTCAGGAAGCTGCCTTATACTGAGTCAGGTCCATTGGTCTAACTAGCTCTGGACTGCCTACACTGACTGGCAGCCACTCTCTAGAGTTTCGGGCAGGAGCTCCTTCCCACTTAACATCACTGGGAATCACAAATTTCCCTATTGCACATTAACTGATGCAAAATGGTTTTGACAGGCAGGGCAAAGCAGAAACAGAGCTCTTGGTGATACTTTCAATAGGTTGTCAATCATTCACACCAGAGAGCGCTTCCCACAGGAAAAAGAAAATTTGACTTTCATCCACGCTGGGGTCACCTGGAGCAGCTCTACTAAAGTGCCGCCAGGAGTAGAAGCTGCCTCGTTTATCAAATGTCAGTAGATCCACGTTGGTAAAGCACAGTTTACCCCCCACAGAACTACAATTTCCAGCACCCTTCACAAGTAACAGTTCCCATTATTCGTTTTTTTGGGAGGGGGTTATATGTATGAGGTGGATGTGACTTAATTTGCAAGAGTAGACAGGAGGACATTCATTAGATGGGATGACTCCTCCCACAATTTCCCTTTTTTTTCTTGAGAACAGGGAAGTGACCACAACTAATTTGTGCGAGCCTTAAGTTGTAAAGGCCTGCTGCAGAAAGTGAGTCTGCAACCAAATGTTTTTGTGAAAATTAGAAGGCAGGTAAAAGTGGGGCGGGGTTTAGCATTGCGAGCATGTTCCTACTGTACACTAGAGGTTATTAGCAATGTTGCTTTAATAATGGCCAGGTGAGGCCTGATTTGAAGGGAAATGGCTGTAGCTCAGTGGCAGAAGATGTACTCCATATGCATATCCCACTGTATCCAGTCCCTAACATTTTCAAGTAGGGCTGGAACTGCTAGCTAAAGTCCTACAGAATCACTTCTAGTCAGTATAGAAAAACTGAGCTGGATGTACCAGTTGTCTGATTCACTGTCAGGCAGCTTTTCATGTTCCTGTGGTATGTGAATAAGTAGATCATCCTTGACTTCAGTTTAGCTAGGGATCCGTGGGTTAGAGTTTTGGGATTTTTGAAAAAGGGCATTTGAGAAACTGGGCTTGTGTATTGGTGCTCAGTAACATAAATTTGCATAATCTCCCATCTGTTGGGTACATCTGGCTATACACAGTTAAATCTGAAAATGTTGGGGGGGAAATAAACGGATTATCTAAAATATTGTGCCAAGATTGTGGCCTACCCTTCTTCAGAAGATTTAATCCTTTAGGAGTACTACAGTAAATGCAGAAGTGTGAATCTGAGTTTCCCCCTTGTTTTACTGTTTATGAGGACTGTGTTTTTCCATAGCAACAGCATTTCATTAGCGTGATCAGACTGTCTGATTAGAAAGGTTGCTTTTTATTTTTGTTGTTAGTGGTTGCTCACACCTAACACATCTTGGTGCATTGTCATTTTGAGGAAACCAGGTGATGTGGAATCTAGTAAACCTGTGATGAGTTAAGCTAAGCTCAACCTGCAAAACTCTTGCTCTGCAGGAGGTAGGAAAAAAATGACCAGCTGTGAAATGGGACAGTTTTGAAGAGAGGATGAGCCAAAATTGTTGAACATGTGCTTGGACCTCTTCTATCACTGAAATTAATGGCAGGTCCTGCAGTTCAGAAGAGTATCTCAGGGACAGTAGGATGCATCAGATCTCCTACTTTGAGGGTGAAGAGAAAGCTCTGGCCCAGGCATAGGCAATCTCAACCCTCCAGAAGTTTTGAGACTACAACTCCCATGATCCCTAGCTAACAGAACCAGTGGTCAGAGATGATGGGAATTGTAGTCCCAAAACATCTGGAGGGCCAAGTTTGCCTATGCCTGCTCTGGCCTCAGAGAGATTGACCCAGTCTCAAATTTCTGCTCCCTGACAATCTTGGCCTGTTGATGTCAGAATTCCACCATCAGTATAGCCAAAAAGAGAGTCTTCTGCGGGTGGTCTTGACGCATGCCTCAGTGGGATTGAAGAAAGGCATGGCTCTAAAAGGATCCATTGCCTTCCTAGTTGTCCAACATACCTTCAAACCAAGGAACAAGCTACTTCAGTCCTGGAGCTAGTATAGTTTCTTCCCTTTTATTTCCTCCTATTGGAAACAGGTTTTTGGAAAGAACAGAAGAGTACAAGAACAGTTTTCAGTTACTGGGAAGTTTTACTCCCCCCTCCCCGTTTCCTTGGAGTAACCTCCATTGAACTCAGTGGGGCTTACTTCTGAGTAGACTTGCATTTTTTAAAAAGGGGGTGGTGTGGGCTAGCCAACATGTTGCTCTCCAGATATTGATGGACTGCAATTCCCACCAACACCAGCCAATATAAGCAATGTTCACAGATGGTGAGAGATGTACTTCAGCAACATATGGAGGGCACTGTGTTGGCTACCCCTGGTAAAAAGTGTTCAGCTTTTGGTTGCATTGGGTCCCAGGTCTTTATCATCTGAAGTTCTTGGTGATGTAAGTACATTTGTTTGCAAACCTGTCGCCATAGTATTAAAGCAACTGCTTAGCATTTCCCTGCTTTCTACCCACATTGCAGCATTCTTTTAAAAAGCTTCTAGCCCTGCTTAAAAAGAAAGATTTAGTATTTTAAAATTTGCTTTCTTATTACAATGACATATATCCCATTCCATTAAAAGGATTTTGCCTCCCACCTCAGACATTTCTATTATTAAATTACTTAAGACGATTCATCTCTGACTGTGCAAATTATATTTTTGATTTGTGTGTGTGTTTAAGAGAGAGAGAGAATTTGAAAACCAGCGAGAGCTTTGTGCATGCTCCAGTGTACATAAGAAGCTCTTGCACAAGAGGCATCTTTCATAACAGCAGTGGACGGGATAGTTTGGCACATTTGTCCCTTTGTGCACACAGAGCTGTCTCCTGCATTGAAATAAATGCCATTATAATTTAGTATAAGTGTTGTAAGTACAGAGAATGAAGGCTAAGAGATATCTCATGCTTTGATCTTTTTCTTTTTTAATCAAAGGCCGGAATTTTAAGGTCAAAGATTCAGCCATACCAGCAGATCACACACAGAGATGTAGGGAATGTGCTATTTTTGACAAGCACACAGAGCATAGCAAAGAGAAGCTGAAGTGGGAGCTTTGGTTAGGAGACAATGGAAGTTAGTTTAGCAGCTGAGCCAGTGTGACTAGGCAATGCTCAGAGGCAGACATAGGGCTCAATTCACAAAGAAAGTGGGCTGAATATAGTCAAAGGACAGGCTTTTCCCAGCATCTGGATCAGGCAAAATCTTCCACCCACATGTATCTTACACAACCATGATTTTCCATTGCACTGCCGCTTCATATTAGCTGAAGCGTACTCTCCTGTACTCTCCCAGTGCCTACAGAGGATGAATCTCCTCTGTGTCCCACTCAGGTTTGTCTATTTTAAGTCAGTTGGTCAGGGATTATACTCTTTTCCAGGTGCTGTAGCATCTAGCACAACATTGGTATCAATGATTAAAAGTGGCAGGAATAATTTTAAAAATAGTAAAAATATTATTCCCCTGTTTAATTCATACCTTTATTGTTCTCCCCTTCCTCTGAGCACTCTTGGATGAGACTGATTTTCTAGATCCACAACTAGTGGGGCTCAGGCCTGAGCATGGAAATGAGACTCCCTTGGTTGATCTGAATTTTGTTGAGTGTGATCCTATTGGTTTTCATTGTCATCTCAGTGTCTTTCAACTCCATTGACCATTATCTCTGTCTGGTCTGATGGGAAAAAAGGAAGTGCCAACTGAGCTGAAGTAGATTTGGACACAAAGGCTGTGCTTGGAAAATCCTATGTCAGCTTATTAAGCCAAGACATGGACAAATCTTTTGACCACACATGTGGTCCTTGGCTGCCTCTTTCAACTTGATTCTCAATTAAGCCATGGTTGGAAGTGAATTAGCAAATTCTGGTTTGTGGCATCCAATGGTTTGGTGAGAACCATTGGCAAACCATTGTTATTTCAGTTTCTCTTCCTGAGGACAGCAGTAGACCTGTAAATCACATTGCTGAACAAACCAGAAATGAAAGTAGACAAGGAGCTCTAAGCCGTGATCGTCTTATTCATTTGGAACAGTGTTAGAAACTGATATATGAAAGTTAGGAGCTAAATTACACCTTAAACCTAGGTTATGGGCTCAACAACAAAATGTCTAGGCACGATTTTTTGATAACAAGAATACAAAGCTGAAAATATTATGTTCATTTTATACATAGTCTGGTCCTTCCCCTGCTCATCCCCCTAGTATTCTTAAGAGGGTCTCTTCTCCAGTCTTCAGAGAGCAGCTGGAAGTGGTGAGGTAGAAAAAGGTCCTCCTCTCCTTCCACTCTGCAGTTTTAATCTGAAATCTTAGGTGCAGTACTGCGCCCAGAGCTCAGAAACTGCTCGCGCTAATGAAATTCCCAGTCGCAAAATGTGACTAGAATAATGGGAGTTTGGAACACTGGTTTGGAAGCTCATACTATGGTTGGGGTTTTAAACTACAGCTAGCACAAACTGTTGTGATTGACTTAAGCAAGAGTTTAATGCACACAAAACTCAGAAGATACTTTTGAAATATCATGCAATCTTTATAAGCAATCTACTGGGAACTGTAGCTTCTCTCTCTATATTTTTAAGCCAGCTGCATTTATTCAACATACTGGGTGAATGGCAGTTGTATTGGCTAGTCATGACAGGGCAAGTGTTTTGAGAAGAATTTTTCATTTAAAAAGAATGCAGAATACCAAGGGTGACAAAGGAGTCATCAAAGGAAGTCTGTGCTCCAGCTCTCTCACAAGGCCTAGTCTCCACTCCTGCTAGAAAACAGAGGATTCTTTCAAGTCAAATAAGAATTCTGTGTTTTCTCTGGCACCAAAATTATTTGAAACTCAGACTGTGATTCTGCAACATAAACAGAACTTGAGAAGGTACTCCAATGTGCCTCTGCGGAAAACCCCCTCCTTTCTCCCTTGACCAACAGGTCTTACTTAAGCTTAGTAACACTCTTTGAATCGAAACCAGTCAAATGGGTTATATCGAACTCATGAGCAGAGTGAACAAAGCCCCACAGAAGAGCTGGAAATGGATGAGTTTTGTTGAAAAGGAAATGTTTTCCAGCTAAGCAAGCTGTCATTTGGGACTTAATAGCATGTGCTGCTGTAAAGCACAGCTGCATGGATGCCCTCAATGCCCATCGTGTGAAAACACATGGTGTGATCAGCAAATAATCTACCACCACCACGGAACTGCTCTGGCACTGTGCTTCAGCTGTTTCTAAAACTCTTGAGTTGTTAAAGGTAAATCCTGTGTCCCTACTTCAACCTCTTTCTCTCCCCCCCCCCCCCCCGCTTTCCAATGTTCTTAGTTAAAAACAACAGAGGCAAAATGGTAGGTATCGTCTCATTAAAACCTGAGACATGTTGCCATAATGAAGATTTTGTGTAAAGGGAAAGCTGTCACAGTGGTGCTCATAACAGAATAGCACCATGTTCAACATCTTGAAGCTCTGAAATTGGTGGGAAACACCAGGGGCTGGGGTACAGGCCAAGCGCAGTTCTCCATAGGTCTCTCTATATGTCACTCAGGGCTCTCCTCGGTCCATGTCCCTCCCCATACCACATCCACTTTTTCCAGGCCACACCCTCACGGTCCCTGTCCCATACCATCAAGTGCTTCTCGCTTGTCCCTGAACTGTGGTAGTGGTTCTTTCATGCCCAGGTAGAGGATGGAGAGGGGAGATTGTCTAGAACTCTCTCACATTTGGGTAGTTGAAATTCAGCTTACTGGGCAAAGGTCACAACTGTTGTTCTGCCCACCTTTTCCTCTGATCCTGCCCAGCTCTGGAATATGGGCCCTGGAAAGTTGTGCACAAGGGAATGCTTCCCTCAGACTGAAAAATGTTCCCCACCCATTCTCTAAAATAACTGCGCTAAAATTATTTCAGTCGGTGGTCTTTATTCACATTGTTGCAATGACTAGCATAGGAAATTAGCAATATAAAACCCCCAAAGACTTTTCCTCATAGGAGGCTCTGGCAAATGATCTGGACCTTCTCAGGACCAGTTTTCCTAATTAAACTGTAACAGTGCACCTGTTCCAGCAAATGATGTTAAGAAACCTGGTTCTTTTAGAGAGCATTGCAACTAAGTTCACAAAGCTTACTAGCGCATTGAGAAAAAATGGCCAGACTACCTGTCCACACATAGTCCGAAAGAAATGGAGAACAAGTTATTGTGATGTGGGTTTTCTTTATGGGCTTCTGATATATAAGGACCTTAAATTGTGTACAGTGAAAGTACACACTAAAGCAAGAGACACTTCTGTCAGGTATTCACTAGTGTCTCTTTTCAGTCTTTTAATGAGCAGCTTGAGGCTACAGAGAGGGGAAAGAAAGGGGTAGTCCCATTATTGGCCATTCCCCAGACAACGTGTTGATTATTTCTGGCTATGGATGCTTGCAGGTCAAGCCTCTCTTTCTCTCTCTCTCTCGGCTGCAGTCAGATCTGGTCTTGCCAGCTGGCCAGGCAGTGTCCTTATCCACCTGTTTACAGCTTCCCAACCTGCTTGTTCCAGCCTCCTTTGATCAGATTCCTCATCTTAACCCCTGCCTGCAACCAGTTCTTCCTTTCTACTGACCTTCTGTATTGTTTCTCTGCTAACCTGCCTCCTAACCCCTGCCTGAGGTGCTCTGGTGCAGTGCCTCATCCTGCTCCTGCTTCCAATCCTGCCAGGATATGTACCTTCTACTCTCCACATACATGGCTGCCCATGGCCCAGCGCTGACTAGTCTGCATGTAAGAAGTCTCTGATCTCTCTTCAGGAAACTCATTATATTCAGTGAACCTGAGACATCCTGGATAGATTTTGTTCTCCTTATGCTGCCTATTAGCAAAGGGAAGAGGCGATAATAGTTCGTTCATGAAGACTTGTGAAAAAGTCACATGGCTTTCCTGTGCATTCCTGTTGAGGACTCATTGTGCGAAAAAGGAGTGTGTATGCCTTCAGCCAGGTGAGGTTGCCTATATTGGCGTGATGCAAGGCAACAGACACCTTCATCTGCCCCAGCTGCAACAAAACATCTCTCTCCTGTGTTGGTCTCTACAGCCACAGCAGGCGCTGTAACTCTCCAATGGTTTGACTCCACCCCTGAAGTTGTGCTCTTCCATTGTATCCCGAGACAGAGGGATGCCAATCTATATAACTTGTAATGTTTTCCAACCGAAAGGCTTACTTTTGACATAATCCCCATATATGTGCATGGAAATATATGTGCATGGATGGTAGAATAAGCCATCCAGGAAGCATTCTTGGAGAACGCTTATACACTAATTGGATCAATCCAGGAATCTAGCCTCAGCTCAAAAGCCAGTGCATGAGCAGGCTCTGAGGACATTCTGAGAAGAAGAAATCATGAGTTGTGCATTTAGCAGAGCCATTCAAAATGCAGAATATTAACCTCAGGGATATGGTTTGCTGTCCTGCAGCCTTGCAGCCTTTCTGTTGACCCTGATTCTGTTCTCTGAAATAATTTGGTGTGCCCGCCCCCCCCGCTCAGTTCTGTGGTACTGTTGCCGTTAACAGGTGAACCTCACCAAGAATGTATCACTCAGTCTGTTTGCTTTAAAAAGGTTTTGTAGAGACTGCTGGTGAAAAAAGGTCATTTATGAAAATATTAGCAAGAGTTGCATATCTGATTCCCCATGTCTGAATTTGGCCCCCAGCACTGATAGAAGCAGAGGCATGTCATTTTTCTTACCGAGCTGTTCTATCCGATGGGAATTAATGTTCCTTCTGATATCGGGGATCATTTTGTTTAGCACTGGAGGGGAGGGGGGAACCCCTTGCAGTGGATTTACCAGATGAGAGATTTTCTGCTGCACAGCAATAAGGCAGAAATAATTTTAGCCTAGAAAATTGCCTCTTTCCAATTATTCTTCCCACCCCTCCCTCCCAAGACAACAAAACAATAATGTAAGTGTTGTGCAGGCAATAGTCTAAAAATATCTCTGCTCTCCAAAAATGTGAGCCTGGTGGGAGGAGATCCTTCTCAATGTGTTGTACTGTGTGAGGCGGGAGAAGAAAAGTAATCTTGCGAACACTGAAAAGAAATGGATGTTGATCGTGCTGGAAACAAAGATTGTGTGTTCCAGCCAAGCGACATCAGTAATATAAAAAGTAGAACTGATACACGCTTTTGCAGAAAATAGAAGATGAGCTCAGCCAATGGTAACTGCAAGTGAAAGCCAGCTTTTGCTAGTTTCCAGCAGCATCAGCCATAGTGTGGTTGGTTTTCACCAGTGCTTGTGCAGTTCAGCTTCGGCACACTCACCCTAAATGTGGCTTAGAAGTAGCATGCTGAAAGTCACACAAATTGGAGAATTCTTAGGACTGCCTTGCCACAGGCTGATAACTGAACATTGGCATGGGCTCGTTTTTGACAGGTTGAAATGGTTAGGGAAGCAGGCCTCTGGGTTTGCAGTGAATGGGAGTGGTTTGGATGCATCCAGGTTGTAGATTAATCTGTTGCTTTTTCACTGCTGTAATGCATTTAGGAGGCTGCAGGCAGGATACCATTTTTTAAAGCCCCAGAACACCCCCGTACTCAAAGCTGGAAGTCAGCCATGCGCTGCACTGCCCATTCTAACCTAGCAAAAGTTTGAGCCAACCAAATGTACTGACGGGGACAGAACAGGGGGAAACACCTTTCAGAGGCATGTTAGTCTGTTGCAGGGAAACCATGAAAGAGTCTTCCATCTACACGATGCACTAATAATGCATCAGACCCACTAAAATGATAGCTATGTGTACATTTATGTAGCTCTGCACATGGGAAGAATGAAACCACCCATTGCCTAAGCTGCTCCAGCACAACATGCAAAAGTTGAAGCTTCAACACGTTCCCAGTACTAAACCAGATCTGATCCACTTGTCTCTAAAAATAAGCTATAACCACTTAGTGAGGCTGTTCTTTGGCTGCTCCAAAGGTGCAGATTATTCACCTTCTATCCGAAGCTGACACAGCAGCACTGATGGTCCCTAGCTTAAGAGTGGGATTGCTTCCTGGTACGGAGCTAGGATGGATCCGTCCTCAGATTCTTGGAGCCAAATGCCAGATCTTCACCGCTGCCAGATTGGTGTTTCTTTTGTACAATAGTGTTTGTTAAAGAGGGAAAGCAATATAGAAATTGTGGTTTGCTTGTTTTTAAAAACTAAACAGCTGCACGTAGACTAAGGCTTTTTAAAGCTCGCTCTTCTGCTCAGTGTTAAAAGATGTTTCCCAGATTGATGTTGCATGTGTCCTTGTGTATGTGCTTGCTTGAGGTGCTTCCTGTGCTCTGTAAGAACAATGTTGACTTTGAATGTCCAAAAGGATGCGAGCCCTTGAATTTCCAGATGTTGAAGAGGTGCCCCGCCCTTGGGATTTCCTTCTTCTTGGGTACAATGGTTGAATTAGCTGTGTTGCTTGTTCCTTGAATAATTAAATGCCATGTATTTTGTTAAATCCAGTGTTTCATGTACAAGCTCCACTCCCTTCCTAAAAACCCGTTCTTGATTTACGTGCTTTTATTCTGTGGGGAATTCTTCTGACATGGTCTAAAATAATGTGTACAGAACTGATCCAGCTGAAACCAGTGGCTAAGTTACCATACATCCTCCCCTTCCCATGAACTTCAGCTACCCCAAGCTCTTCCTGCACCTACCACCAATGTGTATGTGTTCCATATAGTTCATTGTCATTATAACTCCAAGGAAGCTGCTTTCTTGTTTATCCAGACTTCTCATTATCCAAATATTTTGCATGGCTCCCAGGCCATCCAGGAAAGAGAGGTCATGCTGCACATATTCATTTTCCCTCTTTATTTAAACTTGAAGTAAACATCTGTACAAACAGAGGACAGACGGGAATGGGAAAGCATGTTTGCTGGGTAGAAGACTAAACTAAAATGGCCCTTTCCCCATCTCTGGTCTAGCCACTTCTTTTGCTGAACCCCGGCTTTCTCTGGATTGGCAAAATATTTGTTTACCTTTCAGAGATTTCAGATGACCTGAAAATCACAATTAGCCGCTATTATTTCCCATGAGGAAGTAATGGTGAAATACACTCTTCAATTATCTTGATTTTTTTAAAAAAATAAAGGCTCTCTTGGAAACCAAAGGCAAATAATATGCTCCCTGGTTATGTAGCTTGGATATTCATTTAAAGGATCCAGAACCTAATAGGAGCATGAGAAGAAACCTGTCTGATGGGAGCAAAATCTTTGTTCCTAACAGTGGCCAGCTAGATGCTTTTAGAAAACCTACAGGCCACAAGCAGGGCACGAAGCCAAAAACAACAGCAACAACAACCCTTCCCCATTGTATGCCTTCGGCACCTGCAAGTAGGAATGTTGGAGAATTCTGATGAAAGTGGATACAGGAATGTAAATTGCAGGTATTCACCTCTTTGTTCAGTGTCCAGAATGAAATAAATCCAGTGAATACAAATAGTATTGCTTTCAGTTAGCAAGCAATTACATTTCATTACGTTTCCTTTGCATTGAAATGAGGTGCATCGTAATGACAATGTGATTGTCATAATTTATGTAATTAGTTACGTAAGTTACATAATTTTGCCATAGCGGACTGCAAGATGAATAAGGTCCTTTTGGGCGAAAGATGAACTGCAGCGGAATGGAAACATTGCTGCTTGCTACAGGGAGGAATGGAAAATGCTGCCTTCTTGCATCCCTATATTGAAGTCATTCACATATTGCCCCTGAACATGAAGATTCCCTTTAGGCACCACAGAATTCTGTCCTCCAGGAATTTCTCAATTCCCCTTGCACCAGCTCTTGCACACCACAATCCCTCTCCCTAGGCCACTTTGGTCACCAACCGTGCTTTGCACCCTCCTTAAGTGCTTTGGCCTGGGTGGAATGTGTCACTGAATTGTGATAATATCTTGATTTCTAGGATGGAGGGGTGTGTGTGTGTGTGTGTGGAAACCTCTTACTTTTGTGTGGCTGGAATGTAGCCTGCTGTCCAAAGGTAAGAATCGCAGCTGTAGCTCCACCCTCATTTTGCCTCTGGCCCCACCCACAACATGGCAGTTGCCTCCACCCCAGAAGGTTGCTGATGGGGGAATGCAGTCCTTGGGTTGACAAAGGTTCTCCACCCCTGGTTTATTAGAATATCAACAGTAAGGTAAAAAAATGTAAAGGTAAAGGACTCTTGAATGGTTAAGTCCAGTCAAAGGTGACTATGGGGTGCAGCGCTCATCTCGCTTTTCAGGCTGAGGGAACCGGAGTATGTCCACAATAACAACAGTAGCAATCTGCGCAACTGGAGAAGTGTAAACACTAGAGAGCGGGGAGAGGACTGCTTACTTTAAAAGGAATTAGGAGAGATGAGGCTGAGGCTTCTGAATCCAGTAGGCAATGGAATAATCTGTCAAGTGGTGCAGTAGAAGGATCATCATCTGGTGTATGTAATTAAACTAAGGGAGAGAAGAAACAATGCTAGCAATTATCTCTCTTCTCAAAAAGAATCTCGGAGGAAACAGGAGAGCTGAGTTACGTGTCCAAGTAATCCTAGGAAACTGGATGAAAGTCCACAGCCTCTGCATACCAAGATACTGGAGTGTTATTGTAGCGGCTCCCTCTGAACTTGAAAGATGCTGGAATTAGATTGAATTCACTACTTACAAAGCAGTCAAGGAGGCCTGCTGTGAAGTGTGTCAGAATAAAGAACTGCATATGGCAGCTTCATCTTTCTGAGGGATGGTTCAGGTGTTAAATTTTGCTCTCCCTAGCCTTTTTGTTGTTCTTACTACTACTGTGGTCAGACCACGATCCCACCACAGACCACAGCACTATGTTTAATGGAAGCCTTCAGAAAATGGTCTCAGTTACCTAAAAATTTTTTTTTAAATCCTGAATGCTCACAGATTCTTGGGGTAACAGACTTTGAGACTCAAATGGCATGTTCTGGAGCTCCAGTGATGGTGGAAGTTGCTGCAGGTGAGCTCCTCCTGACTTCTATTCAATCAAGGCAGCTCAGTTAGGTTAAGAAAGCAGCCCAAAGTGACAGGCAAACTGACCTTTGTTTATTACAGGGTTCTGGGGGTGAAGGAGGGCAATGAGGAAACGAGACTGGATCTTTTTCCTTTTCAGCTACAATCCATTTGGGTACAAGGGGCTAGTATGTTTTGTAAAACTGTTTGCAAGGCTACCTCATTCATGTGTAGAAGACTTGTGTGGTTGTTGGTTTCCAGCCAAACCAAGGGCAGATCCATGTAAAAAATATGTTTGCTTGCATGCTTGTTTCTCCACTCAGCTATGACCCAGAATCCACATGGCACAGCTGCCAACCTTCTGCATTTCTGTAATTTCCACCTCTATTCTGATCCTAAGTAAACAAAATAAGATAGCAAGCTGTGTGTTAATTGGCCCACGAGACTTAAGAGTCAAGCAAAGTGCCCAGTACATTATCTGTTTTGAGGAGTTGGAATGGTACATTGCAGAACTTCTATTTTTAAACGTATTAAAAATTCACCTGCTTCCCTTCCCCCAGCCAATCCTCTTGCTTCCTACAAATCTGTTGATAATGTAAAGCTGTCTAATGAGCCTGAATTAGTGTTTTAATAGGAAAGCCTTTGCTGTGTCTGTTTTCGAATTCATTTTAAGAGTGAGATCTCACTAGATGGAGGTGTCAGAACTGAAGAAGCACTTGCAGAATTTGTATGAGCAGATCTAGATAAAAACCTGTGGTGCAACAAGAGAAACACTTTATACCAAATGTTCCTCTGATGAGTGACAGAAGTCTCTCAATGATCTGAATTCTTTCTCCTCTCCCAGCTTGGCTATTCAGCATTTTCCCCTTTGGGAATTAGAGCTACAATGCAGGAGCTGTAATTTTGGCTCAGTGATATGGCACCAGCCCACCTATTCAGATCAGTTTATCATCAGTGCTTATTGCTGCTCTAGTTCTGTTCCTCAAGGGATAATTACGGATTTCAATAGTCCAGTGCCGCAAACAATCCTTATCTGGCAAGAGATGGGTAGTGGAGGAGGCTAATAATTATTTTTCTATTTTTAAGAGCAATGGGCCATATTCCTACAATTTGCAATCAGTTCTCATTCAGGCTGTGAGCTGCATAAGACCCCTGCTGTACCAAATCAGATGCCTCTGAGATAGTCCAGAAAAGGGGTCAAAAAGCCTTTTTGCCACTGTTTCGTCCCAGCAGTGGAGGTGCTTTCAGCTGTTATGGCTAATAGCTGTTGATATACAAATCTTCCATTAATCTGTCTAATCTCATAGATAGTAGCCAGCCCTGCATCTTGCTGCAAATAATTCTGTGATTCGGTTTCACATTCACATGTCATACTAAAACCAGGGATGGAAAACGTTTTTGAGCCCAAGGGCCACATTCCCTCCTAGGCAACCTTCCAGGGGCCACATGCCAGCGGTGGGTGGAGCCATAGGCAAAAGTGGGTGGAGCAACAGATGATAAATTTGCCTTTGTGCAGGAAGGCTAGTTTCTACAAAGCCCCTTCGGTTGTTCTTTTTACCAAGCAAGAAGCACTGTTTCCCATCCCTCTCTTAATAATCTGTAGTATGAAATCTGAATTTTTCACTGCTGCCACATACACAGTTTCCTCCAAGATTACCTAAGAGCATAAGAAAGCAAAGACTTTTCTGGACTTGCAGCCTCTTCTCACAGATGCCTATGGGAAGCCCACAGCCAGGACCTGAGCACAACCCACTTGTGATTCCAAGCAACTGGCATTCAGATGCATGCTGCCTCCAATAGTGAAAGTAGGACATAGCCATCATGGCTCATAGCCACTGATACCCTCCCTGAATTTGCCCAAACCCCTTTTAAAGGCATCCACATCCAGACCCCTTCAATGCATATGTGAAATTAGAGTTTTTTGCCCCATCATGCACCTCTGTACAGTTACTCATACTGATGTTTCTGAATAGTTATCAGGAGATCTGTAATTTTTAATTTATCAGTTATCTTTTAGGGAGCTATTGAGTTTTTATAGAATTGGGTAGGGGAGGAATGGGTTCAAGAATTAAAGCACACGGGCTGCCTATGGATCAAAATAGACGCTATTTTAACTGTAATGACCAGTGTAGAGGGGGTAATTTTCATTGGGACCAAAGAGTGTCAAGAGTGGAGATTTCATCCTTTCCTCCCAGTCCTGATCCCAATGAAAATCACCCCATGCCACAATTAGCGTGAGAGAAAAAGCTGCCTCCCATTCGTGCCAATGGGAAATGTTCTTCCTAATACTAATTGTAGTGTAGGGGGTGATTTTCATTTGGACTGGGAATGAGAAGGAAGAGTTAAAACGCCTCACCCCACATGCTGTGGTCCGGATGAAAGTTGACTTAGCCTCACCCTCACTGTGCCAGATACTGCATTTAAAACAACAAAACAAAACAGATGTGACCGCTAGCCATGCAATTAAATTAATGTCTGTTTTTGGCTCTGAGATTCCCCAAAGATGATTTCTGAATGTCTGATGAGGGCATAAAATTTCCTTGCTGAAAGGTAATAGACAAAATTTGGAAATGTCATTTTTTCTCTCTTTCCTCTGCATCTCTTATGATGTTTAACATCTGCATTTCCAACCCCCCTGAAGTTAGATTCTAGCCCTGAAATTTACAGTAAGAGCTGATGTGTCTCCTTCTCAGCTTCTGTTGCTCATGCATTTCCTCTTTCTCTGCGTTGTGGACCCTTTTCATCATTTCCTTAACTGTCAGCCATTTCCTTCACTCACTCCAGTATCCAGGTTTGGATCAAGACATCTGCTGCCTTTGAATCAGAAATGCCTTTTTAGCTGCTCCCAGCACAATCAACATCTCTTTTCAAGCTGAATGCTTTAGACACTGGCAGCGCATAGTGGGTGCCAATAATCTTTGTGTAATTCCTGGAAAATTTCTTTCTGCGTGCGTTCATATGCAAGGTATTTGTGTAGTCATGATAACTGACAGACATTCTGGCAGGCTGCCAGTCAATGAGTCCCTCACTCTGTGCATCTGTGGGCAGATGCATCCCCAAGCTAACAAGGGAGAGCCACTCACAGAAGCACATTCTGGAGGGCAGCTGAATCCAGGTCCCCAACACTGAGAACGAACAGAGCTAGCTATCCAGGCAAGAGTGTGGGGGCAGATCTGTTTGCATGCTGCAGCATTATTTGGGTCCAGGCCACGGTCATTTAGCCTTATGTTTACATCTTCATATGATTACAGCTAACCAGAAAGATGTTTTTGCCATTGGTCATCCCTGACAATGCACAAGAGCTCTTTGCACATCTTTGGCGCCCCCCTTCTCCATTGAATTTCAGATACGATGCTGCCTCGAGCATCTTTACATTAAAGGTGTTGAATATTTTTGATGTAGCAGGTCACTTTTCCTTTCCCCTCCACAGTTGGCCATGGGCAGAGTGAAGGAGACCGTATGGTTGTGTCAGACTTCCATGTGTTTGTCAGAGACAGCTTGCAGCACATTGACCTCATGAAGAAAGACCACCCAGGCCTCCCTGTGTTCCTTCTAGGGCACTCCATGGTAAGCAGTCCTGCTCTATCCCTCCTTAATGGACTCTCGGCTTCCTACCAAGGAGCAGAGGACACTTTCCCCCACTCTGGTCTTTTCTGTTTCCCTACCCCTTTTTCTTCGTTTTATGTTCATTTTACATGGATAATTGCTAAAAGCAGTAATTGCACCCATAGAGTTGCTTGCGAACAGGCATGACCATGAGGGATGGGGGTCACATTCACACACACGGCACTCCCAACTCTTATTTCTCTTTGGGCTCCAAAGAGCAAACAGATCTTCCAGAAATGTAAGACAATTGTAAAACACTAGGTGCATTTGGGATATTGTGCTACCCTGTACATTTTCTCAGCCTCACTATGGCCCCCAGTCTTTCCCCAACATTACCAAGCCAAGAACTCTCTCTCTCACTCACACACCACTTTGCAAGTTGAGTTAAGCTGTTTCCCCTCTTACTGTTTTTGGCCAATACATTTCTCTACAACTCAAGGACCGTAGTTAGTGTAACAATGGAGCACCAGTGTGGTGACTAAACAAGCCACTTTGGTGAGCTTTTTTGGTGAGAAGCTGTGAGAGGCAAAGAGAAAGAGAACCCACATGACTGGCCGCAATATGGCCAAGGTTGAGAGACTAATCAAGCTCAAGGCTGATGTAGTAAGTAGGGAAGACACATCTTTTCCAAAGCTAGGTATGTTTTATTTCTTGTTACTCCATTAATTACTATTAATGGTTAAAGGATGAGGAACTGAAATAAGCCCATTGCCTTCTGGGATGTCCCACTCTATGCAGAGTTATGGCTTTCCCATTCAATTTCTTCTCAGGCACTCTGAAATGTTGGGTAGGCACAGATTCCTTTCTCCACATATGGTTTTGATTAACTGTAAATCAGATGGCAGTTAAAGGAGCAGAAACTACCTAGTAGAAGTCTGTTGGTTCCTAGAAGAGCTAGCCTACACTAGGGAAAAGCTATGGTCAGAGAGATTCAGCACCAGGAGAAGGCAAGTGGGAAAAACATGTGACTGTTAATGTGGCACTTTGAGCCAGAGTTATGTGTTGTCTTTGTTCACAAACCATGCAAGCATGGAAGTTCATAGTAGACACGTAATAATGACCTGGACATCTCTGTGTTCTTTTCCAAAACAAAGCTAGCTCCCCCAGGTGCTTAGTCCCTGTGATTGTGGAGATAAGCTAGAGATAACCTAAAAATTGATAATGCCTCGAGAAAACTTCAGAAACCAAAGTAAATGCTGAGCAGGACTACTTGTGATCTCGGAATGGGAGCTTCAGCATAGCTCCCTCTGCCATTTAACAAAAGAAGCTTGAATTGTGCAAAATAAGCGAATATATACAAATATGCACAATTTACTCATAACTCCAAATTCTGCTTTCCTTGATGAAGACTTTTTGTTTCCTTATTGCATGAATGGGAATAATGAGTTTTAAAACACAGAATATGCACAATTATTATATGTTCAATTATTATTATTGTGTATGTAAGCAAAACATAAAAAGGATCAGGAATGCAAATACAAAAGGTAGTCTGTTTAAGCCACTTGCCAGACACTTCAGAGGAATGGTATGCCAGTATAGGGCTCTAGAGCATGCAGTTCAACAACTTTCATTATGGGGATACATGCCCTGTTAATCTGCATCTCCAGTCATTAAGGGTTGGTATATTTACCTGCAGTGTTGCATTTGCTTGCAAAGCAAACCCAGACTTCTGACCTCTGAGCCAGATCCCATGGCATAAAACTGGCCCTGGCTCTCTCCTTGCTATGTAATTGCCTTTGCTTGGCACAGCTAAGCAAGGGCTGGAGGCAGCTATCAGCGCTGCAGGAGTGCCAGTGTCCACTCCTGCATCAATAGTAGGAACGGGATAGTTATTCAGTGTGTTGTTCCTTTCTATAGAGTGGCAACCAGTAGGATCAGCTCATTAGTTAAGGCCCCTGGAAGATCTTCTAAGCCAATATGATGCCCCCTCCTTTTATCTAGCATTACTACCATGCTGTTAGCCATCCCCATATCCCACGGCATTATGCTTCAAAGACTTGCCACATGAAAAGTGCATTAGCTATTGTTAAGTTTAAAAAGAAAATACTGAGTCAGGATTAGTGGGTGCAGTTTTGCAACCGGGGAAATCTGAAACATGAACTCCCCTAGTTCTAAAAGCCTCACTCCCCTTTGAACAGGACCCCTATTAATTAATTCAGTTGAATTTGCCTTAGGAAACAGAGACGACTACAAATCCCATGCTCCCTGGCAGGAAAATGAAAACTTTGAACATGCTCAGGACCATCATTTTTGGTTCAGTAGGGGCTAGGCAGCCTTCTCCTGTTTCTAGAAAGACTTTTCTTTGTTTGGAATGGGTAGTAGCAGAATTTAGCACACACACAAAAATTAATTTTAAGTTTCTGAGTGTTCCCAAGGAAAGTTCAAAGCAAAACAAAAATGATTTTTGAGACAAGCTGGTTGAGTTCACCCGTTATTAGTCTGAATGCGACCTACTTGAATGAAGATGTTTGGTTTGAAGCTCATAGCATACCTTTAAAGGCAAATTGACTATAGCAATAGTCTGATTCCTAAATCCTCATCAGAATGAAGTCTTACATAGTCTTCTTGTCGTTTCTACATGTAAACAGGATTATGACTCTCCAGCTCCATAGAATTTCACCAAGGCAATTAATTGTTTGTAATTCCCACTGAGCACTCCCTGCTTATTGGTGCCTGAGATATGCTCTGTCCTGGTTGTACTAATTTGTGATCCAAGATAGCCTTGCCATTTGATTAGTTGAAACAATGTTGTTAAAAGACTGGTCCAATATTAGCCAACAATACTCAAGTATTTAAAGCCTTAGTTTAGTCTCTAATTGCAAAAGCCCCTGTCTCCAAGAAGATTCTAGAGTCCAGTCCTTCACAGGATTTTTAAAGACCACCATACTAGGCCTTCCTCCCCACAGCAAATGTAAAGGACTCTCTTTCTCTGTTGAGCCTAGTTCCTACCGAGGTGTTTGTGACCTGTGCCGCTGTGGTGAAAACTTGCATATGTGTGCTTCATGCTTCTTCCTAAACTTCATGTTTCAGTTCAGACCTGCTTTTATTATTTGTACCCCGCCCACCTGAGTGAGTTGCCCCAGCCACTCTCGGCGGCTAGGATAACTGGGCAGTAAGAATAACTAGGCCCAAATGATTCAGCCTTAGTTCTCAAATACCTCATATGCATAAGGGGAAAGTAGGGGTTTTGGCTGAGAGCTGTGCTCTGAATGCCAAGGTACCTGCAGGCCATTCACACATGAATTTGGCTGCTCTATGTGAGGCAGCCAGTTAGAGCCCCCTCTCAAGCAAAGGAGCCCTACACACACACACACACACACACACACACGAATTTAAGAAGTGTTGTGCTGGATCAAACCAAGGACTTATCTAGTCCAGCCTCCTGTTCTCACAGTGGCCAACCAGATGCCTGTGGGAAGCTCACAAGCAGGACATGAGTGCAGCCCCGCTCCCCCCATTTGAGCTCTCAAGCAACTGGCATTCAAAGGCATGCTGCTTCTGATACTGATACCAGAGGTTGTGTACAGCCATTGTGACCCTGAGCTGTAGCTTCTGGAGGAGGAAAACCCCCCAGAAAGTTTTAAGAAATGTCTGAATGTCAGAAAACAGTTAGCTTTGCCTGGGTGCGTGTGTTTAATAGCTGAGGTTTTACTCAGTGTCTAGCTGCACAACTCTCTTACTCATTCAGTTTTCTCTTTGTCTTTTGTTGGTATCCTGGAATTTTTTTGGCCAGCCTGTTTTTTCTGCCATCTCCCCTTTTCCAGTTGCATGGCTCCTTAACTCACCTTGTCTTTCTCGATAACATACAACCATCTCGTGCCCCTTTGATTGTGTCAGTTCTTCCTCCATATTCTTTACCTTTATATGCACATCAGAGGCATCCTTCCTTTCCATACCACCAGGACAACCATACCCTTATTTCTTGCACCTTGTTGCCCCACCCCAATTACTGTTTTAAATTTCATAGGTGGGAGGGTAGTAAATAAAGTAGTTTACTGTTCTTATTTCTCTCTGCTAAACTATGTATAACTTGAGATTTATATATGGATGAGCTTAAGCTTGATGTAACTATCACAGAATAGCTCCGTGCAGATTGACAGGATGCCTTCTTTCATATAATTGTGCCTCTGAGTGTTGGAACCCCCTTTGAAGCACAAAAATTGCTCTGCTGGGATTGGCAGGTGAATCACACCTGTGATACACACTTGTATCCATGTTATAAAAATTGAGATTGCCAGCTTCACAGGCATTGTGATCCCATGTTGGCACTTCAAAAAAATAGTTGTCAATTGAACTCAGTGGCATGTGAGGATGAAACTCTTATCTAAAATTGTTTTTTGTTGTGCGTAGAAGGAAATTCAAGTTAACTGCTTTGGCTCAATTGTAGCGCATCACTAGAGCAAATCGACAAGATACCTGGGTACTGTAACAGACCTGGTTACTGTACTTGCCTATAAAATACTTAGAATCCCTCTTTGCTCTATTGGGATTAATATTCCTGCATTGCGGGGGGTTGGACTAGATGACCCTTGGTGTCCCTTCCAGGTCTACAATCCTATGACTATAATACTCATTGTAATTGCCAGTGTTTTCACTCAAAATATTGCTTGCTTTTTCATTTCAGGGAGGAGCCATCTCCATCCTCACCGCGTTCGAAAGACCAAATGACTTTTCAGGCATGGTATTAATTTCTCCTCTAGTAGTTGCAAGCCCAGATGTAGCAACACCGATCAAGGTAAAAATACAGGCATAAATTAATTTCCAACACACTAGCTAAATGTCAGCTGAGCTTCACACAGTCTCCAGCCAGTAGCTCTTTTTTCCCACCAGTCCTTCCTCTCTGTACATGTCAATTTGCACTAAAAAAGAAAAGAAAAGGGGGAAAGGATTGATTTAAGGTCCTTACTAATTTTAAATGAATTTCAGAGGAAAATTCATGGTCACTATGAAGACTATGGAGCGAAATATGTGTTGGAAACATGTGAATAGTAAAATCCCAGTGGCTGCCTTTTAAGAAAGCACATGAGGCAGCATTGAGAGTGAGAGATATGGAGCAGAGAAACCTGCAAAGACCTAACAACTGGCCTTTGCTGTCACTTTACCTTTACAACCCCCCCCCCTCCCCGGTTTTTTCCATATTCCAGGTTCATGTTTACCTTTGTAAAGTCACTATGAGTGGAAGGACACTTGACAGTTATAATTCTGCCTAATGACATACATTTATGTGATTAGTGGGCTTGGGAGGCGAAGTTCAACCTGGTTTGCTTTAGCTTCATAGGTTTAGTCTCAGTATTACACAACAAGCAATTTTGAATTTGCATTTAAGTGGATGTTGGGGGGGGGGGATGCCCTGAGATTGGAAAAGTAGTCTCCATCCCTATAGCCAGTCCCGTCATCTGTTAATGGTAAGCATGGGAGCATGCATACAGTTGATGCTCTACTCAGACTTTATAATGGTAAAATTTAGATTTTTAGAATGGGGACATATCCTAATCTTCATTATTTATATCAGTGGAATTCAGCTAAGTTTTACTCAGAGAAGATCTATTGAAATGGATGCCCCTAACTTGGACATATTCGTTAGTCTACTCTGAATAAAACATAGTTGAATCCCACCTTAGTCTTGTTAAGAGTGCATGCAGTGCATTTATATGTACCATCATCTAGATCAGGGTTTCCCAAACTTTGGGTCTCCAGCTGTTTTTGGACCACAACTCCCATCATCCTTAGTTAGCAGGACCAGTGCTTGGGGATGATGGGAATTGTAGTCCAAAAACAGCTGAAGACCCAAGTTTGGAAAACCCTGATGTAGATGGATATGCACATAATGAGTTAAATCTACCAACCACAACTCCTGGCAGAAGACACTGTGCAAGAACCTGCTCAGATGAGTTCATTAGCTTTTCCTCAGATAATTTATCTATCAAGGTACTTGTTACACAAAGCTGTTTAATTAAAAGCCTGTTGTTTCACTTAGTATCATCCCCCAGGAAGCCAGGACAACTCATCTCCTCAGGCCAGTGCTAGGAACTAAGCCTAGACAAAACACACTAGGCAGAGTAAAAGTAGTAGTGCACAAACAAAGCACAGGGTCACATTCATGTCATATATTTAAAGCACTCTTATACGTCTTTAATAGTCATGGCACCCCCCCCCCCCAAAAAAAGAATACTGGTAACTGTAGTTCATTAAGGGTGATAGGAAATATAGCTCTGTGAGGGGGTCTCCTAACATGTAGAAATATGTGCATTAGTGCCAGTGGAAAGGTGAACTTTTCCAAGTGACTTGAAGTTGCAGGACCACATTTGCATTTCTGGAGAATACATTTATGTCCTAAAATCTCTCTCTTGGCCCATGTGCTAAATGGAGCTCATGAAGCTTTGGTACAAAAGGAGTGTTCCATGGCAATGGCATTTGCAATGCCTGTAAATGCCTCTGAAATCCGTGACTGCTTTGATATTTGGTACCTTGGAGAAACTCTTCATTTCATCCTTTTTATCTTTGCTCTAATACAGTATAATTTCCCAATCCATAGCAACTATGATGAAGGAGAATGAGAGAATGTTATGTGACCGGGTGTACTTAATGGATTTGTACTCTAGCAAGGTCGCACTTTATACTTTGCAGGAAGTATCTCTGGATACAGTATTTGACATTCAAAGAGACTATAAAACAAAGGCCCAGCTATTTGTTTTCTTGGTTGTCAACATTTCCAAGCAATCACCACTTAATTAGAAGGTAATTTTCAAAAGATCAGAGGAGAATTTTAAATATTGGGCTTGATTGCAAAATGCTTTTAGTGGGAGAAAGAAATACATTTTCCTTCTCTTCTGTGGGCATTTGTATGCTCCGGAAGTTCAGACCTTTTGCATTTAACTCCCAGAGGGCAGGTATGCAATAGATTTCCTTAGTCAATGCCTGCACATTTGTTCTTGTTTATTTGTGTCCCCCTAGAGAATGTGCTTCGCAGAAAGAGTTGCAGCCTAGGCAAATACTGGGTGGATTGCACAGGCGACAATTTGCATTGTAACAGACTGAAATTAGAAGTAAATGGTGATGAGACAAAATTGGACTGCATTGAAAAGTGAAACGCTGCCTCAGTATTAGCTTCTTCAGCAAGGACACTCTCCCTGCTTATTTTGGTGCCAGGAAGAAATGCAGGAGTCCTGAAGCGGGACAAAGATGTGTTGAGGAACACTGCCTGTTGCATCATGCTTGTCCTTGTAAATGGCCGTGGGAACTTTTCCTGCCTTTTCAGTATATTTGTACTAGAGCTGTTAGTTGGCACTTAAGACCGGATCCTCAGCTGGAATATAACATTGATGTGGTGGTACAGCAACAGAGAACCTCAAACCATTTCTGCCACCTGCCGATCTGGCTCCTGCAATTCTCTTCTTTGCTGTCCAAGTTACTAACTACATTCATCTCCCTCAGGTTTTTGCAGCTAAAATACTTAACTTAGTTCTGCCAAACTTGTCCCTGGGATCTATCGACCCAAACGTCATTTCCCGGAATAAGAAAGAGGTGAGAATTTTATTGCTCTTGCAAATCATTGCGGTGTCTGTTCTTGTTTCCCAGTCTTGTCCATTTGTTCTTGCCTCAGCAGTTTGACTGAACTACAAGGGCCAAGTTGCATCTTGGTGCAAACTGATGAAATGCCCTTGGAAAAGGGATGGGACCTTGTCTGTATAGACAATGAGAGAATTTCAAACGGCACTTAGGAGGAGAAAATTTAATCCAGCCTGAAATGACTTAATCCTCATATGTTTTGCATCAGTATTGTGAAGCAGGGAAAATTCATTCTGTCATTCTGTGTCCCTGTTCTTCATCTTAATATGGAAGCAAATGGGTTGACTTCATAGTTGCCATGATGCACCAGTGGTGGAGGCTGCCCAGTAGTCAACCTTGCATTTTGCAGTAGCTCTGTAGAAAAGCACCTCCGTGCTGCTTACAGACATTTCCTGAAGCACAGGATGCAAACCTGCATCTGTAGCTGCTAGTAAAACCAGAGATGTCCACAGCAGCTTTAGCATCAAAACAGTAACAAATAAAAATGTTCTTTAAAGGAGAACACAGTCGTGGGCATACAGGGAGGGGGGAATGAATGTAAGCAGAGCCTGACAAAGGATTGCTAGATGGGGTTGTAGTTCATAGTAAAGATCAACTGAACTGACGGGAAATGGCACTCTGGGATTTTGAAAAAAGCAGGAGACTATAGCATGTTAGTGAACACACATTCCTACCAGCTCAGATTTCTCTCAGATGCACTGTAAATATACTGAATGCTGCTAACTCGCTAGGTAAGCTGCATTGCAATGATTAATACATGCTGATGGAGCTCTCACCCTGGAAATGCTAAGAAGGTGTCTGACAGCAAAGTGCCAACAAGATGCCAGCAATGCAGCAAGGTTAAAATGCTTCTTAGCACATCCAGCCTGTTGTAGTCAACATAGTCAACAACACTTGTACTTAACAGAGAGGTCCACACATAGCAGCTTAAGGGAGGATTGGGTGTATGTGGCTAAGTAATTGAGCTCATGCTCTGCATTTAGGGTTTCAGATTCGGTCTTTGGTATCTTTCATTGAAGAGTCCATGAGCCAGACTGCATGCTAAATTTCCTGTGTTTCTGGGCTGTTTTACAGGGATGTTTTAACTTAAATTGCTGGCACAGGGGCTTCAACATACCTGTAGCTTGCATAGTAAAAAAAACATTAAAATGCTCTTATTGAAATGTATGGGATGGTCCGTGTCCCTCCCCCTCCCCCCCCCCCGCAAATTACAGACACACAGGGGCAATAATCCAGATCAGAACCACAGCAGGTGGCAAAGGGTTAAAGCCTTCCAAATCCCCATGCTAGGGTCCCAGCGACTGGTGTAGAAAACAAATCAAATACTTAAAGGCACAACTACATATTGAGTGTAACTTGTAGTTTGCCCTTCTGATAACAGATCTGGCTAGGAAAGATCCCTGCCTGAGAGAGCCTGGAGAGCTATTATCAGTCAGGCTAGACAATATTTACTAGGAAGAAACAATGGGCCATCTCTCCGGAAGGCCACTTTTGGCAAGTTTTCATGGAAGTCATCCAATCCTTATAGTCCACATGTGCAATGTATTGGACCTGTACTAGCAGTAGCAGCTCGCATGGAGTGGTGGTGTTGTGTAGCCACCCTCCCAACACTGGCACAGCATACCTGGACAGTGCTGGGGCAGGGAAGGGCAATGGTGTGGGTAGGACTGTGCAGATGTTGGATTGGCTCCACCAATAAGGCCATGCAGTCCTGCCCCAGCACGGCCCAGTTAACCTGTAGCAACACTGGTGTTGGCCAGGCAACTCTGTGATGCTGTTCCACTGCACTGACCACTACTGCTTAACAAATGGCTTTCGAACCAGGAACACCTCTTTGATGTGTCGTCATACATAACAAATACTTAGCAATTTGGAAATATTGTCTAGTCTGCTGAGATTAGATTTCTTCTGAAACATTACCTATAAAAGTTTGGACAGTTTCTCTCTCTCTCTCTCTCTCTCTCTCTCACACACACACACACACACACACACACACACACACAGCGGTCCCCAGTTTCTTAGTTCCACCTACACTCAGAATCTTCAAAACACGAATTTAGAATCTGCTGGGAACAGCATGGGAATTTGTCTGATATGCACATGAGACTGTATCAGATTAAAAGCCCATCCAGGCCTTTCTAGGGCCTCTTTCTGCACAAGTGTGCTCAAGACACACCTCCCAACACCTGTAAGGTGTGTGTATTAAGACCCACCCTATTATTGTGACTATAGTTTGTTTTAAAACGTTTTTAATGCTGTATTTTCAGTTGATGTAACTCAACTTGGGAACTTATGGTGAAGGGCAGATGATAAATTGAAATAGTAGTAGCAGTAGCAATAACAGAGCCCAGCGATGCAAAAATGCCCAAGGTGAGTCAAAGCTGATCTCTGACTCCAAAGTTTGTCCATCTCTGCTATGTGCACCAGAACTTCCAAGCAATTTGAAAACATTGCCATGTCTTCTGACATTGGGTTACTTCTGAAAAATGACCTATCTGTAGATTGACAGAAATAAATCCCCAGCATTTTAGTGTCACCCACACTCAAAACCTGCAGAATACAAGTTTAGATTGTACTGGGAACAGCCACTATTTACATGCTGCACGTATTCATCTGCCAGACCAATTTCTAGTCTCTATAAATATCATTGGGATGTCCTCCAAGAATTTCCTGACTTGTTTGTGTTCATAGCAGTTTGGTTTTGCAAACCAGGAACTGAAATGTAAATGGTGGATTTGAGACATTTTGATCAAAAAAAAAATTCTTGCTTGTTAAATCTGATGCAAAACTCCAGATGTGTTGGGGTGCAATTTCAAAAGAAAGCAAGGCTGTCACCTAAAATGTGTTTGATGCAAAGGCTGTGTTGCTATAGGTTTATACTTGTCGGGGGTGGGAGGCTTGCCTGCCTTAAAAACCAATAGCCCCTGATTCTGGTTGAACAATCCCTATTGGTCTCATATTATGATGTGCATCTCCATCTGCATTAAGATACATCCAGCTGGTTCAGTGGACCTGAGTGATCATCACCAAGCAGATGGGAATCCAGAATCCAACCTTCTCCCACATAACAGTCTTCCCCTCCCAATCTCTGAAAAGGTCATTAAACCAAATTTTAGGGCTGAAGAACTGTATCAGGAAAGGATCAGGATATTAGGAGGAATTCAACATAGCGCTAAGGAGATCACTCTGTTGGTGCAAGCATTTGTGCTTACCTGATGAAGAAAGCGCTCCCCCTGCACCCTGTTCTGGGGGTTCCCCTGACCGCCACCCCCGAGATGGGGGAAGCCCCGTTTCACTAGCAGTAAGTAGTCCTTCTCTGTGGTTTCACTAACAGGACTGGTTAGATGAACCCAGGCAATAGTTTCTGTGCTGGAAACTTGGGAGGAGGTTGCAAGCATCATGATTCCTCAGTATCAAAGCAACTCTCAATGTTCCAGTGATGTCTGTTGTGTTTTCTTCTTGGTTTTGCTTTACTGTACTTACTTAACCGCATTTCTACCATAGTTTTGGTTTTTTTATTTCTTTTCATTTATATCCTGCCCTGCCTCCCAAAGGAGCCCAGGGAGGCAAGCACATCCACAGTTGTTGTTTTTTTTAAAAAAGAAGCATCCTAAAACAGTTAAAAACGGTTTCGATTAAAAAGACAGTTGTGGTTAAAACCTTTATTTCTTCCAGTGACCTCAGGGTTGCTAGGGACAGTATTTTCCAGTCACTGAATGCCTGGATAAACAGGAACGTTTTCAAATAAGTGCATGTTTATTTATCTTACCACTTACATCAAAGATTAATTTAGTGATAACATGTTGTGGGATTGCCACTGATTACATGCTAGAAAGGGCACATTCTTTTCCCTGAATCACAGAGCAAATTCAAGAGCCAGCAGCATATTACTACTGCTGCTATTGCGTCATTTTATAGCTGCATTTTTTTTAAAAAAAAAGCATGAGGTTTTCATAAAATTAGTATAATTTACTATATGTTTTAGGAACTTGTTTGTTCATTATGCATTTGAAAATGTGTTTGGAAATAGGATATTATATCCAAATTTTGCATGATGGCTCCTGATAGCGAGCAACAAGTTTTTGTCTATGGTTGGATACAGTTGGTCACCATTTTGACTCATGATGCCATTCCAGGGCTTGTGGTTTCTTGCTCCTGTCAAGGCACTGCCAGGAGTGAGGGAGGAGTAAAATGGGGGGGGGGGTTGAGCAGCCTATTGTAGCATACAGCTTGTTTGTGTTAAACAACAGCTAAACGTTAAGTATGGTTTTATTTAGTGGATGGGTGAATTATTACATTTGTATCCCACCATTTCTTTAAGGAGCTCAAGGTGGTATACATAGTTCTGCCCCTCCCATTTTATCCTCACAACAACCCTGTGAGGTAGGTTAGAAGATGTGACCGTGATTGGCCCAAGGTCACCCAGGGAGCTTCACAGCCGCCGAGTGGGGATTTCAACCAGGTCTGACACTTTAAGCACTACACCACACTGGTTTAAGGTCATGTGTGAACCACACCTTTGACTCCATCCTGTTACTAACATTAGAAGGAAAACACAGGCAACACAAGCGTTTAAGGGAAACTTACAGGCATTGAGGAGCATCCATTTTGAGATGAATCATCTGTGCCCATTCTTCCTCTCTATATGCCCCATTCTACGTGGTCACATCAGCTGCCCTGGTCACTAAAATCCCAGCAAAAGTTGTTTAGTTTTTTAAAAAAAAACTCTCTCCTGAATTAGGATTAAAAAATAAAAAAATCAGCATATAACAAGGCTAGGAACAAGAAACAAAGAAAACCCCATTAGGCTATTTCCTGGCATTTGTGGCTTTGCATATGAGGGTGGCGAAGGTGGTACGTCATATGAATTTATCTACATTATTTTATTCTGCGGGAAGAGGACGTCTGTCACTCCGCCCACCCACTCCTTTGTGATTTTTCTTCCCCCAAGAATTCTTTTATCTGTTGTTCGTTGGGGAAGCAGCTTGAGGCTGGGCTGCCTGCACGTGGTGCTGTGTCACAGCACCAAACAAACAACTTGGCAGCTTTTAGTCTGCAGCCAGTTGCTAAGTAGCCGGAGCAACCCAGCACTTTTGTTTAAATTGGAGGAGAAAAGTCAAATTGGCCCGGGTGAAAATGTCAGAGCACACCCAGGTGCTGAGAAAGGGAGTTGGCAAAATTGCATGCACTCGCCTCAGTTGTTCCGTTAGCCATCTCTTTTTTCTTCTTCTTCTTCCCTGAAAGCACATTAAACAGGAAACCAGACCTTTCTAAAGCAAGGTTTCTCCTGAGCAGAAATGGGAGGAGGACAGTGAAGAAGCAGGGTTTAGGGGTCAGCAAACTTTTTCAACAGGGGGCCAGTCCACTGTCCCTCAGAACTTGTGGGGGGCCGGGGGGGGAAATGAATGAATTCCTATGCCCCACAAATAACCCAGATATGCATTTTAAATAAAAGGACACATTCTACTCATGTAAAAACATGCTGATTCCCGGACCATCCGCAAACCAGATTTAGAAGGCGATTGGACTGGATCCAACCCCGGGCCTTAATTTGCCTACTCATGGTTTAGATAAAGGCAAGGGAAGAAATGCCTTGATTCATACTTGGCTACTTATTTAGAGTGGACTGTTTGCAACCAAGTTATCCCATTGGTGCAGGGACTTAGGGACTTCCACCTGTACAGAAGGATTTCCTTTCCCTCTTCTCTTCCCCCATCCAGGCAAACAAAATCTGTTCTAGGTTTCCCCACAACCTTCCCACGTACCCCTTAGGCACAGGGACACAACCCAGCATTTCTAAGAAAAACATATTTCTGAAGGAGAAATAGAGGCACAGGTTGACTGTGCCCCACATTTCCCCAACAACACTTTTGCACCCAAGCTGTGTTTCAGTATTTGACTAGAAAGCATATCTGCCTTCAAAAAAATCAAAGCAACCGCCCCAAACCAACAAGAAACTGAACTTCTGGCACATGCAGCATCTCCCATGAGTATTGAGCAAAGTCCATTTCAGAAAAACCATGATATCTGCTGTCCATACTTACTCTTTACACAGCTGCGGAGATAAGCACTGCCAGGCAGTTTCCAGTGGCCTGAACCCTCAGGAGGGCGCACCACGTACCCCACATGCTGGCTCCAGCCACCCTGCTCCTCTCATTGCTGGTCCACTGGTTTTCCTTTGTCCAGTGCTTAAGCCCAGGTGGCTGTGGTTGGCAGCCGCCATTTTAATTACCCCACAATGCTTTTGGGGCCCCAAGACTGCGCTGCTTTAAAGCAATAGTACATAGAGCTCCAGAAGCATTGTGGGGGGATTAAAACAATAGATGGTAGCATTTGCTGGCTAAATTGGCTTTTATTTTTTGCTGCTGCTGTGCCTGCCTTCTATTGTCCAGGGAAGAGAAGGGCCCCCTGCTGTGCCAAGGGCCACTACAGGGAGTGGGGGCAGCAGGAGCCCCACCAGACTCAGTGGTGGCCCTCTTCTCCCCCCTCTACTGTAATGAGATGGAATGGCTGCTACCAACTGAGGGAAGAAGGAGTTAATCTCACAGCAGAGTCCATGGAATTCTGTGATGAGTCAAAAGAGAAAGGAGGTTGATGCTCTCTTATTGTTAATATAATTGATGTATCACTATGTCCTGCTTAATTTTGAAATATTTTGGCATTGAGATGCTTATTGATACTTTTGTTGATTTTTCAAAAAACGAATTGTATTGTTTTTGTTGCTGTATATTATGACCTGCTTTGAACATGGTTTTCTGTAGAAGGCAGCATATAAATTAAAACCTCTCATGTGACCGCAGTCAAAACTGAGAACCTTTGTGGAGGCTTCACCACATGAGAAGAGGGTGTCTGTCCATTAAAATGTGCTCCCTTTAAAGCAAGTATCCGTTGAGGAGTTGGTTAAGCCATAAAATGTTCATTAAATGTCCCTTTTATTTCAACAGGTTGACTCTTACACCACAGACCCGCTGATTTACCATGGTGGCATGAAAGTCTCCTTCGTCATCCAGTTGTTGAATGCCATTGCCAAAATAGAGCGTGCGCTCCCCAAACTGACTCTTCCTCTGCTGGTGCTCCATGGTTCACCTGACAAACTCTGCGATATCAAAGGCTCTTATTTGCTGATGGATACGGCACCAAGCCAGGATAAAACTCTCAAGGTTATCTTGGCTTTTTTTGTAGAATTAAGGGATCGGTGTTTACTGCTTGGCAGTTCGATTGGGCTCCTTTCCGACTGATGTAAGGCACTGTAGAGGAAAACCTCACCTGGGGGAGAGGCCTGTGACAACTTCTCTATCTTCCACAGGGTGAAATGAGTTAAATTCTGGGGCAATACTTAAGTAGGCCTAAGCACATTTATTTGGAAATAAATACCACTGGACGGCACCCAGCTAATTTAGAGTAGACCTGCTAAAATTAATGAACCCAGTTAGCCGTGTCCATTAATTTCACTGGGTCTATTCTGAGTAGGGTGAACATTCTATTGATTTCAGCCAAAACACAAGGAAGTTAACATGAAGAGGCAGCAATTAGTACAACAGGCTAGCCAGCTCTCCCTTGATGCTGTTAGTAATGGGAAGCATGTGCAGAAAAACAAAAACGGGGAGTGCAATACCTACTAGGATTTCACAAGCATAAAATATTTAAATTACACTTAATTTTTATTCATTCGATGTTTGAGTGAACATCTGCTCTAGCAATAGGAGAGTAAACAAAAAAGAGGGATAGAATGTATTTTTATCAGGTGTTGATGAGCAGCTTGAAACAAGCTGCCTTTCGAGCCATTTTGAAGTATTTATGAAGAATTACAGTGCATGCAGTGTAGTTTTGTACAAAAGGGATGGTGCATGCTGAAATTCGGCACCTGCTTTCAGTCCATGGTTACAAACAGTAGTTAAGATCAGTTGAACAAGGGAGAGATGTGGGGCTTCTTTTTCAATCTCTGTTTGGTTTTGTGACGCTAGCATTACCACTCTGTGTGCAACAGAGCATTAGGAGAAAGATGACTTGTTAGTACATGTTAAAGTGCTAGTCTAAAGTGCAGTTCTATTTTAGCAGGCCACAGTTGCTTGCAGGATGTGAAGGGTGTTATTGTAAGCTTGTGGAGTTCATTCATATACTACACAGTGTCTGTTGTGCAATCCTAACCCCCACCCTTGCAGTTGATGGTGGCGAGAGCAGGGGTTTAGGATGGCACATAGTGTCCTCTTCTCTGGACCTCCACTGGCAGAGAGGAGTTGTGGGTGCCAGTGGTGGTGGGTAAACCTTTGCCCTGGCAGACAGGAAGCTACCACTGTCAGTAGGCAGCAGAAAGCCCCCAAATGGGTCGTTTTGATGCATGGTGCCAACATCTTTGGATGCATTGGGTCGTATTCAACTAGGTTTTACTCAAAGAAGATCTGTTGAAATTGATGGGTCTGCATAGCTATGGCTTTGTGCCTTTAACCGTGCTTGTTCCTTCTCTTTGCAGGTGTATGACGAGGCTTACCATGCCCTCCACAAAGAGCTTCCTGAGGTGACTGCATCTGTCCTTAAGGAAATACAGTCATGGATTAGTCAGAAACTCTCAGCAGCTGAAGAAGCCCGTCACTCTTAAAGAAAAGCTGGCTTGAGACCTTCTTAAATGGTTGTGGGGCTATTCCGGGAAGATATTTTTTCCTTTTCTGTTTTTTACAACCTCTTTTCGGGGGCAAAAATGTTTCTCTTAAAGGGACTCCTGAAACACGTTATTTTTAAACAGACATTTCCTGTGGCGTTGTGGGGAGGGGGGTTGCCACGCAGCCGTTTAAAGGGCGCTTCCTTCCCAGGAGAAAGAGCTATGGGAATGTTGTATCAGTACAGACTTCCCGGCTGGGGGTGCTGCTTTAAGGGACTTCCTTGAATCCCCCCTCAAAGCCCACAACACTCTCTAAACATGTTCTTTGTTGTCCAGGGAGTTCCTGAGGTGCTGAGGTATTTTTTTTCCATTTTTTTAATATTGCAATAATCTTCGGAATGTTTTAAAAAATAATTGGCATCTTCCATGTCATTCAGTTTCTACTCTTGCCAGGTGACAATTCCTCCCTCCTCTACTTCCAAGGCTACAAAACAGGCCCGAAGGGAAACGTCGTTTATCAGATGGAGATGGAGCTAGGAAGGAAGTTAGGCTGCTGGCGGAGTCTCTTCCTGTGTGAATTCAGGCCATGACTGTGCTTAGATTTAGGGCCAGGCCAGGCCGAAAGGGCCTCTCAGCCCTCAGGGCTTTGAGAACAAGGAGGAGTCCAGCAGACCACAGGAACAGCGCAAGCAGCACTCTTAGATGTAGCGCTGTTTAGTGATCAGCCCCCAAAATGACGCCACTGAGGAACAGGACTAACATAGAAGTCTACAAGTCTTAAGGCGTAGACTCTTAAGCACACAAAAGAGATGCTGATGATGTTACTTCTGCTTCCAGAAACCAAATCCTTCTTCTGTGCAAGAACTGTAATCTGTAAATATGCGTAGGGGCTGCTTTTCTTGTTATTTGTGTTAACTGATAACTTAAGATGTAAAGTCAAAAGTTATATTTAAAGAAAAATATTAAATATAATATATAATGTCTCTATAGGTCATTCAGAGGTATCTAAAGGAGGAGGAACAGAGTATAGAATGAAGGCAGGGGATGTCACTTCTGCAACGTGTGTCCCTTTAGGGGATTTCCAGGCGGCACAAGTTGAACTCTGCCATATGAATGCAATTGCCACTTGAAAACCAGGGAGTAGCCACCCGTTGCTTTTCCACAGTTCTCACACTCCTATTCCTCCTTTTAATTAGGATGGACCAGACATAAACAACTTGCCTTTGGGGTAGGGTAGTGTTTGTCTCCCTATTCTTTTATTCTATCCATGGTTGGAAGGAAATAAGGGGAAGGAGTGAAAGAAAGAAGCCAAAGTAATGGAAGAGTCAGGGACAGGAGGCGATTGTAAAAGTTACTGGATTCTCAGAGGTACGTGGGGGCCCTCGAAGCTTGACTAGCAGAGTACTAGGGCTAGCATTTTTTGGCAATACTTACTTGAGGAGGGGAAAATGGGCAGTGCTAAGAATTGAAAAGAGCCACCTGTTGGGTGAAAGTGCTTGTTGCATATGAGGAAGATATTGAGGAGGGGTGAGGAAATGGATAAAATGGGCTGTTTATGGTACGCATCTCTGAGGGAGGGGATTTGAGAGCAAGATAGTTAATGTGGAATCTCTTAATCGCAACAACTTTGGGGTATTAGCTTTTACTAAGACTAGCTCCTTGGCCAGCCCAGACACATCTGCACCAGGAAAATTTGGAGGAGCAGCCCATGGCTAGTCAAAAACATGCCACCTAGCTATGAAACAGTGCTTTCAGGCAGCCCAAAATTGCCATGTTTGTTGAAAGTCTATGTAAAAGTGCCCCCCTCCACCCTAACCAATGTGAGGATTATGAGGTGCCTGCCAACTTTGCTTTGCAGCAGAATTCTTCTATTTACTACTATTTCCCCCTCTAGAATAACCCAGTTAGCACTGCTGAGCTAGTCTCCTGTTAAAGTGACTTGGAAAGAGAATCAGTTTAAAAGTTTTCCATTGGGTGCCTACCATGATCTTTCTACAAGAGTGCCAGTCCTGCTTTTTCCATGCATTTCTGCTCTAGAGGTGTATGGATAGTGGATAGGACTTTATATAATAGATGCCCAGCAGGAGTTTGAACTCTTTTCACCTGCTGGTCTTTCAGCTTTGCACTGGGGGCGAACAACACAGCATTCCCCACTGTTGAGATTTTTCAGCTGGACCAGTAGTCTGTATTGCAAAACCACCCAGATTATGACAGTTTCACTTCCCACCTCCAAAGCCAGTTCCTTTTGGGAACTGTGAAAGAGAACTTTGTGTAATAACAAACAGCCCCCGAATCTAACTTTAATTAGCTCTGATCTGTTCTCTAATAAGGGTGTGAGTGGCAGAAGCTTAACACATCACAAGACCTCAGCAAGAGAAGCACTGTAGGAGTAACAGTCGCCTGGTTTGCACAGACTTTTGCAACTCCTAGCGGTTCATCCAGATTTTTTAAAAAGGCCCCTTTTGTTATAGAATTAATTGTGACCATTTCAGGGTGCTTAAAATTTCCTTTGACAGACCCCGGATTAATTATTGGTTGCAGATTTTATCAGTCATTTCACATCACAGAGGACTTGCCCTACCATAAGAGCTCAGCCGACTGAACCGGTGCAGCTGTAGTTGTGGCCTGTGGGTTACTAAAATGGAGACTGGGCTATGGGAGAACAGCGTGCTTGCCGTTGCATATGGGTGGTGGGAATTATTTCGGCGGCAAAAGCCCAGTGAATTAGATACACTATTGTTCTTCTGGCTTCATAATAGGCTTCTTTTCCTGTTCCACGAGCTGAAGGAACAGGCAACATTGCAAGGGTGGTGACTAGCTAAGGATTAATGCCCTTGCATTTATAAGCCTTAAAAAAATAATCAGGTAAGCTGCATGGATAAGCAGCAGTTGGCACAGAAATAGAAGCACTCAAAATGCATATTGCACATTAAAACGGCAATCAAGGTGGAGAGTATTCCAAAGATGTGCATGTTAGCTTAATTCTTCACCTATTCAGATCAACTGGGAGTTTAGCCACAGTGTGAGAAATCTAGGTCAGTGCTGGCTGCCTTGGAGGAGAAGTGCTTTTTCGCATTTAACTCCTACACACATGAGCACTGCTGTGCTGGCCTCTATTGTATACATGCCCAAAAGAGGTTCTAAGTTCAGTGCCTTTGAATAAATTTGTCCAGAGAAAGCCTGCTGTAACTCCTGAGCTTTGAAGCAATAGATAAAGAAGAGTTAGAACAGACTTCCCCAGCCTGGTGCCCTCCAGATGTTTTGAACTATAGTCCCCATCCCCCTGACCATTGCCAGTGGTGGCTGGGACTGGCAGGAGTAGCTGTGATCTTCAGGATCACAGGTTGGAGACAAATGGATTGGAAACTATATTTATTCAACTGTCAAAGTCATGCATAGGTTTGAAAAACCAGACACTTACTTAATGGGAAAGCAATAGCTACTGTTATTGGGAAAGTGATAGCTACTGTTCGTTCATTTTGCTAAGGACTATGCATTTGGGGAAATGCAGCCCAGAGAGTAAGTTAGGGAGGTTATGTTCCTTTAAGAGCAAATAGAAGCTGGCCACCTTCACATAGGCCTATTGCGCTTCCGTCTGCCATGGAGCTTTTAAAAGAATAGAACTAACTGCTTAAGTATTGCTTTCCAAAAGGGGGAGGGGCAATTTAAATAATACTCATTTGCTAGATGTTGGGGAATTCGAAAAAAGACTTCTATTCCTGCTGGGATAGAATAAACAACAGTTTGTAAACTGAATTGTGCTGGATCAACACCAGTGAAGGCTCTAAAACAAAAAATCATTTCTGCTGTAGTTAAACCTGTCAAGTCTAAGCTTGCTCATGCTGGGAAGTTGGACTTCTGCAGTGTTCTAAAGAAAGCAACTTGGTGAGCAACCACAGCTGGCAGCCAGGGGCAGTGTCTGGGTTGTTGCAGGAAAACAAGGGCAGAGCCACAGGCTGCATTATGGCCATAGCTGTGGCCTCTTGCACCTGCCCTGAGAAAAAAGAGAGAGATTGTAGTGGTGATCTTCAGGAGCCTGCCTTGCTAATCAACATTAAACCAACTGAAGCTCCTTGGGGCTGCCCTACCTCAGGCCTGCACAACTTGTGACGCACCAAACTGACTACAACCTCGCCTGTAGCCTGCAAAGTCTTCTGCTTTTACAATCCTAGACATGCATCAGAAGTGGGAGTCTTACAGAGTCTCAGATATTGGTGAGTGAGCTGTTATTCAGCTTGGCAGGTGACAAATTGCACAGGCCTGCCCTACCTTAAAATCACAAACTAGAGTTCACCAGAAGCATCTACAATTGTTTGATGCATGCAGTTTCTGGAGAGCAAAGTTCTCCAGAACTTGTATCAGCTTCCAGACTGCTGTGCTGGGGACCAACGGAGTTTCCCCCTCTTTGAGAACTTAGTTCCTTTATGACAGAGCAATAGTTGTGTGTAACTAATGTATATAACCGCCATCATATGCACCGGACATGGCATGACAACCAGCCTTCCCATAACATGTCTGGCACAACGTTTTATAATGAGCCTGCTCTTTTTATATCAGTCACCTTACCACTTTGATGACATTATCTTACCAAGATAACTTATTTTTCCAAGTAATTCCTGTGCCACTGTTTCTGCTCGTTTCATTTGTGCTCCAACTCACACAGTACTAGACACTCAACATACATACACACTTGAAATGCCTGTATTTACAGCGAGGAGAATGTGTACAACTTAGATTCTTTTGAGAGAAAAAGAAAAATAATATGTATATGAACACTAATAATAAAGATATGTTTTTTTGAGTATGGCATGATTGAGAGCATTTGTACCTACCCAATTATATCAAGAGCTGCCAAGGTGTTTGGTTGTTGCTCTTTTGTAAACAACAACAGTGCTTTTGCCCAGTTAATATTTGATAAATAGACCAGGGATCTCGTTAACCAAAGGGGAGTAATTCAGGGACATTCTGCAAATGATAATTCAAGTCTTTACCACACTAAAGACTGGGGCCTTTGGGAATGCAAACCCAGGTTAGAACAGGATTTAGTAGCACGTGCTCATTCTCTTTGTTGATGGCACTGGATTGTGTCCGCGAGGGCTTTTTGTCTTCCCAGCAATTTAGAGCCATTTTGAAGTGCAGGCTGGGAACACCACATGGGTGAAGACTATAGTGTACACTTTCACATGGTTGAAAAGAAAGAGCATGGGCACAAAGAATAAATGCTAAAATGCCATTGATTGCTCATATAAATGTTTACTCATTTCCCCCTTGTGGGCTTCCCACAGGCATCTGATTGGCCACTGTGAGAACAGAATGCTGGAGTAGATGGGCCAGCAGACTCCTCTAAGCTTATTAGAGCTCCCATGTCTCCAATATGGCACCTTCATTGAGTATACCACTCCTTCACTTTGCACCATCACTTCACCCTCTGTCCAGCTTCTGAAATGCACGTACACTTCCCGTGATACTTTTTGCTCTTAGATGCCTGTGTTCTTAAGCCATTTCATTTCCAGCTTGAGTGAACAAGGCCCAAAGTACACCAGAGCTTAGAATCCCAATTATATCCTTTTAAGCTGTTTTAGGGCCTCCAAATGGATTTTTTTTTTTAACATGTGTATTCTGCAACATCGCTGGTGAATTAATCAGTGGTGGATTTATATTGGACCACCCGCACATTCCACTTTTTTTTTTTACTTTGCTGTACTGAATTATTGCCTTTGGGAGGGGCACTATAAAGCACAACAAAAGTGGGACAAAACAACCACAACTCTTGAACATTATGGAAAGTTACGAGCATTATGGAAAGTATCAGTAATTCAGCAGGAAACCACGGGACATACTCCCAATTACAAAGCAATATGTCCACTCCAAAACTTTTCCAGGCATAAACTGTGGAAAAAAGGATCACGTATAACCATCCCAATACTAGTATTTGCACAGATCCATCATGAATGCACATTAAAAATGATATCTAGAGAGGCCCTTAGGAAGCTTCTTGCAATCTACATCCTTGGAAACACTGAACCTCGAACAGCTAATAAAACCTGTTACCAATAAGAGATGAAAGATAGAATCCCCTTTGCCCCCCTGCTGCGCTAGGGACCCTCGCCCTTAATACCTAATGTTTATTTTTGCTAGCATTGGCTGACATTCGCTTTTAAATATCTCAGCCAGCCATCATATATCTTCAGTAACAGGCAACCACCTGTGCTCTAAGGAAATCTCATCTGCCACATTTTTGCATCTGCTATCTCCTATCAGGAATCCATCCTAATATTTTTTTTGCTGGGGTTGTTGAGCTGGGAGGCTGCGAGCCAAGTGTTTTCAGAGAGAGCTTCAAGCTGCCAAGGCAACAGTTCAGTTCCACTGTAAGGTGAGGGGGGGGGAGGGGAACTGGAATATCCAAGCAAATTAATTGGGTGGGGTTTTATGACAAGTAGACAGCAGAATGCAAGCATAGCTAGAAGATCTAGCCACCCCTGCCAGGAGGCAACATTTAGAGCAAATGGTGCTTGCGGGTTTTAACTATTTCTCTGTACTCTGAAGGTTTAGTACTTCATAAGTAGGTGTGAGAGACTCATCATTTTGCATGCTGCTCAGGGCAGATGAAAGTACTACAGCCCATCCAATGGGACACTTGCTTCTGCCGTGAAGCCTGGACACGCACTTTCCTCTGGTGGAAGCAGGCAACAATTTGGGAAAAGATTGGGGGAGTGAGTTTTGGAGGTAGCACAGACTCCGCAGACCTCAGTTCCAAATTCCCAGCCCTGTGGGGATGAGATTCAGGTGTCTAAACATATAGCAACAGCTTCATTGCACTGTCAGTCATCCTCAGGAATGAAGCCAACTTGCTGGCAAGCAGCAAGAACGCAGCTTTTCTCTCGAGAGCCAACAAGTATGGGATGTAGTACCCGGTTACTGCTGCACCTGGGCATAAGGCGACAAGCTTGCAAACAATGGTGAGCAGAGGTGTCTCAAGGTACAAACTGGAACTGTGGGCTTGTCCACATTACTTAGTCCAAGTCAAACTTGATTTGACCAGTGGCTAACCTGCTGTCTCCACCCTGAAAGCATCTCAGGCTCCTGATAATGATGTACAAGTTTACAAAGCTGTGGGGCTATGACTTCAGGCCAACTTTTAAACAGAAGGAAGAATTCTAGCCTAATACATTACAAATCCATGAACTTTTCCTACTTAAACACCTCCTTCAGTCTGTTTTGGACTATCTGCACTCTCAGAGCACCTAGAAGACCTGGGTGGGTTAACAAGCTTCTGAAAACCAGTGGCCTGTTTATATCTGTGATTCTTTGACAGATTTCAGGTGGACATATCCTATTTCCATGACAAAGAGAAAAGGAGTGTTCCAAAGCACTACTATCAAAAGATCCTCCCTTAACAAAAACTTGTGCACTAGAGTTAGTGGATACCTCATAGTCTCCACTATACAATGTTGTCTCCCTCTATGAGGTTTTGGTGATATGAGGTGGAAATTGGGTTCCTTATCATCATAATGTGGAATTGTCCAGTTGCAAGCCATTTTGGCGGTGATGTTTTCCTGGTAATGATTAATTTAGCTTTCCTGAAAGGCTTGCTATGTATAATAATAATAATAATAATAATAATAATAATAATAATCAAAGATATGCATGTTTTGTTGAACTATAACCCCACTATTTGGAATTTACCATGAGGCCATGACCTATAGGCCTTGCGTTCAGTACATTTAGCCAAACACATTGCATTTTAACACTGGAAGATGACGTCATTGCCCTGTATACAATGATGGATTAATGATTTGCACTCCCTGTCCTCATCTGAACTGGCTGTGTATGAACATGAGCACGAAGAAGATAAATATGGGAACATTTGGTCAGCTGTTTGTGTTTTTTTTAAAGACTTCTGCATCCTATTTGGTGGTCCAGTATATTTGGGTTTATATCGTCAAAGCATCTTAAATCATCTTTTCCTTGTCCTCCTCTATTTTCACTCAGTTCTTTTTGGTTTTTGTTTGACTATTATTTTCACAATGCAATAATGTGACACTGCACCTGAACTAATGCTGAACAGGGTATCACAAGAGCTATTTATTGGATGATCTGGGTTTTCTGTGTCTTTTCCTCTGGTGGTATTGGCCATTTGCCATACATAACACAGAAAGGGTACAAAGCAAAGGTACAGTTTGGTTTGCTGGGACTTTTATTTATTAAGGTTTATGAAACTGCTTGCCCTTCTATGCATTTGACCATGATACTTGAATAAAAGTAAAGGGACCCCTGACCATTAGGTCCAGTCATGGCTGACTCTGGGGTTGCGGCGCTCATCTCGCTTTACTGGCCGGGGTAGCCAGCATACAGCTTCTGGGTCATGTGGCCAGCATGATTAAGCCGCTTCTGGCGAACCAGAGCAGCGCACAGAAACGCCGTTTACCTTCCCGCTGGAGCGGTACCTATTTATCTACTTGCACTTTGACTTGCTTTCGAACTGCTAGGTTGGCAGGAGTAGGGACCGAGCAACGGGAACTCACCCCATCGCGGGGATTCGAACCGCCGACCCTCTGATCGCCAAGTCCTAGGCTCTGTGGTTTAACCCACAGCACCACCCACGTCCCTGATACTTGAGTATCAAAGACAAATTCAAGCCTCTTCACATTGTATGCTTGCCCAATAATAGATTGCAAAGCATAGCCTGCATGCAACACAGAAGTAGGTGATATTAATGCCGCTTCTTTTAATGTGAGTTTAAATGCACACAATTGTGCAGTGTACTGTGGCTAATGTCTGTGTGTAAAACATGCACAAATATTGGGTGGAGGGAACGATTTCGAGAAACAAAGCCACATGAGCACCCCACACCTGAAGCCAATTCTACAAAAGCTGAATTGATGTTGGCAAACCACTTCTATTAAGTCCTCTGGGTTTTTCTAACTCAGGTTTTTTTCTCCTGTCTGGAACCGGTATTACTGCTATCCCAGAAATGTCAGATGTGGAATTGAGAATGAAGCATGGAATCCAACATTTGCATCAGCATCTAATCAGATGCAGGCTGCAACGTGTTAAGGTAGTATGTTACATTTGACTTCAAGCCAGAATTACAAATGTTGCTGTTTATCAGTGGATAAATCAGTTTGAGTACAACTCACAGAACAGCTTTGAGATGAAGACAGCATGACCTAGATCTTGTCAGAAATTTCTTGCACTGCGAAGAATGTTTTGATGAAGTCATTTTAAGGTCTGCCCACCAGCACCACATGCTTACTAAAGCAAATAGGAGCCTAGTTCCTTCAAGCATCCTTTGTTTCCACGTACTTCCAAGTTGCACTTCAGTAACAACCGTGCATACGCAAATCTCTCAATTTCAGTTTTCCTCTGTTTCTCACTTTCCCATTCTTAACTTCAGTTCCCCATATTTCCACATGATTTTTTTTAGACCTCTTTAGCATTTTAGTGCAAAGTTATTCTAAAAGGAATTATGCTGGTCTGCGACCGTAATAAAGTTTATACCCCTCCTAAAAGGCACATTTTTGCAAAGCAACTTCTTGTATTTTGTGTGTCATTTTCACAAATATATGCATTTTGTACACACTTTCCCCTGGCATATGCATTTTTGAACACATTACTTGGCTGGAGATCTGCATTGCAAAATTCAGATAAGCTCAAACTTCAAAGAATGATTGTGTTTTGTTTCAAGTATTGTTTCAGAAGGTGTGAGTTAGGTAGATTTGTCTTTAAATGTGAACATACTCAATTTTTCCTCATCCCTAGTGACAATCTCAGAAGTACAATTATGCTTTCTTATAAAGCTCATAAGAGACAGCTAATGGCATTGTCTTCTGTGCGGTGTTGACATAATCAGAAAGTGGAGAGATTCTGTGCATGATAGCACAAATATTCCACCTATATGCCTGAAAGTTTTTGAACAAGTTCAGAACCTTTATATCAACACCACAAACATTACACTATTTTCCATAAAAACAAAGCGTTGCCTAACTGGAACAGCCCAATGGACCATCTAGTCCAATGCTGCCTCTAGCAGCAGGCAGCCAGATGGTCTAGGAAGCCCACCTGCAGAGAGCATGATCCTGCCTTATTGGTTCTCAGCATCTGGTAATGAGAGGCCAGTAGCAACTGAATACAAAATTTCAACTTTTAGCTGTCATGGCTAATACACATCGATTGGCCTACTTCTTACGATTTTTTAAAAAGCCGTTTAAACTAGCAGCCGTTATCAAATTGTGAGGGGGGGGAATCCCCCTCTAAACTGGCTATTGATCCATTTAATTAGGTGGTCCAAGTTCTAGCATTATGAGATAAATCTATTTCTTCAATCCAGCCTCACTGTTCTCAGTCTTCTAGCAAGCTTGTCAAAACGTCAAGCATTATAAGAGCCACTTAAACCTTCCCCACACAAGGAAGATGTTTCATCTCCAACCTGATTGTTCTGAATGTCCTTTTCTACGTTTTCTCTGCTTTGTTGTTTTTTAAGGTAGGTTTTAAACTGTGCACCAAAGATTTTGATCCTGAAATGCATTTTTTTTGCCAATTATTTTTTAAATTGATTTTCCATAATTTTTAACAACGTCACCAAATGAATACAAACTCAATACAAATTTAAAAGCCCACCCACCGCAGATGAATTTTAGTACATCTCCATAATTGTATGGAGAGTTGGAAATGGGAAATGTAGCTAAAAGAAAAGTTGGTTTGTATGTTTGTGTGTCAAAAAAGAAAGAAAGAAACTAAAAAATTTAACAAAAAATAAAATAATAATTACCGTATTTTTCGCCCCATAGGGCGCACCGTCCCATAGGACGCACCTAGTTTTTCTTGGGGGGGGGGAATAAAAAAAAATTATTCCCCCCCCCCGACCCCAGCCCCGAGAACAGCCTGCTATCCACAAACCTAGGGAGCCCAGCAGGAAGTTGCGCCGGCCTCCCCAGGGTTGCGGAGAGCTGCTCGAAGCCGGGCTTCGGAATGCAGGTAGCTCTGCGCAACCCTCGGGAGCCCGGCGCAACTTCGCACAGAGCTGCGCGAAGCCCGGGCCTGCAGGGCTTCCCTCCCGAGGGTTGCGCAGAGCTTCCTGAAGCCTGGAGAGCGAGAGGGGTCGGTGCGCACCGACCCCTCTCGCTCTCCAGGCTTCAGTGAAAGCCTGCATTCGCCCCATAGGACGCACACACATTTCCCCTTCATTTTTGGAGGGGAAAAAGTGCGTCCTATAGGGCAAAAAATACGGTAGTTACTAGCAGCTCTACTAGCAGCTCTAAAGAAACAAAAGCCCTGTAGATCAAGGAACGATGACCACCTTAACACCTCTAAGAACAAAGCAGCGTCAGTTAATATGGCTGTCATCGGTTGAGGCTGAGATAGAAGCCTTGGGCCTTGATACAGCTGCAGAAAATCTGCAGGTGCAGCTTTTCCCAGCGATACATCTCCATGCTGAGAAAAGCGCCACCCTTTTTGTAGCATTTAAAGGCCTACTTGATCAGCGCATTTTATTTTATCTTTGTTCTGTCCTGCTCACCCTAGCACAGGTGGCTTCTTTTGTCCATCCCTTATTGAAGCATGATCATTATAAAGCCCCCTCAAAGGGAAGAAGGAGGGACATGGGAAACGAACTCTTGAAGGGATGTGAAGCATCCACTTCATTCCCCACCACCACCTGTGCACATGTGAGAGGTTCCCAGAACAGAGCTTCCTGAAGTGCCTGTGTGTGTGTGTGTGTGTGTGTGTGTGTGTGTGTGTACGCGCACGCACGCGCGCGCACACACACACAGAAACATGCACACACACATGTGCAGAAGCAGCACAGAAGGGAGAAGGATGGAACCATTCGATCCAGGCTTTTCCAGTCCTTTATATAGAGCAGGGTGGGGGGAGCTCTTTTGCTGGAAAGAATAAGGGCCCGAGCGGCTTAATTTATTTTCACATAAGGTTCCGATTCCATTCACAGGAGAAATCCTGTTGTAAGCAAATGAGGTTCCTCCGAGGTTAATGGCTTTCCAAGGTGCTGCCTTCATTTTATGATAAACCAGCGCAGGCTTTTTGCGCTGCAAGGTTTGCTGCATGCACGGGCATAGCAGCGGCTGAGGTGGTGCTGTACTAGCTTTCTGCTTCCAACCTTTCTTTGTCTCTCTCCCCCCCACCCTCTTTTAAAAACTGCTGTTTGAGAGCCCTGTGTGTGACAGAACTGCTAAGGCGCTGCTGACAGGACACCCAGGCAGCCGACGTTTTCCCAGTGCTGTGGCAGAAGAGCCATTCCCGCCTGGCAGCTGTTTAGTGAGGCTCCCTTCCTGGGAAGCTTCCTCTCCGTGCAAGGCCCTGTGGGAGACATCTGCACGCCTCACAGACAAGATGCCCCAATAGGTGCCTTTGAAGCAGCTGGGGGCAAAGGCTGAAGAGAGCAAAGCTGTTTCTTTGGTATCACTTGATACCAGCCACAACAGGGAATCCAGTTTTATATCCAACATTAATATCAACAGATTGCAGGATTAAATACAGCCTTAAATAAAGACTCCTTGGCTGGATGGGCTCTTTCTATTCCCTTTCTCTAGTGTATTTTAGCTGTTGGAAACAGCACTTCTGCTTGCAAGTCTTAAGAATTGCTGCATATTCCAGTCCTTCGAACTCCTTTGGTTTAGTTAGCAAGATGAGTATGGTGAAGACTCATCTACTACATATTTTGGAAAGTTGTTTGTTTGCTATGCATTTGGATATACTTCTTAACCAAATCTTGCACAATTGTTCCCAAGATCAAGGAGCAGATTTGTCTCTGGATACAGCTGGATGCTGTTTTTAATTGAGATAACAGGCCAAACATTTCAAAAGTGCACTGTTTTTGACCACTTATTTCAAATCTGTGCCGAGGTTTCGTTTCCATGAATTCTTTATTATTACTAATTTACGTTTTTTACATCACACATAAAACATAACTCACAACACATCAACCATGTCCTAAATGTGGATCCAGGAATTCACCTTTCATTATACCTATACTAATTTTCCATGTGCCAACAAGTAGCAGAACACCATTCTTGTCTTGTCACTCACACCAAAACTACTAGAACACTAGCATGGCTTTGAAGGACTTACACATTAATTTGCAGAGTTAGCTTGGCCACTCCTTTCCCATCCCCAGCTTGCCCCGGTGTGTCCCAGTCCTGGCTACACCCCTCACTAATATCCTTTTCCTCCTTCCCGTAGTCCTGCCAGTTCATGTCAGGGGGCATTTTAGTCAGTAGGTACAACTTTCCTCAATCCTGCAGGACAAACTGCACCTGCTGAAATTCTGTCTTGCACCCCCAGCCATTAGGCAGAGAGAGGTGCTTAATTGCTTTGGCTAGAAATGTGGTCATCGTCATTATTGTTTTAAATGTTTTGCAAACACTGTGAACTGTGCTGGAGACAATCTAAATGCATAGCATACTTGCATAACATTCAAGAAACAAGTTGCCTGAATAATCTATGAGCATGTCCAATACGGACCTTTGGCAGCAGAATATTCCCATAAACATGAATGTGTATTGTAGACAGAGCTGGCCATGCCATTAGGCCCTGAGAGGCAGCTGCCTCGGGCAGAATAATCTGAACACCATTAAAGGACAGAAAACTGTCATGTGTTATTTATGCTGCTTGTACCAAAGGCAACAGAGAAGAAGAGGGAAGGCTGTCATTTGGACAACCCCCCTTAGGCACTGAAATGTTAAGGTCCAGTCAAAAATGCTTGAGTTAGAATATATAAACAGTATGTATATGTACAGATATCATTCAGCTACTTTCTGAGCATAGTCTGCTCTGGCAAAACTAAAATGCATAGGAACACAGGAAGCTGCCTTTTACTGAACTAGAGCTTTGGTGTATTTAGCTCAGTACTGACCGACATGGGGAGTAGGAGTCTCTCCCATTCCTACTTGGAGATGTTGCAGATTGCACCTGGACCCCTTTGCATGCAAAGCATATGCTCTACCACTGAGCCATGGCAATGCAATTTGAAATGTGCAAAGATCCACAGGCATAGTGTCAAGTTATAAAGGAAATGGTCCCTGGGTGTATGAATGGAATTGCCCAGTGCTATTTAGAGATTGTGGTTCTGTGTTCAGATCAGCAATAAGCAGATTCCCACTTACAGTTTGCTTTTGCATGTTTTTAACCCTAATTCCATTGTTTCTGTGTAAATCTATGGTTAAAAATACTTCTCAAAATCTAATCTTTTTTTTAATGTATCTAAATGTGATTTTCTTCCCCCAAAATATGCAAGTGTGCATTTTTAGGCTGAGAACAGTCACAACATCCCAAGGTATGCAAAACCCATTATTCTGATCTGCACATTAGTGAGCAAGCTAAACTGGGCATGGAATGCTTTCGCATATTTCAAATAACTCTGATAATTTAGGGAAACAACAACAAAAGTCCCACAAAGCTTCATGTTTAGACTGGGGTGGGGAGTCTTTTTGGCTCTGTGGACCAAATTTGGTAGGTTCCCTACACTAGCTTTTTAGATTATCCTCAAATGCTGACATTCAGCTTAAATAAATTGGGGGGAAAGGGGGTACTTGGACTGAACTGAAATAATTCAACTTGCTATTTCCTCTGCTTCAAAGGATATAGCAACAGCAGAGCAGAAACAGAAATCTGAGTGTGAGGAGATGGAATTAAAAACATCCATGCTACAATAATAAATTTACAGGGCAATGGTCAAGCCTGTTTTTTTTAACTATCGCGATGGCTGTTGAGTTCTGTACAGACTACCATTCAAAACTTCTGCATTCTGGAAACACAGATTGCATTGTCAGTGCATCTTGTGCAAATTAGAATGATGTACTATATTTTTATTTTTACTCTTTGGAGTCAAGAAGGGGTTGAACATCTATTTTTCTCAGATGGAAAGATGGTGGTGAAGGGCACTGCGAGGCAGAGGCAGTGGCAAACACACAGCACAGCAATTCTCAGGACTACAAAGGTCTTTTTCTTAATTACTGGTCTCCATTCTCCAAGCCCACCTTTCTTGAACGCTTCTCTTTGCAGCTATGAGGATTTGCAACTTTTAAATGAAAATGTGAGATTATTGGGAGTCAGCTTGTAATAGACCAGAAATGCATATTCTGCCCATGTGGTCATAACACATCATGCAGAAGTTAGTATATCTTCCAAACATCAGATGTCCTTGGCTATTTAAACAAGCTTCAAACTTTTTTTCATATAGGAGGCTGTAATCCCTCTGCAAGGAGCTTCTCTAGTTGAGGTGTGAAATATATCAGTTTATCTTGTGAAAGTGAATCCCACAGAGTTGTGCAAATTACTTAAACTTGACAGGTTGCTCTAGCAGCCAACATGACAAGAGGGGAGAAAAGAATCTACACCCAATTTTCTGGACCAAAATTTGCCTAACTCAATGTCAGTTGGAAAAGCAAGAGTTATGTGAGCACTTTGCCCTCAGGTCATTTTAGACTAAGTGGTCTTATTACAGAGGCTATATTATATCACTTTAAGCCACTTCAACTTGATGAGCAATTTGCATGAACTTACAGTATAGATGCATATACTTACAGTATAGATGACTGTAACTATGCTTCACTACAAAACAAAACAAAACAAAACAAAACAAAAAAAGCAGTATAGTTCCAAGAACAAAAACCACTGGATGCAAATGGCAAGCACTTATTTACACAAGCAGCTCCCCATATGGATCAGTTTGGAAGCTGGGGAAATGTCTTTCTTCTGGAGATTCAGTAGAGAACTGGAATACAGTGGTACCTCGGGCTACAGATGCTTCAGGTTACAACCACTTCAGGTTACAGACTCTGCTAACCCAGAAATAGTACCTCGGGTTAAGAACTCTATTCAGGATGAGAACAGAAATCGTGCTCTGGCGGCGCGGCGGCAGCAGGAGGCCCCATTAGCTAAAGTGGTACCTCAGGTTAAGAACAGTTTCAGGTTAAGAACGGACCTCCAGAATGAATTAAGTTCTTAACCCGAGGTACCACTGTATACCTAGATAACGTCTTAAAAAGCAGAGACATCACCTTGCCAACAAAGGTCTGTATAGTTACAGCTATGGTTTTCCCAGTAGTGATGTATGGAAGTGAGAGCTGGACCATAAAGAAGGCTGATCGCCGAAAAATTTATGCTTTTGAATTATGGTGCTGGAGGAGACTCTTGAGAGTCCCATGGACTGCAAGAAGATCAAACCTATCCATTCTTAAGGAAATCAGCCCTGAGTACTCACTGGAAGGAGAGATCCTGAAGCTGAGACTCCAATACTTTGGCCACCTCATGAGAAGAGAAAACTCCCTGGAAAAGACCCTGATGTTGGGTAAGATTGAGGGCGCAAGCAGAAGGGGACGACAGAGGACGCGATGGTTGGACAGTGTTCGCGAAGCTACCAGCATGAGTTTGACTAAACTACAGGAGGCAGTGGAAGACAGGAGTGCCTGGCGTGCTCTGGTCCATGGGGTCACGAAGAGTCGGACACGACTAAACGACTAAACAGCAACAACCACTGTATATAACTATCTACTACTTTCAGGGCTATGCACTGTTGCAGTAGATTCCTCCAAGATTCCCACCTGGCATCTCACATCGCAGCTGAACTGTGAATGGTGGAGCCATGTGATGTGTCCTCATTGTCATATTCAGATGAGGATAAGCTTTTAGAAAGAATGCCACCCCAAATAAGAGTCTATTGCTCTGGCCAGGGTGAGAAACATTTGGCTAGCAAATGTCATGGGCAACTAAGCCAGATATTTAATGGTATAGGTGTTGTTATTTTAAGTAATAATTTTATGAAGCTTTGAA